GTGTGGGCGTGTGAGGCTGAGTTCGATCCGGCCAGTATACAGCTGTTAATCAGCAGCTGAGCTTCTCGCACACCCGCGGAGAGGCTTGCATGGGGAGAGCTGTTTTTAGAAACTCAGGAGAAATCCGAGTGCGCTACGGTGGCACACCAAGGCTAGTTGCAACGGCTAGCGCTTAGGAGCTGGCACAGGCCTGGAAGGACTAGAAGGACTGGATGGAGACGGGTTGAGCGTGCTAGCGACTAAGGAAATGCTGAGGTCGAATAAATCCTCAGTACGCTTTGTTGCACCTGTGCACTTCTTGCATTGTCCCCCCCATGGCTATGTACGATGATATCGGTCAGATCCGCTCGGATCCATAGTCTCAACGGAATTCAGTCGCAAATATTCTGGAGTGTAGTCAACACAAGATTGCAGTCACTAATCTGCGCCCCCGCTGGTTCCGGTAAATCAATGATTGGCCAGCTTGTCTTGTGGTATGTAACTACTTCGTGGCTTCATGAGCGATACTAATCCCCATATCTGATCCAGGTGTACTCTCCGAGATGCTCCCCAAGGCTCATGGGCTCTGCTTATAGCTCCACAACGTACTTTACTCAATGAATTCCTAGCAGATCTCCGCCCAGTTTGCAGACTTCTGGATATAGCGACCGAGGTCATCTCTACCGACTTCTCCTTCGCGCGACCCCCGAGGAAAAGCATCCGTATTGTTACAGCAAATGCCTTGCGTGCTCTGATGTCCAAAATCCCGCCGAATAGCCGTAACAACTTCTTCGATGCTCTGCGTCTCGTCGTTTGCGAAAACATGGAACTGCTGGACTCTTCGTACGAACTAGCGGTTTCGACCTTGCTACACCTCACGCAACAGCTCCCAACGCGATTTGTCGGCATCTCGAGCTCGTTGAACGATCCAGGGGATCTTGCAACATGGTTAAACGCCGACCCGCAGGCTCTCCACAGCTTCCGGCCAGTGGATCGTGACCAGTCGCTCACTATTTTGACCCATACGTTTACCATCCCCCATGCCGCCGCGTTACTCAAAGCCATGGCAAAGCCTGCACATACGGCTATACAAGGAACACCCAGGGAGCCAGCGATTGTTTTCGTGCCTTCTCGGGGACAGTGTCGTCCTGTTGCATTGGATCTGATCACTCAATGCGCTCTGGAGATGGAGACCACCAAGGGCTATCTCAGCGACGACGTCTCATCGGATGCACTAGAGTCTTACCTAACGCGTCTACGAGACCGAAGCCTGGTCGACTTCGTCACGCGCGGCATTGGCTTCTTCCACGAAGGTATCCTTCGACAAGACCAGATCCTGATCCTCGAGCTTTACGCGGAGGGTATCATCCGTATCCTTGTCGTGCCACATGACTCGTGCTGGTCCCTTCCTGTCCGCGCCGCTACCGTAGTGGTCATGGGCACGCAGTATGTACACGTTGCACCCGGCACCTCAGAACGCCACACCCGAGATTACAGGCTAGAAGAGCTTGTCCGAATGCAAGGACGTGCGGTACGACATAACGGGGCAGGTCATTTCCACCTGTTCTGTCAGGCGGAAGCCAAGGACACTATCCTACGCTTCTTGAGCGACGGCTTGCCGCTTGAGTCTACGCTGCTGGAAGGCGATGACCTGCGTTCGTGGTACACGGACCAGCGCGAGCGTGGGGCGATAAGGAACAGACAGGATGGCGTCGACGCTCTGTCGTTTACCTTCCTCTCGCATCGCTTGCAGACGAACCCCGTGTTTTACGATGCTCCGTCGGAGGGCGACAAGAGCTACAGGCTGTCACGGATTGTAGATGACTTGGAAAATAGCTTGTAGCTCGTCTATTGATGTAGATACAAAGCCCATGCGCAGGGCGCAGGAAAATCATGCAGATAGGTCTGTCAGCAGCACATTAGGCGTGCAGATACTTCGCCAGTGACTGCAGCCGCTCAGCGGCCTGCTTCAGGGTGTCGAGGTCCTTGCAGAAAGCGAAACGCGCGTAGCTCTCGCCAATGGAGACGTGCTCCGCGCAATAGAACTGGAACCTGGATTAGCGAGCTACACAGGACGAAATCTCATATGTCTTACCTCGCTGACGGGGATTGAAGAAACCCCGATCTTCGTGGCCATGAACCAGCAAGCCCTGTAAGGAACAATAAGGTCACGTTGGCAGATTTGTGAGTGCTCTTACTTGAAGTCCCTGCCGCGGCCCTCAATACTGGAAGGGAAGGGATAGTCCTCGGGCCATGTCAGCTTCGAAATATCCTTCGCGTCATGAACAGGTCAGGCGCTCTTCAACAGATGATCCGCAGGAAGACTCACAAGCAGTAGAAAGTAGGTGCCTTGCGGAAGCGTATAACGAACTCCCAGACGATCGAAGGCCTCGGCGAGGACGGCTCTCCGCTCAAGGTATTCAGCGCATTGGGTCTCGACGAAGCGGTGCTCATGGCACTGTTCCAGCCCAGCGGCTACGGCCTCCTGCATTGGCGAATTGCTGCAGAAGACTATACGTGTGGTAGCAGCAAGCGTAGGCTGAATAAGCCAAGACGGGCCGATGAGCCAACCAATACGCCAGCCCGTCGCGGAGAACATCTCTGGAAGATAATGAATTGAGCGGTGGATTTAGGTGGGAGAGCAGGCTCATGCTCACTGCCGGCGGATTCCACTGTTACGGTGCGATCCCACATGCCAGGGAGGGTTGCGAAGCGGACATGTTCCTTACCGTCGAAGACAAGGGTGTCATACTGAGGGCAGACAAGACAACTTAGTCAGCTGAGTGATTCAGAAGATGATCAGGGAGCGCGACTAACCACTTCGTCAGACTGGACGACGAGGTTGAACTCCTCAGCAAGAGCTGCAATTCCCAGCAGCTCTTCCTTGGTGAATACTTTACCAACAGGGTTGTGAGGAGTATTAATCACGATCATTCTAGTGCGGGGAGTGATCGCTGAGCTAGAAAAGAAAAGCGAGTTAGACAGCAGTCACAACTTGATCAATGAACATACCGCAATTCCTCAAAGTTGATCTTCCAGTCGTCACTGGTAAGTTTAGGCTTGGAGAGGTCGGGGTGAAGGGGCACGTAGACACACTTGCCGCCATGGAAGACCACGGAGGGCAAGTACTGGTCGAAGAATGGTTCGAACATGATGACTTCATCACCAGGGTTAATGAAGGCAGTGAACATGGCGTATTGGCCTGTCCAGAACAAAATTCAGATTCTATAGAGTGTAGCACAAGCTGCCCGCTTACCTTCGTTGGCACCACTGGTAACGACGATCTCGGACTCCACGTCGAGCTCTCGTCCGAAGACAGGGCTGTAGTACTCCTTGATAGCCTCCCGGAGCCGGATCCTGCCCTTCGGGTGCGAGTAGTGGTTCGCAACGACGGACGTCAGGGCCTCACTGGCGGCGTCCTTGATCCATTTCGGAGGGGGAAAGTTCATATATCCTTGGCCGAGGTTAATGCAGTCGGCCGGCAAGTTAGCAGCACTATGGGGGCAAGGTGGCACGTGAACAATCGTGGAGACAGTGAGAACTATGTTAAAACGCACTTGAAGACGGACCAGACATCCTGAGCTAAGGCTCGACCCTCCCCAAGACGATTAGCCACAGGGATGAGCCCACTGCGGGCACCGTTCTGCTTCGACACGACAACGTTCTTCTGACCGTTGAGAGCACCCATGATGGTTCTGGAGACGGTGGTAGGTCTGTGAGAAGATACCGCTTTTATGGTACTCTTGAAGACGGGTCTCGATGCAGAGGTTGGAAGACGAGTCAGGTTCATACCAATACGCCCGGGTTCAATTGTTTTGGTCCTATATTCTCTTAGCGCCTACCTCGCGTGAACCTCACGCAATGAAACTCGACTCTAAGGCACCGCAAGGCTCACAATGAAGTTAGTCGGAACGAGGACGGAGCTGTGCGCGGAGCCTCCCTCACTAAGACCACGGGCCCCGTGAACCGAAACTTACACGGACTGCGATGCGCCCAGATCACGGAGCGACTCTCTTACGGACGGAGACTGTGACTGACGCGGACCTCTCATGCCAAAATGTTGCATTCCTATCCATGGACCCGACAATTTCGTATGCATCCCGAATGCTGTGGGGTGCAGAGCCAACCCGGAGCAGTGCTCTTACGGCACCAGCCGTCGCTTGTGCGGTTCCGCCTACACAGTAGCGGCGCATAGACGAGTGCAAAGCCCAAGACATACGCTCGGCCTCGCGGAATTAGTGCTTGAAGGAAGTCTGACCAAGAGCGGAGTTTCCAGCGTGCAGTACAATTGCAGACGATAAGATAAAAATACAACAAATGTCGTCCGGAGAATGCACAAATACCCCTACGCGCTCACAGCCGTCCAATTACCAGCCGAAGCGTAGCTGATCCCTTGTAAAGACCGGAGGTTTCCAAATGAGGTACTCCGAGTGTACCCTCCGTTTCCGCTTTTCTATCGCCTTCTTGTGACGCTCTTGCAGCGCCTCCGGAATACAGATAACGTGCTGTCCCTTGTAATGCTTGAACAGCTGAAGGGTCGTGCACCTACGAACAAAAATAAGCATCAAATCTCACAGGACGGCAACTTGGTATTCACGTATTCATGATATCGGCGTGTGTGATTGAAGTCTTCTGCGCAATATCATCGATGCTAATGTCGTCTGAAATATTGAACAGGAGCTCTATAATTGTCTCCGCCCAATAGGCCCTGTAGCCCAATAGGCCAAGGTCACTAAGCGGCTTCTCGGGGCTGCCGAGTTTGCCCTCCTTCTTGCTCAGCTCGTAGGAAAACTCGATGAGGAATTTGCCATAGCCATGCCGCTGGTGTTGCGGCAGCGTGAGGATACAAGCAACATTGTAATTGTCCGCAGATTCCTTCTCTTTCGAGAAATACCCGATGATGTGGCAACCTGTTGAATCCCGTTGACACTGCGAAAGATGTAAGGTGTGACATCCAGTGATATGTCGTAGCATGCACTTACTAATACGTAGTACAAGAAGGGTGTAACGTCGTAATATAGAGTCTTGCTGGAAGCGAAGTTAGCATGGAATGCTGTGCGAGAAGGTCTATGGTGCTCACTGGTCAAGGAAGCACTTCGACAGCATACTGAGATTCCGACAGTACGTTAACTGCCGCTTCCCGTCCAACTCAAAAAACGAAAGGTCTTCATAGCGATAAATCTCATTGCCGGGAGGATGTAATAGCGTGCAGCGCTTCCGATGTCGAGCGAGCCTATATTCCGAGCCGAAATATGACAGGCAGAATTCGCAGATGTAAAGGACAGGCAGATGCGCGTACTCCTGGGGATACGGGGAGAAATACCATGCGTCGACCTCGTGCTTCCCGATTTGCAAACGATTCAGGTTTTTCACCCGAGCAATTTCGGATATGCTCTGCGTCATCGAGCCCGAGGTACGAAGTTTCTCGATCTCCTGCTCCTTGCTGAAGGCAGCAACTGGCGGGGGAGGCTCTGGCGTCTCTTCGGGATGGAAGTCAAACTCTTGCGTCTCTCCATCCACCTCCATGTCCACGTCTCCGTCTGCATCGGCATCTCCATCGGCATCTCCATCGGCATCCAAATCCTCGTCCTCTTCCTCCTCCTCGTCGTGTGGCGCTTTGCGCTTTAACGAGCTCGGTGTCGGTGACGCGCTCGTCCTCCGGGAACCCGGGGTAGATGGTGCAGGGGTTTCTATATCCTGCTTGAGTATCTGCATCGCACTGGCGGTGGCCGCCTTCTTCAAAAGCGACTGCGACTTGGGGACCTTGCCCGGTGCCTTCCCTGGCCTAGGACTAGCATTCTTCTTGTTCGGAGTGCCCTTGGGGCGCGGCCATTCAAGTGGTTTCGTGAGCACAACGCGTGAAGCGGAGACCCATTCGTCGAGTCGCTTGTTGAACTGGTCCCAGTGGACGAAGAACTCGATTCTGTCCTCAGGCGCTAAGTGCTCCTCTTGCTTGACACCGCCTTTCAGACGAGAGGAGTAGGCGTTCTGTGGCTTGTCGCGGATGGAAAGGATCTCGGCAAGGCGTTCTTCCTCTTCTCCGTCAGGGTTTTTGCGACGAATGTAGACCTTGCAACCTACTGAGACGGTCTGTGAGCGGACGTGAGTGGCGGCTGTTGTGATGCGCAGCATCCCTGACGACGGACTCACCTGAACGTTCCATTGGCCGGGCGCCGTCGTCGGTGGAGGCTCTTGAGAGCCTTCCTCCTTCACTGAGCCGTGTGGTGCCATGGTTGTTCAAGTGAGAGTGAAATTTCGACACTTCGACGCTCTCCCCGACTGACTCAACAAAAACGATGCATCCGCGCTTATGACTAAGCAACATCGCGCACCCGGTGTATTTCCGTTTATGGATGGTGTGGTGTTCAGCCAGGCCAAGGACTAGGCCACAGGCGACGACAGACCGAGTTTCGGTTCGGTACACAATGCAGCGCCAGATGTCTGACCCGAATTTATAATGCTGGAAAGATCGTAACTTGCTGGTAAGTGAAGATTCGGTGGAACCTGTCAGTAAGTTCGAATGCACAGTAAGTTATTCAGTACGGCTCGGACGACCTGCAAATGACTTCGGTCTTATGTTACATCCGCTCATCGCCTTGCGGTGGACTTGGATTAACGTACTTGGATTAACATAACGCTTTTTAGCAAGGCCGAGACAAAAGAAGCAGGGATGGACAATGAATGGTGAGCCATAGGAGGGTCTGTACTGGCATCACCGTCGCAGGTGTATCCGTTAAATCTTTGCCAAGAACGGCCGAGGTTGCGGGAGTAATGATGAGCCGGGAGGCCTAAGAGTCCGGCTCTGAGACAAGTGGGGACAGAATAACGCAGGGCGAGGAAGTACTACGGCGATAGCAAGCCGCTATGCACGACTTAGATGCTCGAATGATACTGGCAGTGTCATAATTATGCGACGCCTGAAATCATCCCTAGTTGATGTGTAAGCTGCCAGAGTGGCCCTAGATGGAAAGGGTCGTGCATGGAAATGAGTGCCTTCCTTCCGCGGTGTTCGCGTTCATGTCCCTATCATACCGTTAACCCCACGACAATAAAGTCTATTACTAACATCATCTTTCAGTTTGCTCGGACAGCAAGAACAGTGCGCGCCACATGTTACAAGGGCTAAGAAAGAACTATCTTATCCGGCGAAACGCCAAGAGAGGATAGACGAGCGAAGAGTGACCTTGTGCGCTGGGACACGTCGTGGGGAGTAACGAAGGTATCATAGGACGTATTGGCCCAATCAACATAGCTCTACCTTGGCAAACGTCTACCAAGCGACACGCGGTGAGACAAGACGGAGAATACTATTGACCACGGAGGAAGTCCATAGAGAAGTTTCACCAGTACAAGGTTCATGTACGTTTGACTGTTAGCTAAATCGTCGGATGACTTGCATGCGGAGGCCGAGGCTTGGCGACTCGCGAGGCTTTGGGGACAAGGTGTCCACACGTGAAGCCGCGTTCGCCCTTCGCCCTGCCGCGCGGCCATAGATATTCCAGACAGCACTAGTGACCATTTGCGGCGGCGAATCTTGTGCAACCAGGGCCGATGTCGACACGATAGGGGAGCTCGGACTTGACCCTGCCGCCGGTTCGGAGGAAGGAGGGGCACAACGGGTGCAGTGTGGCAGATAAGCCTCGACAAAGAACTCGAGGCACTTGCGAGTCGTCCTGATCGTGACCAGTGGGCATATGGCCTAGTCCAAGATCTACCCTGGACTCCGGACAGATGCCTTGGCTACTGACCGGTGGCCCGTCAGGGTATCGCTCGATATTGTCGGTGCTTGCAAGATCATCTGACCACGATCGCGGTGGACGCAATGACCGTACTGCAGATCTGGCGACTTCTTTTCGGCGAATAAGCAGCTATAAGAGGTGACGGGGCGGTCTGCGCGCCCACAAACGTCGGACGATAACACAAGAACTCACCAGAAACAGCTATTTTGGTTGGCAAGATCATGATGTCACCCTGGATGCTTTGGTCTTAATACCAAATGCCGGGCAACATCCCCTTATTTTGCCTGCTCCTCCCGTGGGTGTGTTGCATACGTATGGAAGAATAGGCCAGGTTCCTTCCATATGAGCTCAAAGTGGTCGTCGAAGACCGGCTGAGCTCGCGAGACTATCGAGTAGGTTACGGCACGAGCACAGGAAAGTTCGACATTTAAGGAGTTCGGATTGCCACGGACCCTGCGATGAGGGTGCATCTTCGGTGCCTCGACGATATACCTCGGCTATGATCAATGCGAAAAGCACAGGCCAATGGCCAAAGATATGATCACCCTATAGCCAGCGGTATCGGACACTGGGCGCGTAGTCCGCGGACCAGCAGCCGTGTCGCAATCTATTCATACTGTTGTGTCAGACGACTATGGGACCTGCTGGAAGCGGACACACACGAACTGCGTCTTCTGGTCCAATGACCAGTGTGTTCATGCACAGCAGTTTGCTCTTCGGCGGAGTTTTCTATCGTCGTGAACTGCACTTCATCGCCAAACTGAGATGTTTTCTCCCATACGACGTGACACAGCAACTGCGTTCTGGAGATTGTCTGGCAGATTGTCCATTAGAACTATACACAACTCATAATTTGATACTGGCTTTCACGGGCTCTACCATACTCGCAGTGCTTGGTAGACGACGTTCACACTCCCACAGTCGGCCAGAGTAGCCAGCCACGAAGATGGTCATCAGGTACGGTCGCGTCACAGTCGATGCCGAACCTTGCGGCTGTTATCACGCCTCGGAGAATCTAATCAGATAATTGCTAGCCAGATCTCCGCGTAGGCAATCGACATCTCTCAACTCCGCTCCCCACTGTGCCTCCTCGGCAGCGACCACGCATGGTACTCCATTTTGCTCATGCGGTCGAGAAGACGTACGCACATGAGAAGAAGCTCACCACGAGCAAAATCCGACGGGGCGAACCCATCCGCTGCGTATCGTACGTCAATTTTCAGTATCTAATTTTGTGCCACATTTCACTACTCACCGTTACAATTCGTCTGTGCATAGCGTTATAGCTCCACAATTCGGTCACTTGATGGCTCTTGATTTTGCAAGGGGCGGCGTCCATGTCTTCTGAACTTAATGAAAGATAGAGGGCGCGCCGTTATTGGCTCCAGAGCCCTTTGCAAGCTCGTCCCGAACCGAAGCTTGACCGTTCTCGTCCCGAAACATACCCGCTAAGGCGTGATAGTGACTGTACGTGCGCTTTTGCCCATATGGACAGAATAGCTTGGGTAGCCCACAGCTTCGACTCACTGGACATCTTCCAGAACTCCCACTATCATCTACCCCACACCCTGGGGTTGAATTGTCCGAGCATTCGAAGACGTTTTGCCACGTCGCTCTCAATGCTAACGCGCCTTCTCAAGATAGACCCTTTCTCCCGCCGGAGCTAGGGAGATGAATTCTGGTCGTCATCAGGATATCTGCAACTCGGCCGGTTGCTAGTGCGCATCACCTAACGGAGTGTGATATTCCAAGTCCGTGAGGTCCCTCAAAAGAATCCGGGACGTAGCGCGGTCGAAATATATATACCGCCATGCCTAAAGACCTGCCAGCTGTCAGTGCATCCTCTTACAAGCTCTCGACTAATGGCCTGGTTTCTCGGCACCTCTGCGCTCGCCCCTCGCTTCACTCCCACCGAGGCCGACTTGGCGTTGAAGGCCGAAGAACAGAGGGAATATGTGAAGGATCTATGGATCTTCCTTGCCAGCGTTGTCGCTTTCCTGACTATTGTCCGTGCACTACGCTTGGTTCTCTCCCTGGTCATCCGCCCTCGCTCGGTCGCGTCTCTGCTGTCGGAGAAGAGCGGCGCTGAGGTTATACAAGCCGGGCGCAATGGCAAAGTCTCTCTCAGAAGACTGCCTGCGGCTTTCGCTTCGGCTTTCAGGATCGTCGCCTTTCGTCTGAGCCTGCCCATAGGCCCAGGTTCCGTCGCCTCGGTGGCTGAGTTGACCTTCATCTTCGGCTACATCGCAGTGATGCTAGTCATTCTTTTGATCAACAGCAAGTATCTTGTTCGTTCCACAGCGTGAGCATTGCTAACGATGTTTGATGAGCAGCTGGGGATCTTGATTCCTGGTTCTACGAGGATCGAGCAGCTCATTTGGCATCTTGCCAACTGCCGCTGGTGGTTGCGCTGGCTGGGAAGAACAACATCATCTCGTGTAAGCGGAATTCCCTTCGCCCTCTGAGTAGTCCTAAATCCGATCTTTACAGGGCTCACGGGTGTAAGCCACGAAAAGGTGCGAATGTCTTCAAAATTTCTAAGCTCACCATCTGATTGCTGCTATCTTCGGGCAGTTGAATATTCTTCACCGAGCTGCCGCGAGGACATGCCTTATGTTGTTGTGGTTGCACGCGATTGCTCGTGCCTCAAACGGGTGTGTGAAGTCATGCGTTAGTCGTTGCATCTGACGCTCACTCTGTGATAGTCTGCCAGAGCAATTCGATTTCACCCATGGTTGGATGAGATGGGGTGCAACGGGCTTGACGGCGTTCACACTCGCCGCTATCCTGTCGCTGCGCCCTATCCGGAACGCGTTCTTCGAGTTCTTCTTGATCTCACACATCGTCCTCATCGGGTAAGTCGCTGTCACTGTGCTCACTCAACCCGGCACTGACTATACGCACAGGATCTTCCTGATTGCCGGCTTCCTGCACACGCGTCACCCTGGGTGAGTATCTGTGACTCGACGCATGGACGTATGCTGACCCGCGCGTCAAGCTTCGGCGACTACGTATGGCCTGCACTCGTTGTCTGGGCGTTTGATAGGGTTTTCCGTGCCGCCCGGCTCGCGTGGAACAACCGCTTCGGGATTTCGAAGAGCGAACGGCACCGCACGGCGACTGTCGAGCTCATTACTCCGGACACTGTCCGGCTCACTCTGCGCCGGTGCTTCAAATGGCAACCGGGCCAACACGCCTACGTCATCCTGCCAACAGTCAGCGCCCTTCCTACTGAAGCGCATCCCTTCACCATCGCAAGCATCCCGGATTCGCTGGACACAAAGGGCGAATCGAAAGACAGAGACGTCGTGTTCCTTATTCGCGCTAGGGAAGGCTTCACTGGCCGTCTTAGGGACCTTGCGGCGAACAGTGGTGTTTGCACTGTTCCTGCCATCGTGGATGGCCCATATGGATGTCCCCCGGACCTGACACAGTTCACAACATCTATCCTCATCGCTGGTAAGTCCTCGCTCCACGAACAATCATCATACTTTACTGATGATTCCTCCCAGGTGGCTCTGGTGTCTCATACACTCTGCCATTGCTGCTTAACCTAGTCCGGTGTGTAACCATTCGTCGAAGCAATCCTGAGCGATCCTAACACCTATCCTCAGTCAAACACGCCTAGGCAAGTCAGCAGTCCAGCGGGTGGTGTTTGTTTGGTCTGTCCGTGAGGCAGGTGAGTCGAGCCTCTCTAACGTCAGATGGCGGTCAATATTCACGTCGTCACCGTTTGAGATCACGTCAGGTGGATATCACAGATTCTAAGCGAAGCGTTGGCTGTCGCACAATCTACCGGCCTTACCGTGGACCCACGAGTATACATCACTGGTTCTACCCCTCCTACTCCCCCGCTTCCTGCCTTGGGATACTCCGAGTCCGACCGGGGAAGTGTCAACATGGAATCTCCGATTTCAGAAAAAGACGTGAAGATGGCCCTGCCCGCGTACTCCGCCCTGCGTATCCTTCACGGTCGCCCGAGTATCCGCAAGGTCCTTCAAGAGGAGATTGGCGTGTCAACTGGTCCAGTGTCCGTAGACGGTGAGTCGCTTTGATTACGATAGCAGTTATAGGTGTGTTCATCGTATCTGCGCAGTTGCTGGACCCTCTGCGCTTTCACAATCTGTGGCTCAGGCCTTGGCCTCCGAAATCACCAGTCCTATGAGCGTCCTCCGAGGAGCGCCCTCGGTCAGCCTGCACGTCGAGACCTTCGGCATGACCCGATGATATGCTTTTATATATCCTGTATCCATAGACGCTATTACTTGTAGTATGCCTTGACGTGTACCCTGATGTGTATCAACCTGCACTCTATGCGACCGGTATTGTGCTCTGTACGAGTCCAGGCTTCCATTGATGTTATCCCGCGATGATGTTGCAGCTACCGCTTTTGGGAACCAAGGCCGACTTCCTGCTTCTCCGCTCCTCGGGAAATGTGATGGCAGTTTCCCAAAACTCTGACTGTATGGTATATCTGTTCGGTATCCTCCAGATACGGGCACGCGTGTTTCCGTCGTGTTCCTTCTGCCTTCTCCGCTTGACACTGCTCGCAGACCTGCTTGAAGCACACTTTATCTTGTCGCCGACGCGGACACGTACATCCTTCTGCAAGTCCCGAGAAAATGGCACCCGCTAGTGTTTACATTGGTGGTACGGCGGTCTCAGCGTCCTTTAGAAATTGGAGCTCATTGTTGCTATTGTCGTCCAAACAGGACTCTCTGAGGCCGTCACTCGCTCGGAACTGAACGATGTGCGTGTGGGATATGATCGGCGAATGTGATGTACTAAGAACACGGCGCATATACCCAGCATCTCTCTGTCTATGGCAAGGTTACGGCACTAAACATCCACAAAGGTACGTAAGCTCTGATATTCGGGTGAACCTTTCCCTCATCGGCTGTGCGCGCAGGATACACGTTTGTAGAATTTGGATCTGAAACGGTGCGTTTTGTATTGTCCCGAAGAGTCGAAGCAATGCTAAGCGACTTCAGGACGCCTTGGTAATCTGCTTGTTGCCTTGGAAAGCCGTAAGCCTCTCATAAGCGATCGACCCTAGGACTTCGTCTCCGCATATGCAAACCAACCTTTCATGGGAACAGGTAAGGAGCCTCCTGTTGTTTGCCCACATACTCACTGACCCCCCTGCCATCTAGTTTGCAAAATTGAAGTTGCGAAGCAACCGCGCCGTCAGTCCAAGGCTGGCAGCTCGACGCGTACAACCAGGGAAAATGCCGGGACAGAAACTAGGTTGGTAGAATCTGGCTCCGTTACTTAGTAGGCAGGCAATGTACGTGCATATACCCAGGTCACCCCCAGGGATTAGTCGAGTACGTTACCCTATCGTCGTCTACAATCTCAATCCGCAAACATGCTGGCAAGTAAGTCTAATCTTTACCAACTCACAATGCAAATCTCACAGATTGAATGTCAGGAACTGAAAGATTTTGGCCGGCGGACTGGAAGTACTGTCGCTTTCTGTGACATCGATAAGCATAATCGCCGAAGAGGGTCGGTGGTTTGCCACTGCGAAGCTGAAAACAGCTGACATCATCTCAGCTTCCTGGAATACTATACTCAGGAGGACGCCGATCGCGCGGTGAAAGAGCTCGACGGCCAAGATCTCCTTGGTCATCGCATCGCGCTCAGCAGCTATGTTAGCGTATCTTCTTATGCTGTAGATCTCCCGCTTAGGACTGAGCAGGGCAAGAAGACTCTTCGGGAAGAGCATGCACAGTATCGCTTGCGTTCTCCAACAACAAATAGGGACATTCACTCCCAGCCATGTTCACCAACGACAACTCGAGGGCCTCACCTCCGTCGTTCCCGATCCCCGCTCGAGATGTCTCGCCATCAGAATACTACCCCACGAAGGAGTCCTTACTATTCTGCCAGACGGCGAGGCCTCCAGAACGATAGCCCACGCAGAGTCCAGCCTGAAAGCAGTGACGATGAGCACCCTCCGCGACATGACGAGCGCCATTCTCGCTTCGCGATTCCAGAGTCCGAGTACAGCCGGAGACGTAGCCGTTCGCGCTCGCCGACGAAAGCTCGGCGCGCTACCGACCTTTATGACGAGCTCAGCTGTGTATCTGATGAACGCAGGGTCCGAATGGACCGAATTGCCGACCAATGGTCCTCATATAATCGTCTGACGCCTCCAGAGTTCTGAACGATACGTATCGTCGCTGTACACCCTTGCATCTCGCAGTCCCCATACCCGCTATGCATGTCAATCTACGAGCACAAGGTCTCGTTTGTATTACTAAGCAGCAGTATTTCCCATGTATCGCGAGGCCTCAGGTAAACCACAGCACGTGTACATTATTTCCGCCTGCCCTTGTAAAATTCGAGGAATGCCACCTTATCTTCCCACCCCAGTCCAACGCGTTTCGTTTTTCCAATTTGTGCAATCAACGCCGCGCATGCTTCCGTCAGGATATCGTTATTCTTGCTCCCCGGTGTCGAAAATTCGCTTGCCAGGAATGCGCCTGAGCTCGGCGACTCCGACGGCACAAGGAGACGGATGGAGAGCGTCAGCGGAAGGAGGGTGTTCGCCAACCTGAAGATGTGCGGCAGAGGGTTCAGCATTTTTGAGGGCAACGAGTGCGACAGTGTAGGTGTTAAGGGCGTTGGAGGGTCATACCTGACATTTTGTCAGTGTGCTGAGTGTGTCACACAACGGTATTCAGTACTCACCGGACGCACATCACGAAGACCTGGAAGTCCTTCACAGGCAACGTCAACGAGGAAAAGACGGGGACGAATCGAAGAAGACCTCTCCCATTGCTCGTGGTGCACTCAGGGAAGACAACAATGGGCCTGTCGGCTCTCCTCCGGATATCTTCGAGCGGGCTGTACTCTCCAGCCCGCTCGCGGGGCAGAGGCACAGATCCAGTGGCAGCCAGCATGCTAAACAAGGATGCTTTGCGGAATCCAACGATGTTAGAGTGAGGCGTTGGCGCGCGAGTTGAAGGGGACGAGATGGCTGCCGAACCTGTTCCTGTGCGGCGACCTGGTGTCACGGAGAGTGGAGTCGAGGACCGAGATGCCGAGGAGAGATCTACTGGGTCAGATACCGGGAGAACGAAGATGGGGTCGAAGCTTGATAACTATCAGAAAAGTGGACATTAGGCTGCAAAATGGAGGTCGTACCGGAACGCCAGCCAAAGCAATTCTATCCACGAAACCCAGTTAGAGACAATCACATCTCCTGCTTTTGGATTCCACTTCTCGAGTCCCGTGGATCCCCGTGGTCTGTATCATAGTCGTGTCAATCCAATCTGTTGGTGCGCATAGCGGGCCTGCTCACGTTCGCTTTCGTGTTACAACTCCCACCGGAATCCACCACACGCCTACGAGTAGAAGCACTAGACGAGTAATAAAGGCGGTAAGAATATACGTCGCTGCGCGGTGCAATGGCGGCACTATTATCTGTGATTAGTGTCAGCGGACGACTGACGGGAGGAACATGGTACACGCACTAACACAGCACAGACTCCACTAACCAGAAGCGCGTACAACACACCGAGTACAGCTATGAGCGCGGTCCGTATTACACCGAGTAAATATCCAACTGGAAGTAGTGCTGTAGCGAGGACGTCTGAGTTGACTGGCGGGATTGGGGTGAGAAAAGGCTGTATGCAAGGTGTTTGAACGCGATGCGCTGGATTTCATGCTGCGGAGTAGTTTCGCACCTGGATGCCCGTTCCTGGGTCCTGATTCGTGTTCAGCCTCAGTTGGTATATACAAGGTGAAGGGTCTTACTCGGAATGCAGAGAACTTCTCCATCCCAAGCAGATGGATGCAAGACGGGATGGTCTGTAGTCGGGAGCGCCACAACGGAGCGCACAGTCATCAGCTGAGAGGCGCCCAGATGTAATCACGGCGCTTAAGCGACCGAACACCGAACGCGAAATTGACCGTTGCGTCGACCGCGGTCGCATTCCCTCCATCTCTCCTATTTTCCGGTGAGGATGAGCGGAGACTCGTCACCGCACCAGGACCTCCTCGCCACCATTGATGAGTGCGTTCTAAAAAATCCAAGATTGTAACGTGCCTGACAGCTGGAGGAACTCTCCAGGGTGTCCAGCGCTGCACAGTCTAACGCGCCTTCTCCGGGACCAGCTAGCGACGATAACGACTCTGATGAAGAGTTTGTATATCCTGGAATACCAGAGGCCGTTATAGGCGACCCTCTGAAGTGCCCTTCGTCATCGCAGTCAGCGGAGAATCTGGCCTCGTCAATGCAAGAGTCATCACTATCCGTGTCATCTAGAGACGTGTCACAAGAGCCCGAAGAACCTAGCCAACCGGCACCAGTTCCAAAGTCAAAGAAGGTACACCCATCTCCTGCTCAATTAGAATCTTTGCAGGCAGCTGCGTCCAGCGGTGATCTCGCCTTGCTGCAGAAGCTCTTCCGCACCGCGCTCCAGACGGGAGAAGTCGAACCCTTCGCATTAGCGAACGACGCGTCTCCGCGTACTGGGCTGACCGCATTGCATGCTGCCTCGAGTAGAGGATACTTGGATATCGTGAGATGGCGTGAGTGTTACTTCCATTACCACTTATGACTTCTGATTTCGCGTTCAAGTGGTCGAGGAATGTGGAGCTATCCCGGATATTGAGGATAAGGAAGGCGAGGTTAGTGCTCCCTCGTTAACTTATCTGGCTTACGCCCATCTTGTGGATCGCAGACCGCTCTTCATAAGGCTGCATTGCACGGGCACGTGTCAGTTGTCACCTATCTTAGTCCTGGAAGGGCGGATGTCCACGCACAAGACAACGACGGATGGACAGCCCTTCATAATGCTTGCTCGAAGGTATTTCGGTTCGTATCGTAGCTTGCATACCTCTTAACATCCTTCAACAGGGCTACCTAGACATCGTCAGATACCTGTGTGAACAGGGAGGTGCATCAGAAAACGTTGACGGCACGCCCGGTGTTGACATTAAGAGCAAAGGTGGCTGGACTCCTCTGAGTAAGTATTTGTGTACTTGTGTGCGCTGCCACGTTTCTCACGTATTCGCAGTGAATGCGGCCTCTAAGGGACATTTGCCCGTGGTGCTGTACTTACTAAGCAAACAATCGGCTGACCCCCTTGTTCGCAATAATTGGGGCGAGACTGCGTACGATGTTGCTGCTGCAGTATTTGAAGTCTGGATATGTGAGGTGCGCTTGTTGCGACTGGTCGCGTGCCTCTGCCTACCTCAGCTGAGGAATCTTTAGGTCTTGCAGAAGGCAGAAGCCGAGAAATGGCGCGGAACTACAGTGTTTTACAACCCTCTTGCAGTGCATACAACGGTCCCGGTGATCATGTATGAGCATCAGCGGCTCGATATGCGTCTCAAGACGTTGGCAGTCAATGGTGGCCGTCCTAGGTTTTCTGCTTCCGGGCTTGGAAGGAGAGGTCGCCGTGCCCCGTATGAGCTCCGCTTGCCCGTCCCAGATGAACACACCGGCAAGAAATTATTACCTGCTTGGCGCAGCGATGTGCAACTCCCCCTGCGTGAGAATGCTTTCAATTTGCCAATCCCCGGAAGCGAAAATGCAGAGGGTGCAGATCGGAGCCATTTCTGGTTGTAAGTCTGTGAGATCCGTTTTCGTGCTGTTTGGCTGATCAACGCTTCAGGTCTGACTGGACACTGGATATCACACATCCGAGTGTTGATGCCGAAGAAGGCTGGCAGTACGCACATTCCTTCGATGATGCTGATGAGGCATGGACCGCGGATCAGCCACCGCAGCTGCAGCGTCTCCTAACCGGCAGCGGAGCCATGACCGCGGGGCTTGGCGGCACGAATAGCAGCTCCAGCTCTCGTTCACGCACCACAACCTCTCATTCCTGGGTTCGCCGGAGACGGTGGGTTCGTGTTATGCGTCGCCGTCTAGACATACCACCTCTGCCCTTTTTGCAGCCAAACGGAGTATTGTATCTGCTTGATGCGGATGGCGCACTGGTACCACATGTCGAGGAGCGGGATTCTGAGTTGCACGGCGCAGAGGGCCGAGAGCTGGGTTCTATGCCAAGCAACGGCTTGACCTCTGCACAAGATTACGTCGCTCGTGCTCGATATCTTGCGGGCGCTCAGGACGATGATGCAGAGCCTGTTGCTGAGACAGATGCTGTTCAAGCTCGCCGCGCTATCGCCAAGCTTGAAAGGGCTACCACAGAACTCCGCCAGGGCATTCTCGGTAGGTCCTCTTCAGATGACTAGTGTCCATTTACTAATCTGCTTCAGGTGATGATGACGTGGAGCGTAACACTCAAGCGGAAGTCCTGCTCAATGCCTATAGCCGAGATCTAGAACGCAGACGTCTCTCAGCGGGCGCTCAGGGCCTGCTGGTTGCTCAAAATGATGAGGATGAGCTCGATGACGATGACTCTGATGACGAGTCCTTCCACTATCCGGCTTCGTCACCTCATGATACGATCCGTCCTCCGTCTGTGCGATCCGGAAACACAGACTACTTCAGCAGAAACACTTCTTTGACTCGTGGTCCGACTGACTTGACACCTCATCTCTCGCAAGCTTCCGAATTTCGTGTTCCGACACATGAAGCTCCGCAGAAGGCCCTGAGTCCTCGGTGGACGCCTCCTACTCCTCACCAGGTCCACCCGACTTGGGAAAGAGACGAGACGGTAAACCAGTGTCGCGGCTGTAGCAGGCGATTCAATTTCATTACGAGAAGAGTACGTGTAATCTTCTGGTGCTACATCGCATTACGTCGCTAACGCGTTTTTACAGCATGTAAGAGTCGATCGCCTTCGTTCATCCACTCTATACTAAACCTCCTCACAGCACTGCCGCCGCTGCGGCCGTATCTTTTGTGATAGGTGTTCGTCGTTCCGCGCGCTTCTCGATCCGTCCGACATCGTCCACGATCCCGCCTACGCAGAGTCCTCGACCGCCTCGTCGTCTTCCCAGCGAGTCTGCCAGCCTTGTTATGAAGAGGTCAACGCGAGTGTTCCGAACGGACTGCACACCTCAAGGACCAATTCCATGGAGCGCATTGTTGTCGACCAACGCAGGCTCCAAATCCCGAGCCCGGGAAACCGTAACGGCGAGACAAGCTCTCAGATTAGTGACTTGGCCGAGTGAGTGCTTCGTCGCCTGCGTTGTGCGAGTGAGATGTTGAGCGCCGGCATGTGTCGTAGCTGCCCCGTGTGCGGTGTCAACTTGTGCGACGTTGGGCCTGCGCCACTGCAGGAGGCACATGTCAAGAACTGCTTGGAAGGCGGAAGCAGTGCGTCGCCTCAGAGCGCGAAGTACCTCGTCTACAAATTGCCGGAGGAGAGCGCACTGATTGGCACTGAATGTAAGCGGTGGATGGCCTCTTTTCGTACCAATCCTTGTCTGACTGCTCCGTCCAGGCGTTATCTGCCTCGAGGAGTTCGTGAAGGGTGAGTATGATATCCCTGGTGATGTGATGTGCGTGTTGACCAAAACGCTTCGTAGGTTGTCCGGTTGCTCGATTGAGCTGTTTTTGCAGCTTCCACAACGGTAAATTCCCGCGCTAGCCGTAATTGATATCTAAGCTGACTCTGCGACAGCGTGCTTGTCATCCTGGTTGCAGCGCGGAAGGAGTTGTCCCGTGCATGCCCGTTAAGAGGCGTCGACATCGAACAACCCTAATATACCCCCTACTACCACAACCCATATGGAATTCGTAATATCACAGCGCAATATATGGATACATTCACGGCTTGAGCTTGAGTCTGGGTCAGTCACCGTCATGGTCGAAGTTGGTACCTGGGATTCGGCTCTCGTCGATGCGGATGACCGAAGAGTAGTCTTCATAGTCGGGTTCGATGATGTCTTGCCCCTTGCGGCCATCGTCTTGATCGTCTTCGAACCAACTAGCAGGATCATCGTCTTCAAAGTCTTCGTCTTCGTCCTCGTCTTCAAAATCTGACTCGGTGGGCTTGTAGTTCCTGCATGGTCGGATTAGCAATACAATGCCATAGACAAGCTATAGAGCTTACATGAATGCCCATATACGAGCCTCCTGTTCCTCCCTGGTCAGAGCACGATAATCTCCCTTCTGAGGTAATCCCATTCGTCGCCGCCTCTCCTCCTGTCTCTCCTCCTGCTCTTTCTTGCGTTGCATTTCGGCTCTGTGAGCTGCTGCTTCGATCTCCATAGCCTCCTGGAAGGTGAAGACGTCCCCAGCTCTGCTTGTATTCGATTCTTGCATTCTAGCGGACTGTGTAATGGGGACGCGACATCAGCGATATACGAGAGACCAGCGGAGACATGCTCACGAGTTTGGCTAATGCACGCTCTTTGGCACTTATAGGACGAGGTGCCGAAGATGGCCGGTTGTCGACGTGCATGCCGTTCTCCTCCTGCAGGGTTGTGTCGTGGAGCTTCTTCTGAATGTCATCCACGCCGAGCTCGACTAAGCGTCTTTCAATGGCAGCCTGTTCGGCATTTATCCTTTGCACGTACGTGGAACTGGAAGGTCCGCTAGCATCCGAAGCAGATGAGATCAGCACCCAATATGCGTAGATGATTTGATGTAAACTTACGACTCCTCGAGCCTCTTGACATTCCGGACATGGCGCTGCCTGAGCTCCCGAATGCCTAGCTCAGCTATGGCGCGCTCCTTTGGCCGGGATGACGGCAAGAAACCATGGGGGACCGAGTGCTGTAGCCTGCCGCCTGGGGACGACGGTGGCGAGATCCCCGTAGGAGACATGCGGTGATGAGATCGCGTGGGTGAGACTGCTGGCATGGTGTAACGGCTGTGTGTGCTGCGCTTGAGGGGGAAGGCGAGAGCTGATGCAGATGATTGAGATGAGTTAGCGAGCCGGTACTTATACCGATCCCATTGAGGACATATGTTTGGCCTCCGAGCTTCCGTCATTCCCTGATCCGGAAGGTGTTCAGGTTCGCAGGCGTCAGGACAGCCGTCTGCGCATGTCTTTCTCCAAAAATCCAGCTATCGTACACTGCAGCTAGTCGATACATTACGCCACCCGGAAACTACAAAACGATGCATTGCCGCTTGACCCCCATTCACAGACGTCTGAGTTCCTCTGACGCTATCAATTATCCCGAACCCACCTCACATGAACATGTCGTGATGAGGCTAAATATGCGTGAGCCTAGCTGTGCATATTGAAGCTATAAAAACTTACACCAGGTGGCGGGAAGTCGTCAAAGTCTGAATCTCCAGTGTTCCCGCTTCCCGGCATCCTCCCACCTCTGCCCGCGCCTGGACCCCTTCCCGGGATTGGCCCACCAGGGAAGGGTCCCAGCCCTGGTCCAACCGGATCGAACCGAGCGCCAGGCGGTGCACCCAGGGGTGGCAAGAAACCATCGCCACCCCACGGTCCTCTTCCACCACGCCCGCCCACGCCCGCACCAAAGATGGGATGGTTGGGTCCCACGAACATGCCATCGCCTTCATTGCCAGGGAACAGAGGAGGTGGCGCAAATGGATTACGTGGGAAAGGCTCGCGATCGCTGCGACCAATTTCCAGAGGGTTGCGGATGGGCACCCGCATCGGGTCTGTCTCGTTAGGGCCCTGAGGTGGAAGGACTGGCTGCGGCCGCGCAGGTGGCGGCTGGTTTGACGGGCCAGCCTGGACAGCGGATGACTCGGACTGCTCCGTATAGCCCTCTTTCCGCAGGCCCGGGACTAGCTTTTGGACAATCATAAGCTGAAACTGGGATATGAAGTCTGTGATGCGATTGGACGAGATGAAGCCGTGAACGAGGGGTTGCGCGTCCGCAGCACTGGGATCCTGCGGGAAAAACGACGGAGAAGTGAAGTCGTTCGCAGGAATATCTAAGGATGCTATTTTGTCGGTCTGACGACGGGAGATCAGAAGTTGTGTTCCTTCCGAAAGGGAGAAAGCGCACTTCGACAGCAATAGCATTGGTAGTGAAGCGAGTCCCCAGCTTTGCCAGCTTCAATACAAATTCAAGACTACTTTGTTCATGTTTATATCTGAGAGTGTAATGTCCAGGTCCGTGGGCATTCCAGCCCTCGGGAAGGACGTTGTCCTCGTAGATGCCCTGAGAAGAGGAGTCGTCTACGCCTACTAGGCGAAAGCCCAGGACTGTCAGAGCGGTGTGAGTGAGAGTAACAAGGCCGTCTTGCGGGGACTTCAGTGTCTGGTTCTCCTTGGGAAGTAGTTTTGGCAGCTTAGCAGTGAGGACAGACGGGTCAAGTATGCTTAAGCTCATGGCTGCTCGAGGACGAGATGACGTTCTCCGTAATTGTTAGACGCGCGTGTGCTTCACCTGAGAACAAACAAGCGTACACAATAGCTTTCTCACACTTACACCACGACCTCACATCTCGGCGAGCTCCTTCACCGCACTCGTCTACCACCATGGCGCGAAGAGATAGATCTTATTCGCCAGACACACCACATAAGAGGGTAAGACCGTCTCATCGCTCTTCACCGCGGTCTCCGTCGCCAACCAGGCGCACCCAAAGGCCTCCCAGATCGAGGTACGACGATGACCGCGACAGGGATAGAGAGAGAGACCGCGACAGAGACAAGGACAGGGACAGGGACAGGGACAGGGATAGAGACCGGTACAGGGATGATAGGTATCGGGACGACCGTCGGAGGGACCGTCGGGACGATCGCAGGCGTTCAGGTTCTCGAGACCGTCGAGACCGTGACAGGCGCCCACCTACGCCGCCTCGTGCTCCCCCAGCCAACAAAGAGTCCAGTATTGCACCTACGCCTTTGCCCGTAGAAGACGAGAAGATCAAGGCCAAACGTGCCAAGCTTGAGGCATGGAAGAAAGAGCGTGAGGCCAAGAAGGCATTAGACGAGGCAAAGGCGAAGGCCATGGCTCTTGCTGGAAAGTCAGCTCCAGGTACGCGTATCTACATCTGTTTGAGGGGTCTTCAAGATTTCACACCACTTGATCCTATGCCCCACAGTTCCTGCTAGTACGCCCGTCAAATCTGCCGGGCAACTCAACCGTGCTGCTTTGGGTGGCCTGAAAGGACTTCTTGTCAAGCCCGACGTCCTGAAGGCGGCAAAATTGGGAACTGGTGCATCTATGGATGATTCAGAAGAGACAAAGAGGAAGCTCCAGACTCTCGACTTACCTGAGGTCGATATGACAATTTATGACGGCCAGGCGGGTATCGGCAACCTAGAAGCCGATGATGACGACGACGATGACAACAAGATGGCAGTCGACGAGCCCAAGAACGCGATGGACGAAGACGAAGACGATGTTGACCCGCTCGATGCATTTATGAGTGGCGTCAAGGAGGAGGTGAAGAAGGTCAACCTCGAGGACATGAAAAAGATGGACGTGAATGTCGCGTCGAGGGTCCGACTCGACGAACGGATGGCTGACGAACCCGGCGAAGAGGTTGAGGGTCCGGAGCCAGACGAGCTCGATACCACCGAACTCAATCCCGAGGATATTCTCGCGCTTGCGGCCAAAAAGGCTAGGAAAAAGGACCTGGCCACCATTGATCACTCTCGCATCAACTACGAACCCTTCAGGAAGGAGTTCTACATTGCTCCTCCAGATGTCGCTGCGATGACTGACGAGGAGGCAGACCTCCTCCGCTTGGAGCTGGATGGCATAAAGATCCGTGGCGTGGATTGCCCAAGGCCAGTCACCAAGTGGAGTCACTTCGGTCTCCCTGCGAGTTGGTGAGCATCATTTTACGGATGCGCTTTGGATACGTCCTGACCTTAACCTACAGTTTGGACGTCATCAAAAAGCTTGGTTATGCTGGCCCGACTCCCATTCAAGCGCAGGCGATCCCCGCCATCATGTCCGGCAGGGACGTTATTGGTGTTGCGAAGACTGGCTCAGGGAAGACTATTGCCTTTCTACTCCCTATGTTTCGTCATATCAAGGACCAAAGGCCTCTCGAGCAGATGGAAGGCCCCGTTGCAGTCGTCATGACCCCAACTCGTGAGCTCGCTGTGCAAATACATCGGGAATGTAAGCCCTTTTTGCGGGTCCTAAATTTACGAGTAAGCACCATCTCTGAATGGCGTTATCTTAACATCTAACAGACATTTGCAGGCTGTATGCGCGTATGGGGGATCGCCTATCAAAGACCAAATCGCTGAGATGAAGAAAGGCGCAGAGATCATTGTCTGTACGCCGGGACGCATGATTGACTTGCTGACTGCAAATTCTGGTCGCGTCACGAATTTGAAGCGTGTGACGTACCTCGTCCTTGACGAGGCTGACCGTATGTTCGATATGGGCTTCGAACCTCAGGTTATGAAGATCGTCAACAATATCCGTCCCGACCGCCAGACGGTCCTCTTCTCCGCTACCTTCCCGAAGCAAATGGACTCGCTCGCGCGGAAAATCTTACGCAAACCTCTTGAAATCACTGTCGGAGGTCGGTCCGTCGTTGCTGCCGAGATCGAACAGATTGTGGAAGTTCGCGACGAGGATACAAAGTTCAATCGTCTATTGGAGATCCTCGGTCAGACGTACAACGAGGACCCCGAGAGCCGCACACTCATCTTTGTCGACAGGCAGGAGGCCGCGGACAATCTACTCCGTGAGCTCATGCGCAAGGGCTACTTGTGCATGTCGCTACACGGTGGCAAGGATCAGATCGATCGTGACCAGACCATCGCGGACTTCAAGTCCGGCGTCGTTCCAATCGTCATCGCCACCTCCGTCGCGGCGCGCGGTCTCGACGTCAAGCAGCTGAAACTAGTCATCAATTATGATGCGCCGAATCACATGGAGGACTATGTCCACCGTGCTGGACGTACTGGGCGTGCTGGCAACAAGGGTACATGCGTCACCTTCATCACTCCTGAGCAAGATCGCTACTCGGTCGACATCTATCGCGCTCTCAAAGCGAGTAATGCAGCTGTCCCTAAAGAACTGGAGGATCTTGCTAATGGTGAGCCTCTTCTCGCCCTGATCTATCTTTGTTTGTAATATATCATCTCCGCAGGCTTCCTTGAGAAAGTCAAGTCTGGCAAGGCGAAGGTCGCCGGCTCCGGTTTCGGAGGTAAAGGGCTCGATAGGCTGGACCAAGAACGTGACGCTAAGGAGAAGGCTGAACGCAAGGCCTACGGCGAGCCAGAAGAGGAGAAGGTCGCGGCCGAGGAGCCAGCGAAGGCGGCTGTAGACAAAGACGAGATGACCTTTGGGACTTTCAAGGTCGAGGTGAAGCGTGGACCGGCTCCAGACTCATCCAAGGGCCAGCTTGGTGTCGCTGGCGCGGCGCTTGTCGCAAGACGACTTGCTGCGGCCAAAGAGGAAGAGAAGATCCAGAACTCGCTGCGCCACGCGGAAGAGGCCGTCGCGCGGGCAGGCAAGGACACTGCTGCATATAAGCAGGCGACGAGTGTTGTCCAGAAGCTGAACGCGCAGCTCCGTGCGCACAAACTTGTCGCTCAGTCGCAGTCGCAGCACGAGGATCTCCTTGGGAAGAAGGGTGTTACCGACGCCACCGAGTTCCATGCTGTCATCCCTATCAACGACTACCCCCAGAAGGCAAGGTGGCGCGTCACGAATAAGGAGACGATGGTGCAGCTGGTCGATATTACTGGTGCCTCAGTCACAAACAAAGGTGTGTCGTTGTTCTTTAGGCTTTGCGGGCACCCGCTGACATGATCACTGCTACAGGTATTTACTATGAGCCTGGGAAAGAGCCGCCACCGGAGGGTCCACCAAAGCTGCACCTTCTCGTGGAAGCGAACGAGGAATGGAGGGTGAGAAACACCGTTATGCTAGCTTCGACGTCTGGAGAGCTAATTTTAAGTACAACAGGTCGAGCAGGCAGTGCGCGAAATCAAACGGCTGCTCATCGAAGCCTCCGCGGCGGCGTTGCAGGCAGAGATGCGCAACCCTACCGCGACTGCGGGCAGGTACAGCGTGGTGTAGGCCGGTGTCTGAGTGCGAATATCATTGCTGGTGTGGTTTTGCTGTTCTGCTGCATTTTCTTGTCATCGAATACGATGCATATATATGCCTGACTGTGTACTGACATGTTCGGCTCTGCAAACTGAGGCGTCGTGCGTGTCGGCAACTCAGCGTGGTGCCCACGGGCATCTATAAGCAATTTCAGATTCTTGGTTGTTCCTGTACGATCTGCGCAGAAGCGACCCCGAAAACTGCCCACATTGAAAGATAGCAAGTTACCATAATTAGCCAATTAATGCCACCGGGACTGCTGACAAAGCACAGTCACGAGGCATGAATGCTCTGCGCTTCGAAAAGTGTTCGGGGTCTGTGCGATGCGCTGCGTATTTATCCAGCGGTTTGTAGTCAGTATGCTGTCATCGGAAATACGGGAGCAGGGAATCCCACTTTATAAGTGTTGGTCGACGGCGATGGGTCGAAGTCCCCGTCTACTCGCGCGTGTTGACCGTCATATTACTGTTCAGCAAGTGCGACATGCCCAAAAAACACGACGACGCAGCACGTTCAGTGCGCCCTGGCTCTGCAGGTTCAGACTCGACAAGCACCCGCGTGCGGGATGAGAAGGGGTTCGCGGCTTCTGGCCCGCACACTGAGAGTCCCAGCTCCCCGCACAAATCTGATCTCCACGGGGGCGAGGGCGAATCCGCCATCCCAGAAGATCGCAAGGTTGGTGCAGATGGATACGTGTCGGGAACGCATGCCACTGACTCTGTAATCATAGGAAGACACTATTGAAAACGAGGAGGACGATTGGCAGCACGACCCAAGAAATCCCCGAAACTGGTCCTTCTGGGAGAAATGGAAAATGACGAGTATAGTAAGTATCTGGCTCACCTTCCTTTGTTGTCGCTGACGGCGAAGCTTGATTTCGTACCAGGTCTCCTTCTATACGTTCGTATCTCCACTGGCAAGTTCTATGATGGCGCCAGGTCTTCCCGAAGTTGCAGAACGCTTCAACATCACGAACCAGGCCATTGTTGCGATGACACTCAGTATATTCCTGCTGACCTTTGCCGTTGGACCGCTATTCCTGGCTCCTTTATCTGAGATCTACGGGCGCACATGGGTAAGTCCATCCACAACTGCCGAAGCCTTTGATGCTGAGCTGTGAGGCTTCCTCAAGATCTTGCACATAGCAAACCTGCTGTTTCTAGCCTTTAATCTCGGTTGTGGATTTGCGCCAAATACGGGTGTACTGATTGGCATGCGCCTCCTGGGTAGGTGATCGAGACCTCCCGTCGCTGCAACTCCGCTTACGCTTCCTCAAAGCTGGATTTTTTGGTAGTGCCCCAATTGCATGCGGTGGTGGTACTGTCAGCGATCTCTTTTCAGAAAGGGATCGTGCGTCTGCCATGGCAGTGTATAGCCTCGGCCCCCTCATTGGTCCCGCCGTCGGCCCCATCGCAGGCGGCTTCATCTCTGAGACTATAGGCTTCAAATACATCTTCGTCGTGATCGCGGCTCTGTGCGGCCTCGCCGCTGCGCTTGGGATACCGTTCCTCAGGGAGACGTATTCGCCCGTCATCCGCCTGCGCCTCGCTAAAAAGGCAGCAGATCTGGAGAAGGCAGCGAAGCAACATCCTCACTTATTACAGAATCACGGGAGCAAGTGGCACTTGATCTGGATGAACTTGCATCGGCCGTTCATCTTGCTCACGAGAAGCTTCGTCTGCTTCATCCTCAGTCTCTACATGGCCTTGTGAGTAGATTCACTGGCGATAAGCTGACCTGTGTTAACGAAATCTTCCTTGGCGTAGCATGTATGGTATCTACTACCTCATGTTTGCGACCTTCCCTGATCTCTTTACCAACGTGTATCACTTCTCCGAAGGCATCTCCGGAGTGTGTTATTTGGGTCTTGGGTTGGGCTTTATGAGCGCAACAATCTTCGGTGCAAGCTTTGCGGATAGGGTCTACCTAAACGTAAGTACTCTGGTGGATGTGTGATGCTTTGTGGTTTATCTGTCACGTTATATCACAGCTCGCTGCGAGGAATGGAGGCAAAGGCAAGCCAGAGTATCGGATCCCTGCTCTGATCTTCGGGTCGTTGTTCGTGCCGATAGGCCTATTGTACGTTTACCTCTCAATCTCGCCAAACTTGACGCTGACGCATAGCTTTTCGCAGCTGGTACGGCTGGTCCGCCCAAGCCGAGATTCACTGGATCATGCCCATCATCGGCACCGCCATCTTCGGCTTCGGGATGATGACTACGTTGTACGCCTTCCTTCCTGCCTTATCTCCGCCTGCCACTCACTTGTTCGTCTGCAGCCTTCCGATTCAGCTGTACCTCGTCGACACCTTCACTTATGCTGCTTCGGCGCTCGCGGCCGCCTCCGTCTTCCGATCGACCCTTGGCTTCGTGTTCCCGCTGTTCGGCGAGCCGATGTACGCCGCGCTGGGCTACGGCGGCGGCAACTCGCTGCTTGCAGGCCTCGCCATCGTCCTCGGAATACCCTTCCCTATTTGGCTCTGGTTCCACGGCGAGAAGATCCGTGCGAGGAGCACGCTGAGCCGACGCTGATATCCAAATATAGGGGCATTATCCATCGCATAAACGACGTTCACAGATACCCTCTAACGACCATTTCAACGCAACTGCATTACTTGTTTTTGGATAGAAAGCTTCAATGGAAACTTTGCACCATACTCACTTCAGAACTTTTAGTATTACAGCTTGTCCTTCCACGATGTAGTCGATGTTTTATGACAGAAATTTTGGTAGCTCTAGCACTTTGATCTCTGCGTCTGCAGATGATCTCGAAACATCCATCTTCTGGCGCTTATAAGGCGCCACAAAGCCCTCGGGGACGGACCTAGCGCCAATGCTCAACTTGCGGGGCTCTCAAGTGGGGAGAATCCTTACAATCGCACTATACACGAGCAAGCCTATCATTGCAAAGTATAAATCATACAGACTTGATGAAAATCCGAGTCGACTAACGCATTTCACCGGCCACTGGTGCTAAATCTCATACCATGGTCACCTCCGATGCCGCCAGGGCCGACGCTCCCCGCACCCATCAGCCTCGGGCTCGCGACACTAGAGCCTCCGTCGCCTGCAGCGCTGCGAACTCTACGCTCGACGTCGACCACCTTGGCCTCGACTTCGCGCACGGCACCGTCGATCCACTGCAAGCTCTCGAGGTGGTTTGCAAGCACTTGGGCTATCTGCGTAAGAGGGTCATCGTTGTTCGTCTGTGAAGCGGCATCGCCAGCAACAGAGGCGGATAGATTGTTCGAGGACGTTGGTGAGAGGGCGTTGACAGATTCGATCATCTGGGTCAGTGAGGCGGAAAGGTCGTCCAGGTGGCCGTGAAGCTCGGTCGCAAGCATATAGCTGAGACAGATATGAGGATATGCGAACCAAAGGTGAAGTTTAGTACATACTTGCGGTCTCTCTCCGTATCTGCTGGTCCAGTGTCCAAGGATCTCAGGCCACCAGTACCGCCGGTAGTTTGAGACGGAGTATTTGTCGAACCGAGAATCTCGTCAGTGACTTTTTCATAGGCATCGAGTGTCGCAGAGAGCTCTCGTTGTTGCTGCTCGATATGGTCTAGGGACTGGTCCACGTCATTTTGTCCCCGCTCAGCCGCGAGGAGCGTGGCATAAAGAGCCGACAACTAATCACAAAGGCGTTAGAACCCTCAATAGCATCGATGAAAGGCCGACATACATTGTTGCCACTCTCAATTAATGCGCGATCCCAGACGGCAACTTCGCTGGCAAACTTGCCAAAAGCTTTGACCTGCTCCTCCAGCTCCGCTGTCCACTTGTTGACAATCTCTTCGATCGTCTTACCACGTAGTATTGATGGAGCGGGAACAGCCACTTGAGTGAATGACGTGGCAGCTGTCGGGCCAGCTGTACTGGTGGCAGGGGCCGAATTGGCTTCCTTTGGCTTGTCACCTGTGTCGCACCAAAGACGTTAGGAGATGAAACAGCGCCTACTTTCCGGCACCTACCATCTTTCTTCTCCTCAGGCTTTTTAGGCGCGCCAAAGAGACCGAATGCAGGGGCTGCATGTCACGACTGAGCATAGAACAACTTCAAATAAGCGTTCCACATACCAGCAGCAGGTGCAGTTGGGGCATTATCCTTCTTCTCTTCAGGTTTGTTAGCGGTCGAACCGAAAAGAGTTGGTGCAGGCGCTGAAGCTGAAGCAGCTCCAGGTGCTGTTTGAAGCCCTCCGGTCATCAACCGTTGCGCCGTGTAGATAAGAAGGATGTTGCTTACCAGCGCTAGTAGCAGGAGTGCCGGTGGAAGTACTTCCCCCCAGCCCAAACAGGCCCGGAGCGGGAGTGGTCGTGGTACCTGAGATAGTCCCCGCGCCGGGAGTACTGGCACCGGCTGTGGGCATATCGGGTTTCTTTCCAAACAAGTTGCCACTGAAAAGACCGCCACCGGCTGCTGGAGCTGGGGCTGCTACTGGGTTTGGAGTAGTGGCAGTAGAAGTAGACGTGGTTGTGGGGTTAGTGCCGAAGAAAGATGGAGTGGCTGGGAACATGAAGTCAGGGTGTATTACAAGCCATGAGCAGCTGAGTCTACAGACATGATGTTGTGTTCGCCGTGTTCGTACTTGGTTGAGCGAAGACTATACGCATGAATACTCAACTTCTTGTGAGGACAACGGCATTAGTTTAGACATACAACTCGATGCTCCTCCGGGTTTGGGTGCGTTCTGGTCTGCAGGTTTGGGTTGGCCAAAGCCGGAGAGGAAACCGCCAGCAGGCGTTGTTCCTGTGGTTGCATTGGGGGCAGGTGTTGCCGTAGTACCGAACAGTCCGCCAGCTGGTGCAGGTGGTGTGTTGTTCGAGCCGGCGCCCCCGAATAGACCTCCACCGGAGGTAGGAGCTGTTGGTGTACCAGAGGTGGCGCCAGTATTGGAGCTAATATTTCCGAAACCGCTAAAGGGGCTTCCTGTAGTCCCTGTACTGCCGGCGGGAGCAGCAGTGGTCGTATTTCCAAAGAGACCTCCGGCTGGTTGAGCTGCGAGTGGTCAATATCCCGAGCGAAACACAGCGAGAGGCGACGCACTAGTTGAATTGTTCGTGCCACCAAAAAGATTTCCGCCTGTACTGGAAGCACCCTGCTGGCCACTGCTGGTATTTGCGAAGAAGCTCATCGCGGACGGAATGAGAGGTCTGCACGCGACGCGTCCAACACACTTGATTGGCGTCAAGACTCTTGAAAACGAGGTAAGTGACAAGTCTTAACACACTGGTGTCGGACTTTAAAATATATTTACCATTTATAACCAGCCCTTGTGTTGCGAGGCCTTTATGCACCATGAGCACCGCACAAGGAAGCGTATTGCTGCTCTTGCTGCTCTTGCTTCGATCTGCTTATGACCTGCTCTTTTCATCACTTAGTCACATTCTTCCCAGTGCCGGTACATCTGGGGAGCTATGCAGCAGCTCCCGTTCCCCTCGGCTGCCGGTCGAAGTCTCTGAACGCATAATTGACTTCGTAAATGCAAGCTTTGTGGGCTACAATCACGAGACGGATAAAGACAAGAGAGCCACCCTGCTGGCTTGCGCTCTCACCTGTCGATCTTGGCGACCTCGCAGCCAGCTGCACCTATATCATTTCGTCATTCTAGACGACAAGTCGCAGCTACAGAGCTTCGCAGATTCGCTACACCAGAATTCCGAGCTGGGAACGTACGTCTTTGACCTTGCTATCAGGGGGAACCGAGCAGGGATCAGGTTCCCCTCGGGCATCGAACAATGGACGGCCCTCCTTGTTTTTAACCTACGGTTCTTGCCACATCTCGAACGACTCACACTCAAATGGTGCGATTGGCGGTGCCTGCACCGTAGCTTCTTCGCCATTATTTCCTACGTCCCTTCCATCACATCCCTCTCCTTGTCAAGCATTCGGTTGCATGCTTCGAAGGAACTTGTCTACCTGGTCTGCTCCTTCCCGAACCTACTTGAACTCGTGTTGTTCGGTGTCCAATGCTCCGACGCGCGTGCATTTCCTCTTATCAAGAGAGCCAGACGAAATATTCCCCTTCATATACTTCGGATCTATGGACCTAGCTGCGCAAGTGCAGGTGCGGTGCTTCGCACCCTGCATGTGTCGTCGTCTGGGACGCGAATTCAGATACTCCAAATCACAGCTAGGCACAAGGCTACACAGCTCGAGCTCGGCCATTTTCTTTCCGGTTGTGGTAGCTTGGAAGAACTGGACTTGTTTTTGGACATGGACCAGCTCAAGCCAGGTAAGCTACTCTATAACGGATATTATAACGAGATGTCCAACTTTTATTCAGAACCTGAAGAATTCTTTGACCTCAGCAAATGTATTCATCTACGACGCCTGCAGATCAAGTATAGCCAGATGCCAGCATCAAATAGATTGCTACTATCTCAAACACTATCAACAGTGCCTGCAGCTGCGATGGTCTCTGCCGTCAAGATCAGCCTCTTGGAGGAACGCAGAGACATCGCTCTACTCAATAGTATCAACTGGGAGGCCTTAGACTCAGTTCTCGATACTCCCAAGTTTCGCTCGTTGAACAACGTTACGGTCTGGATCTGTGTTTGGGTGCCCATTCCCGTGGATTTCGTCGAGAAACTGCTTCCTCGCCTCCACCAACGCAAGCTACTAACTTCTGAACTGCGTCTGCATTGACATCAGCCTGTGTAGACTTCGTTGTATATGTATACCATGTGCCGAATGTTTGAACCCAGAAGATCGATAGGAACTAACTACATATTTGTGGATTTGCAACACGACTCCTTAGCTCAGTGGTTAGAGCATGCGATTGCAGATCGCAGGGTCGCGTGTTCAAATCACGCAGGGGTCTTTTTGTTCATCTTGCGCCTCTCGTGGAGCCGTTTTTTATGTCATGGGAACTTAAGGCCTATAGGAAGGAAGTTCGTGAATATTTGCTAAAACTGAGAATATATGCTGTCGTGTGACGATGCTAGTGAGTATCGTCAGACACAAGACGTCCGCCAGATGACTCAGGGTCACTCCGCGCCATTGTTTTGCGAGGTCGGTCCGGAGGCGACGCCCACAGTTTTGTGGCCAGCTGCAAGGCTAACTCTGGCTAAGCCCTACTAGCTCCTACCGCGCACTAACGGGCGGATATTGCGCCCGAAGGCGCGGGTTCTCTGCCAGTCAGTGTCTATTTCTGGCACCCGCTATTGGTACCACGAGCAAGCAGTGTAACGTTTGCGCTATAACCCCGCCACATCCGAGCCGTTTGCCTTCAATAGGAGCTCGCTTGAAAGCAACTCGTTGGGGCCATTTGCATGTGCCAAGAGGATCGCGTAACACTCGGCCGTTTCTGAGAGTGCTCGATTACCGGTGTGGTGTAGTAAGTGCGCACTTCCTGTCTTGTTTTCCATCATAGCCGCACCATTTTCCCATTAATTCGTGTGATTTATAGGCTCATTCAAATTGATTGTATTCGACGTGTCTCGTCCGATGGGCTTAAGCTCCAAACCGAGGGTATTACTCCTACCCGCCACTGCCCGCTGAAAAGCGGACCCTTTCCAGGGGTGCGGCGGGTGAGCGCAGGGTGAGAGTGCGGGTTTGCCTCTGTACATCCGAAAGTATACCCGTGTCCACCACTAGGGAAGCCTCAAATAGCGGGGGTTGCAACTAGCAGCAGGGAACTTGCCTGAAAACTAAGCTTTCAGCAGCAAGATGTCGGGAAAGAACGTCATTCGTGCGTCTGTCATACAGGCATGCTCGGCGCAGTATTCCCTCTCTGCTACACTCGACAAGCTTGAACGCCTCGTGCGTCAGGTTGCGCAGGAGGGTTCACAGCTTGCGGTGTTCCCCATGGCTTTGTGAGTTTCTTTGCTGTTCGCGAGCATTCCGCACTCATTCGTGTCGCAGTGTAGGTGGTTATCCGAGGTTCAGCACGTTCGGTACTCGCGTCGGTTTCTGGCCAACCCCTGAAGGCAGGGATGAATTCGTTAGATACTACGATGCCGCGATTGAGGTCCCCGGTTCGGATGCCGTGGCTCGGATGGAAGCCGTCAGCCGAGAGACCGGCATATTCCTTGTTGTAGGGGTGGTTGAACGGCATTTGGGCACGCTCTACTGCACGGCGGTCTTCGTGGATCCTGTCCAGGGCTATGTCACCAAGCACCGCAAACTGATGCCCACTATGATGGAGAGGATCATTTGGGGGCAAGGAGACGCAGCACATCTGCCAGTTCCTCAGGCCACATTTGCCACGAAAGGTGAAGAACGCTCTGCGAAGGCCAGACTATCGGCTTCTTTGTGCTGGTAAGTGCTATCCCGAACGCTGTCATTCCGCATCGTCGCTAAGTAATCTCCAGGGAGAACTATATGCCTTTGAGTACGTAGTTACGGCTGGCATCTTCCATTTGTCCGCTTACCTTTATTTCTGCAGTTCGCACGTTCTATTATTCTCAGGGCACCCAGATCTACTGTGCACCGACGATTGACGACTCTCCTGGCTGGCAACATTCGATGCACCATATCGCTCTCGAAGGACGTTGCTTTGTCCTCTCAGCATCTCAATACGCTGAGGACAAGGATTACCCTGAAGGGCATGCTGTGGCCGACAAGAATGATCCAGTCGACCCGGGCGTTGTGATGTCGGGAGGCAGTATCATCATTAGCCCTCTTGGAAAGGTTTTGGCAGGTCCATTATGGAAACAGGAGGGCGTTCTCACTGCCGACCTGGACTTGGACGACCTCCCTCGTGGCAAGTTTGATCTCGACGTCACCGGACACTATGCCAGACATGATGGTGAGTAATGCTACTCTTCGCTTTTCCGTGGCTTGTCTGACCAACCATTGCTATATCTCCAGTCTTCGACTTCGGGCTGAAACGAGACGATAAGAGCACGTCGACGTAAGGTACTGGATGCATTACCGAAGCAGGAGGTGGCTGTAGGAACTTGTATGTGTGTTGTATAGTAGCTGTAACAAAAAGAGGAACTAGCACATGTCTCGTTCTGTACAACAAAAGCTACGATAATTCACATGTATACGACAGCGAGACATTCCTTCCTTCTGCATGACGTAGGCTGAGCCTCTCTAGAGAGCTACCAAGTATTGCAAGCAGAGTGCGAGAGAACAGTATCTTCGTTGTTCGAGGTGAGCCCAGCTCCCGCGAGTTTCAATATTCCTTTAATCTGGGTCCGAAATCGGAAGACCGGGACTAGCATTCAAGTACTAGCAGGATAGCGAAGAATATCAGTGCAACACGTCACTAGTCGCTCCTGAGTTCCCTCTTTGCAGCGACGGAGGCTTCCCTAATGTTACATCCAACTTCGTAGCCAGTTTTAGCACCTCCTTCTCAATGTCACCGATCCTAGCACGTCTACAGGCGAGGTCAGTGGGCATACCAGAGGACCACATATAGATACACGTACTCTGAGCTCGCGCGCTCGCCCAACTCGAATGCCTGCGAGACACCCAAGCCCGACACGCCATCCGCAAGCATCTTCTTCCGCAACTTCTCCTCTTTATGTTGCAACTCCTTTAGGCTTGGCAGCAGCCGATCGAGCTCACGACACAGCTAGACAAGTAATGAGCATCCCATACCCAAACATCGTACCGAGTACTCACCGTATTCGTTCGTGCGATTAACGAATCCTGATCGTACTTCCCCCGACCGACCACCTCGTCCCGCATACGCTTGAGCTCCTCAAACCACTTCCGTTCATGCTCGCTGACCTCTGGACTTGCGTTCCGCATCATGGCGGTTAGCACCCGATCTACCCTGCTCATCAGCTCCTTCTGGCTGTTCCCAACTTGTTCTAGCCGTGTCCTGGTCGCTTCCTGCCGCTCGCCCCGCAACTTTTCGATCCTATCCAGGACTTCCAGAGCTTTCTGCTGTTGTCGCTGGAACTCGGTCTTCTGCAGCTGAACATGCCCCTCCATCGTGCGCGCTGCGAGGAGGGTGTCACGGATCTGCCCAGTGAATCTCTCGACCCTCTTGCCAAGGTAGCGCAGAATCTCCGGTGTAAGTACGTTCGCGCTATTTGCACCGTTAGGCGGTGGTGTCGCAAGCAATGGGTTCCCAGGAAGACCGTTTGGTCGTGTGAGTATTGACGGCGCGCGGAAGGGCTCGTTAATTAGTGGTACGTAAGCAGGTGGCCCCTCAATCGCAAGGAAAGCGGCCGAGGACTTGAGATCGGAGGCTCCATTGACCGAGGAGGGTGATAGCTCGTTGGCGATCGGGTCCGATTCAAGTGTCAATGGAAGGACGACAGTTCGCATGGCCGAAGTTAATATGAATATGCTATATGTCAGATACACATCACTGGGTATCGCGACGCCTACAACAGGGTTCGAGCACCTGCAGGTAAGTTCGTCAGAAGTGTGCCATCTCATCTCATCCACAAGTACATGTTTCACTCACACTCGCTCGACGGAGTACGTGATGAGGATAGGTTGTACAGTTGCCCCTCCAACCCCGTCTAGTGCGCTGGCCAGTGCTTCTCCGCCGTCGCTGCTGATGTCATCTCGCAGAGCGCTTGCAAGATTCTGCAGAAGCTGAGCAAGGCGCAATGCATGCACACCGAAGGCATGATAAACATAGACAGTCTCGTCGCGTATTGGATCTTGGAGGAATACTGGGTAGTTTCCTTGCAAAAGATCGAGGATCCGTTGGTCAGAAGAAATCTTGGTTAACGACGACACGAGGCCAAGATCTACGGTTTCGTACACGGCAAGCATGGGCAATTCCTCAGCACGGACATGCTGAGAGTATCGAGTGAGACTTGGTTTTATTACAAGAGAAAATATTCACAGACCTTCCGTTCCCACCGCGCTTCAACCTTTTCAACATCCAAGAAGACGTCCACCTTGCCATCTTGATAGGCCACAAGAACCACCCCAAGTCTCTCCGTCTCGCCCTCGTCTTCCTCATCGCTATCTGCGCCGAAGGCAAGATATACAACGTCAGTTGCGTCTCCGCCGTCACTCCCTTCTATGGAAAGCGGCGCGGGCTGCAAAAGAAACGGCCCCTGACGGATGGCCTGGGTGCGCATGGTTGTTGGAGGATGCATAAGAACACTGCGGGACTTTGAGGGGTAGGCTGTACCGGGAGGGAGTTGCTTTAGCAAAGCGGTGACGTATTTATGCTGATTCTCGTAGAGACCAGTCATGCTGCCGCTTGAGGGGCTGCCTGAGCTCTCGCCTTGCGAGAGAAACTCTTGCTTGGCAGCAACAAAGCATTCAAGGGCATGAACGTATGACGAAGGCACAGAGGCGTTCTTCGGCATGTAGGGACAGATGGCGTATATGTCACCACTCCGCATTACGGCGTATACACTGAAGGGGCCCCAGTCTGCCTTGCCCTTGCCGAGAGTGAAGGACGCGACTTGGCGTTCGGCGTCGTCCTCTGCAACAAAAGATTTACGAAGCTTTTCGGGCACGAACGACAAGACCTGTTGTGGTTCTTCTGTGTCAATCGCAATGTCGTACTCCCTGAGGGATAGTCGTTATCAACCACTCGAATGTGAGGCAGAGTTAAGAGGCCTACCGAAGTTTGCCGTCCACAGTCATGACCATGAGCGTTGTTCCACCGTCTCCCCAAGGGTGCCAGTCGATCTTGGCTATTGGTGGCGCGTCTCTCGTACCGTGGAAGTACTGTCCAACATGGATAGACCTGCCATGCCGCGACCAGTCAGTAGTTAGGTAATGCCAGCGCCCCAACCAACTTACTTGCAGTCTACAGAAGTAGGCACCAGCTTTGTGAAGCCCGGACGAGGCAGCACTACGACTGCAACGTGGGAAACTCCTGCAACAGCCAGAAATTTGCCATTCGGATTGAGGGCCATTTGGTGAATATTGAACGGAACATTTGGCGTATTGAGAGACTGAAATCATTTGTATGCCCTCAGCACAATGCTCAGATGGCGCGAAAGTAGTGGACATGCACACTTTGTATGTCTTCGTTTGGCTCTTGCTCAATTTCGAGCCCCCGAGGGAAGCCATACGGATCTCGCTGCCGACGGCAACAATAATATCTGAATCTTTCGTGACTATGACTTGTCGTCTCCCTGAAGGTGTCGGACCATCACTATTGCGGTCCGCTTTAGCGAACTCTGGGAGCGTGTTTAGTGATAGTTCAAGTGACGTTTGGTCCTTGTATGTGGGGGTGGAGGTGCTCTTGGGTAGAGTGAATATAGGATGATCCCTAAGAAACACGTTCCAATCTTCTTCCCCTTCCATGATACCGTGGGCAATGGCAGAAGTATGGTATAGGCAGCGGAAGGGAAATGAGGAGGCGAGATGCTTGAGGCTCGCGTCGAACGCGCGCGCCTGACGCTGCTTCCCAAGAGCGGCAAACACTTCACACGCCCACGCGTCACTTCATATGCGCGCTGCTTGCGCGTCGAGTCCATTGCCGCCATCTCCCTTCTACTCTTTTATTCTCTGCCTCTGTAGTTAGCAGAAATGACCTCCATTGGAACGGGCTACGATCTCTCTGCGTCCACTTACTCACCAGATGGTCGTATCTTCCAGGTGCGTTTGATGGCTCGCCATACATCGTGTATTCCGACATAAGATTGCTTTTAGGTCGAATACGCCAACAAGGCCGTCGAGAATTCGGGGTAAGCTGATAAGTTGCAGCTATATGTTCAACATTACCTAGTTAGTTTTCCCCTAGGACCGCTATTGGCCTGCGCGTAAAGGATGGCATTGTGCTCGCAGTCGAGAAGATTATACACTCCAAGCTGCTGGTCCCAGACGCGAATAGACGAATACAGAGCATTGACAAGCATATCGGCCTGGTCTGTTCCTGCCTCTGTACCTGCGTTCTGGCTGCAAACTGAGTGTAGCTCTCCATGACAGGCGACGTCAGGCTTCCAAGCAGATGGCAGGCATCTTGCGAGCCATGCACGGGGTGAAGCTACGAGCTATCGCGAGTGGTACCGCTCGCCGGCGCCGGTGAAGGTACGTGCGCGTAGTTTCTCGGCACGCCACCTGACTCTTGATCTTCTTGCAGGAAGTCGTTAGCAGACTGTCCATGTATGTGCAGGCATACACGCTCTATTCATCAGTCCGGCCGTTCGGTGTCAGCACCATTGTTGGTGGCGTCGACAACGCAGGGCCCCACCTGTTTGTCGTCGAGCCCAGTGGTGTCGCATATGTGCGTGTGTCAAGACTGTGCCATACTGCACGAGGCTGACATGCTCGCATGGGATAGGGCTACCACGGGGCAGCGGTAGGCAAGGGTCGGCAACTTGCCAAGACAGAGATTGAGAAGCTAAAGCTAGTAGAACTCTCGACAAGAGAAGCTGTCGTGGAAGCTGCTCGAATGTAAGCCAGCTGTGAGGAGCCTTCGTCTTGCACGATGTTAACCCGATTTCTTAGTATCTACCTCGTCCACGATGACCAGAAAGAGAAGGAATTCGAGTTGGAGATGACATGGATTGGTGACGAAACTAACGGCCTACACCTCCCCGTCCCGAAAGACCTGCATACGGAAGCGGAAAGGAAGGCGAAAGATGCGCTAGAGAACTTCGAGTAATTTGTGCAGAGCTCAATCGTGTAATCATATGTTCGACTGTTCATCTTGAGATGCTCAGCGCTGAGCACAAAGTATTGTCCCGCGTCTCAGGTCACTGAAGAGCCGGAGGTATTATACAGGCCCAATGAAGGGGCGCGTGTGCTCTATACAATCATCTCTAATTCGCGGGCATATTGCAGGTTCACCGTGATGAGCTTGTCCTTGGGGATCTCCAACTTCTCCTCGCCTTTCTTCGCGAAGTCGATTGTGCCCGCGGTCAAGTCTACTTGCCACCCCCGCTATTATGCTCGGTTAGTGAGATGTTCAATGCACTGTTCACACAATACCCACCCCCTGGGCATACTTCAGGACTTCTTGCTGCGTGCGGAAGAACAGTAGAGTCGCCGCATCCTTTATTGGCAAGCTGTTATATGCCGCCTCTTCGCAACTCGCGATCTCGTTCCTGCACGACCCTGTCAGTATGTCACTTCGTAGAGCCATTCGCTACACATACCGGATGGTGCCCATCAGAGAGTCAACGAAGAATTTGTACTCCTCGGCAGGTGCTTCCTCTCGCGCGTTCCACACCTTGCTGTAACTCCCCTCCATGAGCCACCGCTCGAGGTTTATGGGATGGCTTATGTATGGGTTTGAGGCAAGTGAGTCTGCGGGTAGTGGGAGTGACTCGAGGGTCGTATGGAAATCGGCGATGCGATTCTGGGTGAGCAGGCGGATGAGGTTCAAGCCGCGGATGGGATATTCACGGGGAGATGGCGGCAGGGCCGAGCTGACGGAAGCCAATGAGCACTTAAAGGTTGATGCAGCAAAGCAAAGCGCACCTGTAATCATTGTAGTAGGTCTGCAGCTGCGAGAAGTAACGATCGAAGGAAGGAATATCCCTCGTCCGTATACTCCAGAACGCGCCGATTTCCAGAATCTCCCCTACACGTCCGCTCAGTCAAGCACACGACACGAACAGCACGAAAGCCATAACATACGGGCAACGGCGAGGTCATTCAAGTCCACGTCTCCCTGTGGCACGAGCAGCCCATGTTGAATAAGTCCCACCTACACAACCTTTGAGTAAGCTCAGCGTATTGCGTATGCGCTTGCAGCCGGCGTCACCTTCAACTTCGCTAGTAGATCTCCGCACGCCTTGAGATCGGTGGGTTGCGACGTGAAGGTCGTCTTAAGCTTGTTGTAAAGTGTGCCAAGTTCTGGTGTAGCCATAGTGGAGGTTGAGTTACGAGGCAAGAGGTATGTGCGGGGATCAGGTGCAGGAAAGAGGTCAGGACGACGCGCGTTCGACGCGTCACCTCGTTTATCCGCTTCTGCCTCCCGCCACCACTGCACTTCTACTTCCCTTTCTCCGTATCCATTCCCTTCAACAACGATCGCATAAGCAACATGCAAGTCGATATCAAGCACCTCAAGTCGGGTGAGGTCAACCTCGGTGTAAGCATACCATAGAAATAACTGGATGCACTTGCTTATTCTCTTTGGGACAATGTAGACTTCTATCATGGCCGTCCAGTTCTCGGACGGCGTCGTGATCGGCGCAGACTCGCGTACGACGACAGGCAGCTACATTGTGCGTGACCCAGTTAGGTTGGTTACTCAAACGGACTCACATCCGTGCACGCAGACGAACCGAGTGACCGACAAGCTCACACACGTCCATGATCGCATTTACTGTTGTCGATCAGGCTCAGCAGCCGACACTCAGGCTGTTGCAGATGCCGTGCATTACAACCTCCAGATGATAACGTACGCCCTTCGTACCACATTCCCCCTGCCGACTTTAACGGCGCTCCTGCAGACAACAATTCGGTCATCCGCCCTCGGTATCTGTGGCTGCCAACGTCTTCCAACGGATCTGCTATGAAAACAAGGATGCGCTATCGGCTGGTATTATCGTAGCGGGCTGGGATAAAGAAGAAGGCCCTAGCGTGTATAACATTCCTCTTGGCGGAGGTCTCTTCCGTCAGCCTTGGGCAATTGGAGGTACGTCCTCAGTTCGGACCAAGTTTTGCAGAAGTGGCGGTATTGAGTATCACCTATATAGGCTCTGGCTCGACATACGTCTACGGCTACTGCGATGCTACCTACCAGGACGGCTGGAACAGGGACCAGACAGTAGAATTTGTCAAGAATAGTGTGTTCACTTCGTTCTATCCTAATACTGGCTTATCTGACTTGTCGTTGACAGCACTCGCCCTTGCCATGTCTCGAGATGGTTCCTCCGGCGGTGTCATTCGTATGTGCGTCATAACGAGAGAAGGCGTGGAAAGAGTCTTCATCCCAGGAAATGAGTTGCCAAGATTCTGGGAAGGTGACGAGGTGCTCGTGAAGAAAGCGTCGGCGCCGCCTGCTGGAACGGCCATGGAGGTGGAATAAGCGAGTGTATGATTAACGACTGTGTACAATGGACTAAATTTCATGCGTCTGAGCATTTATGAGGTGGGTGCGAGGATGGAAAACCTATGATGGCAGGGCTTTAGGCATGAGAATCTTCCAACCCCCGGCAGATGTCTTCTTAGTCTTCTTGTCCCAACCACTACCTTCCCAAAGGCGGATTCTCCAGAGTGCAATTGCAAGAGGGACAGTATCGGCTCTTAGGATAGTGTTCGCGTCAGAGAAGATAATGTAAGCATGGCTACCTTTCTGATCCCCTCTTGCCCAACGGTCTACTTTCGGATTTTGTTCTTTGCTGTCGTTGGGATGATCTGGCCGCCCATGCTCACGCCACCGAGCGTTCCGTTCGACGTCCAAGAGCCGGTTCAACGCTTTGTGCAACGCTGCTCGTTGCACGCGTGAAGGAAAAGTAGCAAGTCCGTGATACAACGGTATTTTGGCCGACGGAAGGTATTGGTGGGTTTTGACGAGGGAATCTACAGCCCGATGCTTGCCAAAAGTGGTAGGGTGCATGGTGCATACCGGTGGCAGCGGTTTGTCGGGTATAAACCTGCCGTCCTCCTGGACGGGCTGAGGAGAATCAGATGGCGTCGGCCGTTGCCTCGTCTCCGGATTCTTGTTCAATGGTGGGACCACGATGATGGCGACAGCGTTCTCGTAGGGAACGATACCACTCCCCTTTATCTGCTTCCATTCCGCACGTGTCAGTCGTCGTATGGCAGGGGATTCTCCGGCGTGGCGAGGTCTGGTCTGCAGCCGCTGTGCAAGAAGTTCCAGCTCTTGTAAGACGCGGACCCGAAGGACGTGGCTCATCCGTGCCTCGAAGTAGGGTGCGTTAAATATCAAATTTTTCGCAAATTTGCGCCAAGTTTCTGCACACTCTATGAGAAAGTGAACCATATACGAGGACCAGACGGAGTCACATACGGCGTTCTTCGAAGTCTTTGAGGACCGCCTTGTTACATACCAGATAATGCCCTAGCCGACCTATTCGGCTTCGGTACCGTGGATGCTCCATGAGGTCTGGGACAAAGAGTTGAGCTTCCTGCGCGGCACGAGGACCCTGGGTATATACGACCGTGAATCTGACCATGAAGTCTGCGTTTCGGCCGGTATTAGCGTACATGATAGACGAAGAAAAACTTTTGAACTAACCTCTCGGTACGATCTTGTGTGACATGGCATCTGACCGCAAAGGACTTGCCAACATCCTCACTTTTCGCATCGTTAACTTTGAGCACAACTAGACTTCAAGCATGCACTCACAATAAGGACTAGCATACCACTCCCTCTCCTCCTCAGTCATCGCCCGGACTTTTGCGCCATATGCACCCCGCGTAGCATCGACCACAGGTCTAGCGAGAGCTTGGCCATAGACTTTTGGGGCCGGTGATTTGCGATAGTCATAGTGCTGCCTGCTCTGAACTACGTTCTTGGAGTCTAATAGCAAGGACTGTGTTCGGTCGGTTACTGAAAGCGATGCAAGAGCCTGTTTGGCTGGTATGCGTCTTCCAGGTATTCGTTGGAAGCGCTTTGGAGGCAGTACTGGAGGTGGTTTGTCAAGCGCAGAGTCGCGAACTTTGTCCCATGCTCGAACAAGACGTGGTAGGATGCGAGGCATGGCGCGCTCGGCTGCTTGCCCAACTTACAGCTCCTTCGCCCGATCGGCGTCTGCGCTTCGCATCTGTCATGGTGATCATTGCGGTCCGAGTCCTTTGCGATCGTGGGCGTCGGCGAGCACATCTGTTATCACTGTGATCTCAGCCTTGCTCGATCCCTAACGCTTGACTATCCTGTAGCTGTTCGTTGAGTCTGGGTATATACAGGTGTCTCCTTCCTAGCAGTCTGCCACCACGAATATGTGCATGCCTCACTTTAAGACGTTCAAAGTCAAACGCGGCTCGACGTCCATGTGCTTTGCTTCTCATTGGTCCTTGTGACTGCCGCAGTACTGTCATCCAATGCTAAGGTCCGCATTACCAAGCGGCCCTGTTTCGAGACTGCGCCGAGTCGCCTTCATATCCGGCGCCGCGAGGAATGCACATGCTCGTGCCTTGCTGTGAGACCGATTAAGCCGGTCATCTGTCGCATCTGCGGCTGCGGCTCCTCCGTCGAATGACTCTGAACAACGCTAAAAGCCTCTGGAGGAGGTCGTTACGCCCCAGTAAACCAGAACTATCCCGCAATATGGGCCAGGACATACCCTCGTTGAGCACTGAGCCCATCACTTTGGCAGTCATTGGCTGCGGTCAGCGTGGCAATGTATGTGCATTCTCATCTTGTGAAAAGGCTGCAACTGACACGACTGCTAGGCATACGCTTCCTATGCACTGCAGGAACCTACCGCGTGCAAAGTCGTGGCCATCGCAGAAATTCGGCCCAAGACGCGTTCTCTGTTCGCCCAAGCTCATTCAGTCGACAAGACTTTGGTCTTCAACAGCTGGCAGGAGCTACACCGGGCCTCTGCGGAGACCATCAAGACCGTGGGCAAGCGTCTGGCCGACGCCGTGATTATCGCTGTTCATGACCAGATGCATCTGGAAGTGGTACTCGCCTTTGCCGAGCAGGGCTATCACATTCTTTGCGAAAAGCCCATGTCTACTAACATGGACGACTGTATTAAGATGGAAGCTGCCGTTAAGAGGGCGGGCACCATCTTTGGTATGGGGCATGGTGAGCGTTGTGTTGCATACATGCTATTTGCCTTCTAAATAACCTTACTAGTGCTGCGCTACTCGCCATACAATGCTGCTCTAACGCAGATTATTCGTGATGGGGATCTTGGACCGCTCATAAATGTGGTTCACGTTGAGCCTGTCGGCTACTACCACTTCGCTCACTCCTATGTTCGCGGTCATTGGGCTAAGGAGGAAGATAGCTGTTTCTCTCTCATGACTAAGAGCTGCCAGTACGTGAATTCTCTGGAAGTGAATGCAGTGCATATACTCAAATTACGATTTCATAGCGACATTGATATCCTCTGTCACTGGCTGTCACCCAATATGCCATCTCGTGTCTCATCCTTCGGCTCCCTCCGCCATTTCCGCAAACAGTCTAAGCCTCCCGCGGCTGGTACGGCGACACGGTGTCTGGAGTGTCCCTATGAGAAGGATTGCGCCTACAGCGCAAAGAAGAGTGAGCGCACACGAAGTTTTCCTGCTATTGATATTCTCACACGTTCGCCTAGTATACCTCGATCGGGTTGCCAACGGCCATAAGAGCTGGCCAGTCAGCCCCATCGTAGACGGTGTCCCCGACATCGAGAGCGTCGAATATGCCCTCCGCCACACGAAGTGGGGTCAGTGCGTGTACGAGTCCGACAACGACGTCTGCGACAACCAGGTTGTCAATCTCGAGTTTGACAACGGCACGACCGCGTCCTTCACAATGGTCGCGCAGACATCGCTCATCTGCCAACGGCAGTCGCGGCTGCACTTCGCTTTCGGGGAGATCGTGGGCGACATGACGGACTTCACTGTCACCGACTTCCGCAAGGGCCTTGTGAAGAAGTACTCGCCTAAGCTCGAGGGTGGCGGACATGGAGGCGGCGACCTCGGTCTCATTCGCACGTTTGTCGAGGCTGTCCGCACCGGCCGGCAAGAAATCCTCGGCACAGATGTCAGTGACGTCTTGAAGAGCCATCTTACTGTCTTCGCCGCTGAGACCAGTCGGCGTGAGGGGCGGGTGGTGGACTGTGTCGCTTTCGAGAGAGGGGCCCGCGAGAAAGTTTCCGCATAGTATAGGTGAAGAAATTGAGTTGGATTGTCTGCGGGCGGAATTGATAGGAATCTTCATACAGCTTTTGGCGAGACTAATTGTCGACGAATAGATTGCAGAAGAGATGCCAGTATGTACATGAACTAAATGATGGGAATATACGGGACAGATGCGCAAACATGTTCACAATGGAAATGGTAAAAACACTAATCTGAAAACTCGAGCTCTCTACGTATACGCTCGCGCACCTCGCGTAGACCACCAGCTTCGGGACGCACCCTCTTGGGCGAGCGTGTGAGAATCTCGTTCGCGCTCTCGTCCTTGCCACGAATGCGCCCAGGGCTCGCGGGCATCTTCGGTAACTTGCTTGGGCTGCCGTCCGCAGCATCGGTGTTCTTGGACGCAGGCATCTCGAGCCATTCCTCGGTACCGACGTCAATCTTACGGAGGAAGAACGGACAGAGCTCGACAAGCAGGTCCAGCGACTCGTAGGCCTCCGCGGACGAGATAGGCACAGGCGAAGACTTCATGATCGCAGCAGCAACCTCAGAGGATGGTAGCGCACGACGTTTGCGGCTGCTAGGCGTGGCGGTCACCGAGCCGACAGGGTTGGAGAAGAGCATCCAGACGCTTTCAGCCACTCCGTTCAGTCGACCGAGCAAGCATCGCCTGCGCATCTCCTCCTGGTTCAGTTTGTTTAGCTGCGTCATGCTCATCTTCGGGGTCCGACCGCCAATCGCAGGAAGAGCTTTCGTCGGCGACGTACTGGTACTCATGGAGCGTTGGCGGATACGTTCGTAAAGCGCCGCCCGACGCGAAGTGTTAGGAGTCTCGGGCGCAGTGACCGCATCGGGTCCGCGTTGGTGCACCGGTGTTGAAGGGATGGGGGAAGAAGTAGGCGGGGTGTCAGAGAAAGAGCTCGTCGGAGTACGAGCACTGCTCGGAGTAAGAAAACCGTCCACATCCCGTAATCCCCGAGTTGATGGAGTCTGCGGGAAGGGGATTAAGCCTTTAGCAGGAGACACGCTGCGGCTTGAAGGTGTCATGGGGAACGGGGCGGAATTCTTGGAAGTTGACGCGGTACGATTTGAGGGTGTTGCTGGGAAGGGAGCGCCGAAGGCACCCGGGGTTCGCTTAACAGGTGACTTGGTCGGGGACTTCAGGAAGGGAGTAGGTGAAGTAGGTGTTGCAAGTATGGCAGCGGCGGCGGGTGACTTAGGAGAGGATGAGGCCAAAAGACGCGTCAAAGTAGAAGGTTGTTTCGCGACCGGCAGCGGTGGAAGGACAGCCATAGGGATCTGGGGAGCGTTGCTGGCATCCTTGTGGAGCTACAGACAAGAATATGTCAGACAGTGGCCAAACAGTTAACGAAGCACATACCGCCACCCAAGATTCCAGTTTGCCACGGAAGTCCTTACGACGCTGCTCACTAGCAGCGGTCCAGCGTGCGACAGCCGCCATTCCACCGCCCATATCTTTATCGATGTCCATCTCAACTTCGATGCCAATTCCATAAGCAGGGACGCGTGAGCCTTGGACTTTGGAATAATGCGTGCTCTGGCTCACAATGAAGCCCATGGCACCGCGCGTCCAATCCTTTCGCGTAGGCTCGGTAGGCTTGGACCCCAGGAACGGGTTGTCATCCTCTTCGTCGTTATCCCTTTCCTTTCCCTTCGCGTTTCGCTTTGAAGGAGATAAAACCTTCTCAAGGAAGGGATTATCATCGTCGTCGTCAAGGGAAGCTCCGACCTTGCTCTTTGCATGGGGCCTAGGCGATGTGGATTTCTCGACAAATGGATTCTCCTCATCGTCAAGAGAAATTGTACGCTTGCCCTTGACAGGAGACTTTGAAGACGATGCAGATCTTTCAGATTCATCGGCCAACGAGTCCTTATGGTCTTCGGCGACCAGCGCTATAGCGATTGCCCTCGTCCTTGGCCTAAGGGCCCGCTGCGATTGCCCCGCGGACGCGTCTCTCTGCCTCGTCGCACCCGGCATTATCCTGTTCTTCCCTTTCCCACTCTTTGGATGGGTTTTGACATGGAGTACACTGTCGTTATCCGACGCAGCGGACGCGACCTGCGCGTCGGCAGCCGGCTTTTCCAAGAACGGGTTATCGCCATCTTCGTCCAACGATTTCGGTTTTGACGCGTCGAATACTGTTGGTAACGTCTTGCCATCCCACTCCCAGATCCAAATAAGCCTCCTGAGGTCATCGATGTCGAACTTGGTCGTCAATCCGGTGTAGGTGTTGATTGATAAATGATTCAGAACGTTGCGAACTATGCCGGTCTCAGATGAGGGGGACATGGCACATGTTGCAAGGGCATGTGAAAGAGCGTGCTGCAGTGCGGTTTGAATGGTGAGGAGCCGGGAGAGATGTGATGGCAGGGGTCTCGCGGTTGTCGCGTCAAACGGTCCCTTGCTGGCACCAGCCTTGCGTGAGACAGTAGAGGGAGGCGTAGTCGGCCTATATTATTGTAATTGCACGTTAGAAGACCGATGTCAGGCAGAAATCATTGGAACATACGCGGTTCTGAGGCGTTTGGGTGTGAGGACATTATCGTCGTCCTCTGGCAAGCAGCGTTTCTTCCTTGGAGAGACACGCAGTGCAGTATAAAGGTCTGACATCGTTACACAAACGGATAACACGCGTGAACAGGGTGGAATAAACGCTACAAAGAGGCAGAGAGCGGAAGAGTGGGAAGTTGATATGGCTAGCGCTTCTGTCTCAATCTCGACGCGAGCAATTACCGCGTTCCCACGACGCGCTTTGAATCTCCGATAGGCGCCCATCGTATGTCTGAGAAGAACATGATTTGTGAAAAATAGTAAAATCTCGCATGAGCAGATAGTCCAATCGAAATGTAATTTTTCAGTGCTATACTCACCTGCGTGCTGGCAGGTACCACGGGACATTACATGGGATCGTTTCGAAACTCCCCAGAAATGTAATAGACGCTTTGCGGACAGTCTAGCCGCTCCAGCATGCACACTTAATTGCAAAGAAACTGAGACATGAAATCTGCCCAGATATCGTCCATAACGAACAAAGACCCAATATGACCCCCTTCGCCATATCGCACCTTGGAATTCTTCAGATTACTTGCCAACCACTCGCCCATCTTCTTCGTCTCCTTGTCCTCCTTGGTCAGGAAGAGAACCACCGGCTTGGAGTTTTCGTCGCCCAACGCAGCCGGAGAATAGCCTCCCCAGTCCGAGTGAAAGATGTCTGGAACGGCCTTGAAACCCTCCCAACTCCTCTGAACGCTGCGGTATACCCCGTCCGCTAGCTGCTTCACCTCCTCTCCGTCCTTTATCCCCTTCTCAACCTTCCACTTCTCGTATAACTCGCGCTCCGGATCCGTCATGTTCTTGAAGACGAATGCTCGCATGAACTCTTCTGCGTGCTCAGGTGTGTCCAACTTGCGCTTCATGAAGGAAGAGGCGATACGCATAATGAGGTTGCCGGGCACGATGCGAGAAGGTGGTCCAATCGCGAACCAGCTTTGCCAGGAAAGGCAGCTGGCATACTCCTTGTGCACCCTGCATGGGGTGAAGGGAGCAAGCAAGAGCATGCCTTGAATGCGGCGACCAAGCGGGAACTTCTCGTACGTTGCACCGTACAGGATCTGTGCCGCGACGCTGCCGAAGGAGCCTCCGCTGATGTACAACCGCAGGTCCTCAGCATGAGGATGAAGGTGCTGGATCAACGCCGAGGTGTCTTTGTACAGCTGCTCGTGAAAGGGTACGTCAGAGGCCGTGGGCGAAGTGTTACCCCAGCCGGGAAGTGTAGGGGCGACATAGTGCACCTTTCTCTCGACCAGCGCCAGTGGAAGTAAGGCTGGGGCTGCCCCGACGCCGAAGACGCCGTGGAAGAAGATAACGACGTCGGTACTGGACGCGTCGCCTGCGGTGGAGTATGCGATGGTGCGCCCCTCCGGGAGAAGGAGCGCGTGCTCGTTCGTTGTGTCAGCCATAGGGAAAAGTTCGTCTTCCTACGTCCGTGAGTGTCAGTTGTCTTGGACGTATGGATTTGAGTCTTAGCTATATACTGCAGATGTGAATAGAAAGCATTTTACGTGTCTGTGCCTGCCTTTTTGACAGGGGCACAGTAGTTGTGCACACTTGCTATGATCTGCGGCGCAGAGTGTTTCGATGAACCAAGCCCGGCTGCAGACGCCCCCCTCTTACAGTTGGAGCGTAGCCAAATGCCTCAGGTGCATTCCAGAGACTGATACTGCGGTGTCTTGATGTGGTAGCTAAGAGCTGAATACCGCAGGCACGTTGTATCGAGAGCCACGTCTGGCTCATAGTCTAGAATGAGCTGCGGATCGCCCTTGCTGCGCCCACGGTCCTGTCCGTTGGTGCCGAGCCAAGGTAAGGCGGCACACGTGCCACTACAATTCTCGGATACACGCCACCTTGTACAGCACATAGGTGGATTTCTCGCCATCACACCCGCATAATCACGACTCGGTCCTCCCTCAATCATACGATGGAGCCGTCTGCCTATGGCACCATAGAACGTTAACACATTGTGACACCGCAACCTCCAATGGAGAGCTCCATATATTAGCGTTTAGTTTGTCACTGTCTTCTCGGTCCTTCTTGGCCTGGTTTCAAGTTCCAGAACACCATGTCGAGCCAATACCTTGTCCTCGATGTCGCAGCTGTCTTCTTAACTCTCTTGATTGTCCGCCGGATCCTGGTCAGTAATGTCAGACCGCGCCATTATCTACCCGGTCCCAAAGGACTTCCGGTCATTGGCAATCTCTTCGATGTACCAACTACTCAAGAATGGCGGACCTTTTCGCGCTGGGCTGATTGCTATGGTACGTGCCTACCTGGTACCCATCGCTGCGTGTCTGACACCTGGTTCAGGCGAAATCGTCTCTCTGAACGTCTCAGGCCAGCGGATCGTCGTGTTGAGTTCTGCGAAGGCTGCGTTAGACCTCCTTGACAAGCGGAATGCCATCTACTCCGATCGTCCCAGCCTTATGTTCGCTGGCGAAATTGTCGGCCACGTCAAGACGGCCCCATTGGCGCCTTACGGGGAGCGCGTGCGGAATATTAGGCGCATGATTGCTAAAGCCGTTGGCACCAGGACACTCGTTGAAGGCTTCATACCGTTGATATCGCAGACCATTCAAGGCTACCTCATGCACTTGTTGCAGATGCCCGAAGAGTTTAGGGAGCACGTCCTTTTGTAAGCGCCCTAAACTTCGAGTGCATGAGTCCCTCGCTGATCTGGACGCGCCGTTAGTCTGACATCCACCAACATCCTCCTCATCTCCCACGGGCACCGAGTGAAAGATTCAAGCGATAGATTCCTGAAGTTGTCGGATGTCGTGACGGCTGAGTTTTCGAAGTCAGTCATCCCAGGAGCTTTCCTGGTCGACCAGTTCCCTCTGCATTAATGCACCGTCATATGTTTGCTCGGCAGGTGCTCATGTCTGCATAGTGCGCTACATTCCCTCGTGGGTCCCCGGTGCCGCCTGGAAGCGAACGGCAGAAAAGTACAGAAAGAATATGCTCGCCGCAGTAGGGGAGCCTTTCGAATTTGCCAAACAGCAGATGGTGTGTCCCCAGTCCTCAGCCTGACCAGGCAGACCTTACCTTTTCCGACATGGACTGCCGGCACTGCGATCTCAAGCTTTGTCTCTCGAAATCTCGAAGACGGTGACGGATTGCCAGATCATGAGGATACTGTCAAATACGCGGCGATGTCTCTGTATACCGGTATGTCCTTCTATTTGAAATCTGTTCATCCTGCCGTTGATCATACTTCCCGGTAGGTGGCTCTGATACTGTACGTCCATTTCATGGCGTACGTTCGGTGTGGAGTATTGATGTTGAGAGGTAGACTGCCTCTGCTCTCACCTCATTCTTCCTCGCCATGACTCTGTACCCCGAGGTCCAGTGTCGTGCTCAGGCCGAGCTTGACGCGGTAATTGGCACGGACAGGCTACCTAACTTCGAGGACCGCGATCGTTTGCCCTACATTAACGCGCTTCGCTACGAGATCCTTCGTTGGATGCCTGTCGGGCCTCTTGGTAAGCCCCCAAAATAGCGCCATTTTGATATTGTCTAATCAAGGCTAAGCCGTACCGCACAGACTCATGGAAGACGATGTCTACGATGGCTATTTCCTGCCAAAGGGTGCTATCGTTTCCGGGATCAGCTGGTAAGGTACCGGATTTGCGGCACAACTTCACAGCTGATCAATATTCCAGGAGAATTCTTCATGATCCCAAGTGCTACCACGACCCTATGGAGTTCAAGCCAGAGCGCTTCCTCGCGTCAGACAGCAAAGAGCCCGAACTCGATCCGAGCAAGTTCGCCTTTGGCTACGGCAGACGGTCCACCATACGCCTTCTCATCTTGTTGTGTACTGGCTCATCAGCGCTGTGCAGCATCTGTCTTGGCATTCTCGTCGCAGAGGCAACAATGTTCATCACCATCGCTTCGACACTGGCTATGTTCAATATCGCGTCTGTCGTGGAGAACGGCAGGCCCGTCCTCCCGCCGTTCCAGCAGACGTCTGGCATCATCACGTAAGTTCCGTGGCCGCGGGTCTCTGACGATCTTTCGTCGCGCAACAATATATACCTCGTATCTGATCCCGATGTGGTCAATTACGAAGAAAGTACAACAAGAAAAGATAAAGACTGTAATGCGATGCTTGTGAAATCAGAGCTACTATGATGGCCCCCTGGTTTATAAAGGCTCCTTGCTTTCTAAAATGGATTTTGCTGCTGCAATATGCCCCCGGAGGTGCTGTGAATATTTTTCATGGTAGACTTGTATTCATACTATAATATGACACCCATATCATGGCGGGTGTGCAGCAAGGGACGATATGATGTTTTTGTGGATGCTCGGAAGTGGTCCAAAACTGGCCGAAAAATGCTACTGATGGCTAGATCCAACCAGATCTCGCTCACCAAATATTCTGGCGACTGCATCCATAGACTTTTGTACTTACACCAGACATGGCTGGTCAACATATTTGGTTTAAAAGGTGCTATGTACATGTACAGGGAAGGAACATTAGTGGAGCGTTACAATGAACGAGCAAGGCGTGATGAAATTGTCGCTCCGCCTGATCTCAAACAACTGAGGTTGACTCTGGAGAGACGGCTCGGCTTCTCGGCAGAGACACGGCTCGACGGCATCTGGTGTGACACTTGTGACGAAATTTATAAAAAGTGGTGCAGGGCCTACTTTGTGCACCGGAAAGGATCCGCTGCTCTTGCAAGACCTCAATAAAATATTATAAAAATACGAATATATAGCTAAGGTGTGTACACATCGTCTCATGCAAAACCGCCCGCGAAGCATGAGTGTGGTAAGCTACAGGATGCAAATTTTCCCAAATTTTATAAAGCAGGGTACCATCATAGTATCACCGATTCTCGACGGCGGCGATGGCCAGCGCTTTCGCTTTTGCCGAACGCGGTTTGATATCACACCGGAAAGGAATAGGGTGGCTACATGAAAGTATGAATCTTCGTCGAGGTACAGGTAACGTGCGCTGGGCAGCACGAAGGCGCCATTAAATATCCTCCTTCTCTCTCTCGTTGTGAGGACCCTGGCCCTTGGCAGGCAACGTGACGCCGAGGATCTCGTCAGCTTCGGGTGTTCCTGCGCTAGGGAGGTCTTTTCTGAGCGAGACACCAACAGGGGAGACGCCCTCCCTGTATGCCAGGGCAAAGATGACGTCCATGTCTGCGAGTAGATCAGAACTGTCCACAGCGGATGGCAAACGTCGAAAGCACCTTCAAGGGACCTCCCGGCAGTCTCAGGGAAGAACAGGTACACAACTGGGATGATGAACGCGTTTAGCGCGGCGAACACTGCGAGAACATGTGAGCTTCCGTGCCGCGTCAGGGTGCAGCCTGGGTGCAGCAACACCCACCGATGTACGTGCGCCAGCTAATGTTGTTGAAGGACGGGCCGGTGACCATGACGACCATGAAGTTGAATATCCAGTTGCTCGCGGTCGAGAACGCGTTTGCCGGGGCGCGGATGCGCAGGCCGACGATCTCAGCGGGCTGAAAAAGCGTAGAGATAAGAACGAGTAACGCGAATATCAAGGGGCAGGGGAGACGAACGTAGAGCCAGGTCATACCCAGCCAGCCAACTGCGAAGAACGAGTTGAAGACGAACAGCAGGACGGCCGAGACGATCTGCGCCGCGGGCGTGTCCACGCTACCGAGCACCGCGAGGAGAACCATCGTCAGCGTCTGCCCGACCGAGCCGAAGAGCATGAGCCTCCGCCGGCCGACGCGGTCGATGAGCGCGATGGCGACGAGACTCGCGAGGAAGTATTCGGTACCATTGCACGCAGCGATGATGCGCGACTTAACGTCGTCGATACCGAGACGCTCAAAGAGAAGAGTCTGTTCAGAGGTTAGTAAGAGCTAGATAGTGCCAGGTGCGACATTGGAATACGTACAGCGTAGCTAACAGAGGAGGGTTTCTCAATAGACAATCAAGACAAAAAGCGAATAGACACATACTATGTGATAATGTTGATACCAGTGATCTGCTGGAAACACTGAATGATGACGCCCAAGGCCGTACGCCTGAAGTTTTGGCTGGGACCACCTGTGAAGATCTCACGTAGCGCGGACTTATCGGTGTTGTTACGGGACTCGACGGCGATTGCCTCTCGGATGCCGAGGAACGTGCGCTGAACGGAGGGGTCGTCGTATGGCTTGTTTTCTAGGGCACAGATAACGGCGAGAGATTCAGTCTCGCGACCTTCTCTGGCGAGCCTAGGTTGAACATGATTAGGGTGTGTGAGAACACGTATAAGAATGGTGTACCATCTAGGTGACTCCGGAAGCTGTGGTCTTTGTCAGCAAAATCAACCCCAGTAGCCAGCTGGTGCTAACTTACGAAGAAGATTCCAACAATGAGGATGATTGCAAAGATGATCTGCAAAGCAATAGGAACTCTCCATTGCGCAGAAGAGCCTTTGGCCCAGAACCTGTGCATGTCAGTATGCTGCTGTTGATCCAACGTAGCCGAGTAGCTTACAATGCGAAATCTATCCACTATCGTAGACACTTAGATATGAACACTAAGGAGAGTAAATGAACGTACGTAGCTGGAGAAATCAGGTGAGCAAGTGGAGTGTAACAGGAACTGGAGTACACTCACGAAACCATGATACCAAATGTGATCAAACTGCCTTCTAACATGATGAAGCTTCCCCGGCTCGAGGCCGGAGAGCATTCTGCGTGATAGGTCGGAACAGTTGAGGTCTGCGGGAGACAATTCTCAACAACAATGTGATAGAGTATGCTCTGGGCAAAATACTCACATTCAATCCGTTCCCTAAACCTGTTATAATACGTGCAACAACCAGTTGCGCATAACTGAAGGACGTTGTCTGCAAAATAGCGCCGATGATCATAATAATGCCGCCCAGAACGATCGTTTTGCGACGGCCAAGACGGTCACCCAGCCATAGCGTCGACAGAGCTCCGAACAAGCATCCAATTTCCTGCAGAAAAGTAAGTACTAACTTTCGTGCGGGATCGCTCGATAACACTCGCATATATTGCAACCACAAAACTCTGAAGCGTCGCATGATTCGAATGGCCATCTACAACCACCTGAGGGAATACCTTCTCGAACTGTCGAGACCCAAGTGAGCCGATGGGAATGGGGCATCAATGCCACGCGCTGTACCTGCTGTGCGCTGAGAAGGGCGGACATTACACCTTGATCATATCTATGGATGTTTAGTGACATTGCGGTGTTCATATCGATCTAGCGAACGCACCCAAACAACGTGAAGCCTGTGCCTGCGACGAAAGCGAGAGCCGCTGTCAGCGTGCGGCCACGCAGGAGCGGTGCGGCGGCCTGGAGCTCTGCTTGGAACCCTGCATCGGACGTCACCTCGGCCCTCTTCTCTGGAATTGACTCTGAGGACGGGCGTTTGTCGGCGGCGCCGCTGTGGCTGGAGATGGACGGTGAAGCTGCTGAAGCAGACATGGCTGTCCTCTGCGGGGGCACGAAAGCGAGACGAGCTGGACATCTGGTCGACCCATCGCTTATGAGCCATGGCGGTCCGTGCGAACCTCGTGATGGAGAAGCACGGTGGGGAGCATGGGCGTGTCACGGGGCCGCTTTTTTTGACTGGGAAGAGGCATGGATATGCGCGCGAGCTCCAGCCCTTTTGATGCGCCCAAGTCATGGTGCGGTCAAAGTTGTGCTGACGAACGGTGAGCTTTGTTGCCCGAGCGGTCTGCGTAGCGAGAGCCAACCTGAAAGTGCGAGGCCAAGGCGTCGGAGCGCCACAAAGCTCGTGCAACCGGAAGCTGGCTCCGTTTCGAGGAGGCCCTCTTTCCAGCGCCCAAGATTTGATCTCAGATTCGCATCGGGTTACCCGTCGTTTGTTCTCGCCCTCGACAACCGTGTCCAATCCTCCTTGCAAACAATGTCAGACAATGCCTCCTGCCTTTGTTTAGCACGGTCTTCGGCTGGCATTTCCGCATCCTTTGGTCGTGTGAAGTGTTGGCGGTGGCATCCTAGCAGAGTCTGGGCTAACGTGGACTTGGAAGCACGGGGCTTCGTACACGTTGCACTGCACCGAAAGCCAAACTGACCAATAGGTACGCTATTAGGGCCTGGATCTTGCTAGAAGGACTGGTTTGTGTATCGCATTGAAATCGCGCTGTACAAGGTTTCCAAGGGCAAGATTTAGCGCTGTCAAAGGGCGGCATGAGGCGCCGGGCAGGCAACAACGTAGCCTCCGCCACTCCAGCTTTGTTTTCTCCAACGACGCACTGGGACACTTGAGCGACCTAGCACGTATAAGACTGCACCACAACCGTTCTCCTCCAACGTCGTTCCGACACCATGGCTACCATCGCCATTCCTGATACTCGGAACATTATGCCGTTGGACCCCGCGGACATTGTGTGAGCATCCGCCCGTTGAGTGTATCGGACGACCACTAACAAGGTCTGGTCAGTGAAAAGCATATGAAAGCTTTACAGGGTACGTGATTCCAGATCAGTACCTAACTGCTGCAGCGTGCTTACCGGACGACTTACAGCGGATTTATCCAGCCTGGTGGAGAATGTCGCCAGCGACAAAGAAGTAAAAGTAAAGAGACTGCAGAAAGAACTTGACGATACTAGGACGATCATAGCGTACCTTCGCCGCCAAACTCGGGAGACGGAGGATGAACTAGCAGACACAAAGAAGTTGTTGGCTTCCGTACGAGATGAACGTCTGCGGGACGCGGAACGGATGAATGTGCGTGTCGTTGCAGTGGCGTTTTCATCCTCACGGCTGACCGTCCCAATCCCACCTCCCAGAAACTTGAGCGTCGCGTCGTCTGCCTCGTTGACGGCGACGGGAGCGTGTTCTCCCTGTCTCTCATCGCCCGCGGCAGGACGGGTGGAAGCGACGCCGCGACACGTTTGACAGAAGGCATTAAACAATATTTCGCGACAGAACAATTCCAGTTGCATGTGTGGATATTTGTGAACAAGAGTGGCCTCTCCGAAGCCTTGCGGCGTAATGCCAAAGAGGATGCTCGAGCCCAATTGGACAACTTTATTCACGGCTTCAATCAAGCTGCTGGAAGATTTATGATGATTGATGTCGGCCAGGGCAAGGAGGCTGCAGATGCCAAGATTAGGGGTACGTCGCGACATGCTGGCACTTTTCATGCCTTGGGTTGACATGCGTCCTCAGCCTGCCTGGAAGCCGAATTGAAGCTTGTAGAGACCAGCCGTATCATTTTTGCTGGTACGTAGGCTCCTTCTGTCTCCTGTGCCGTTCCAACTCTTGTCCCAGGCTGCCACGATAATGGTTATATTTCCGCCCTTCGCCCTCCGATTACCGACGGCAACAAGGACAAGCTCGTTCTCCTCCCTGCGCACAAGGATATGGCGGCCGGCTTTCCGTCGCTGGAGTTGCCGGTCCTCAGGATCCCAGGACTTTTTGAGCTGAACAAGTTGGGCGAGCTGGCTCCCCCCACGCCTCCTTCGTCGCCGGCCCAGAGGGCTGCAGTGGCTGCATCTTATACTGCTGCTGTCCAAGCGCAGCCCACTGCCGCACGTTCCCGCCGCTAGTGAGTGGCACGGCCTTATCAGCTTGATTGTCACCCTTGACCAGATGTCTCGTAGTTCGGCTTCGGAACGCAGAGCGCGTCACTTGGATCCGAACAAGGTGCGTGCAACAGTGCCATCTACGCTAGCCCGATCGCTGACTTGCTGCCGCAGCCCATGTCCAAACGTGAGTCGGCCGAGTGCACCGCTCCCAGGCGGCACTGATACGTTCTCGCAGAGGACCCTCCGCCGTGCAACCTGTTTTACCTGACCGACTACTGTAAGCACGGCGACCAGTGTGTCTTTGGCCACGACTACCTCCTGAAGCCGGAGCACCTGGAGGAGATGAGGGAGAATGCGAAGAAGAGCGCCTGCGCGGCCATCAACCGAGGTGCGGCATGGCGCCTGTGTGCTCGTCCGAGAGCTGGTGCTGACGTCGTTGTCTTCGCAGGTGAAGTGTGTCCGTATGGCGACGACTGCGTGCTGGGACACAAGTGCCCGCAGGGGCCGCGGTGCCACTACTTCAAAGTTGGCCGATGCAAGTTCACCGGACGTGAGTCGCCCCCGGGTCGTGACATGTTTCGTGCCGAGATGCTGATTGTGGTCTAGCGGGAATGCACTCCGCGGAGTGATCGCAGCGGGTCCGCGAGCGAGAAGGACGTGCTGGGTGTGGATGAGTGCGAGTGCGAGTGTAATTGTAGCTTGTAACGTCTGGACAACGCGGATTAGACAAGAACAGAGAACAAAGGGCGCGTGTTCTGCCACGCGGGCGTGTGGCGTGTTGGGAGCTGAACCTTGAGGACGGAAAGGGATGGGGTGCGAGCGTGTTGACAGATTGGGCGCTGATGCACGGATATCTTGAACAGACGTTGGAAATGATGCACGGCCGATTGTGCACAGGACAATGGCCCCCCTGACGACAGTGCGTGGAGGCCAGACACTTCATCTGTCCCTTCACTTACCGCACTCTGCACAAGGATCAACTCCGAGGTTCTAGCCACCGCATTGCGGTCCACCCTGATCTTCCTCTGCACGAAGTATCAAGGGAACCTCGGCAGTTATAAAGTTCCTCACTGGCAGTTCCCTCCATTCCTCCTTCTTGCAGTCACCACGTAGCACGCCTACCATACGTTCCCTTAGTTCCCCCTCCTCACCATGTCGCTCACCCCAGCGGCGGAAGCTAATAAGCAGCACTGGTCCGTCCGCCCTTCCCCCATTTTTTGGCGGCGCTCCTGCGCAGCGGGGTGGCTGAGATAACCAATATCCCTCTTCACAGGGATGAAACTCTTACAAAACTATTAGGTAGAGCACTGTCAACGTGCCTCAGTCCCTTCCGTTGTTGACTGCTCTGCTGCCAGATTTATCCACGTCGACTGTCAAGCGCAACTCAGAGCTAGAGTCCCGCGTCGCCGAGTTGGACTTAGAGTTATCTGTTTGGAAGCAGGCTCATGCCACCGTTGTCGAGTCGGCTGAGCGTGACAGAAAAGCGCATAATGCGCAGGTCACCACCCTTAACCGCCAGATCTCCTCACTAGAGACTATTAAGGTGCTCCCCCGTGGTGCTAGCGCGGAAAAAATATACTGCGGCTCACAGCGCACACCCCCGCGACAGAACCAAAACCCGCTCATCATCTGTGCGATCGACGCCGAGGTCAACGTCTTCCACCCGTCCTTGTTAAGGCAGGGGTACCAGGGCGGACGTCAGGCAGCGCAGTACACGACGAAGGGAATCGCCGAGTACCTTTCCCAGGAGGGCGTGCAGGTTTTTGGTCGTTTGTCTTTCTGGATTACCATTTATCTCAACCGCCGTTCCATTCTTGAGACGCTTCTCAATAACTCCGTCTGCACAGCCGACCAATTCGAAGGCTTCATCTCAGGGTTCAGTCAAACCTCGCCGCGCTTCCAGGTGGTCGAGGTCGAACCTGGCAAGGATGCTGTCGCTTTAAAGATTCAGCGTGAGTCTCGTATATTACTACTGTAGAAGTTTCTTACTTGTGCGGAACCTTTGCCATTCGCAGAGCAACTCGAGACATTCACTCGCTTCCCGCAAACTCTCCGGGTCTTCTTCACGGGTCATTCCTGCGCTGACTGCCACTGTTATCTGCTGACGCTCGTCCCCACATAGGCGGCACTGGCGACACATTGCTTCCGACCGCACACTCCCTCGCAAATGAAGAGCTCTTGGGCAAGCTCGTGCTATTCCATGGATCGGATGAACCTGCCTCAGAGCTGCGCCAGCTTGCGATCCCGACGATGCACATCGATGACCTTTTCATGGTCGGTAGGCCTGTGCCCGCCCTGCGCATGCTGCCCCCGGCGCGGAGCCCCATATCCCCGCTGGGGTCTGCGCACTCCCAGTCGACCGCGGGTGGGCTGACGAGCCCCGGGTCCGAAATTTCGCAGGCCGCCATGTCTTGCCCTGGGCCCATGGTGACGCCGGGCAAGCCGATCGACCCGACCAAGGTGCGTGCCCACACGCGACTATCCGTACCCGCGATACTCACGGACCTAACGCAACAGCCTTTGCACAAACGTGAGGCTTCCCGCGCATCTGTCAGGGCCGCCGCTGATCGTCGAGGCTGATCTGCAGAGGTCCCGCCGCCGTGCAACGAACACTATCTGATGAGCTGTTCCAAGGGCGTGCGTCGGAGATACTGCCCTGCCGTGACTTTTTATTAATGACCGTGTATTAACAGCCGGGATGCAAGTACTCACACGACTGGGCCCTCACCGCGGAGCAATTGGACATATTGGCAAAGAACGCGAAGAAGGCCCCGTGCAATTACCTCAAGAATGGTGCGGCTGCAGTTTATTTGCAACGCAATCTTGCTTGACACATACGCCAGGACTCGAGTGTCCGCATGGTAGCCGCTGCTGCTGGGTGCGTGCCGGCCACAAGGGCGAGCGTGGGCACAGAGACTTATTTTTCTTGTCAGGGCCACGTCTGCCCGGGCGGGTCCAACTGTTTTCATCTTAGCAAGGGAAAGTGCTGGTTTAAAGGCGGTAAGTACAAGGACGGCTGTCGGCACCAAGTCCACCTGCTAAATACATGGTACTTGTAGAGGGCATGCATCCCCTGGCAGACCCAGGGGAAGAGCGGTGATCTACGTCTAGGATGGCATGGTGACCTTCACCCTCGGTAAACAGAGCTGTCAGGGGGTCGCACAATTTAACCACTTACGATGAAGAGAGTTTCCGGACGGCTTTGTGCTACACCATGTTGGGTTCTTGTAGTGCTAAGCCAATTTGCTTGTATGCCGTGGATTTGTTGACCAATATCTCATGTATATGAACTAGGATGCCTGTATATGTGCTATGAGGAACGAGAAGCAAGTTTGAGCTCTTGTAAAGTATAAGACTGGCCATTCTGGAACCGCCGAAGAGGACAAGCGGTGCAAAGCGACGCCGCACAGCATGCAAACAGGCGGGACAAGAGTTTACAGTAGGCGCCAGTGGGTCCCTCACGATCAAGCGCCCTATAAAGCGGCAAAGCGGCAAAGCGCGGCAACACGCGTGAGAAATCGATATAGTCTGGTAACGAGCTTACAGCCTCGACCACCGCACTGCACAGTTCCCCCACACTGCTTGTCCCCAACTACTACCACCTAGCATGTCTGCACCAGTTAGTTCGTCTTTCCTAGAGATCTCCTGCTGTTGGACTGAACGTTTATGTATCATGGATTAGCACGAGGAAGATGACTTCGTTACCACCACCACCCCAGGTACGCTACATGATGCCAGACGTGTAATGACCATCAACTGAGGTCCCCTCTTCATAGGCTACAAGCCCGGTGCCGCAAAGTCCATCGATGAGTATGCTAAACTCGATGCCGAGGATGAGAGCCTGGCACGGTGGAAGGCCAGTCTTGGTATTGTCCCTGGAGCATCCACCCCTGCTTCCGGCCCTAAGGTACGCGTTTTACCCTTCACTTTTGTGTTGCAATCATCGTCTGACCTGTCATTTCTACAGTTCACCATTCTTTCTCTCGAGCTCGTGTCCCCCTCGATGCCACCCGACCATACCCTCATCATGGACCTTCAGGACTTGAGCCAGCCGAAGCTCGACGCCCTGAAGAAAACCACTTTCACGATCAAGGAGGGTGTTGATTACAAGTGCGTGCTTCCACTCAAAGCGCTCTGCATCTTTCGCTCAACTGTCTACCTAGTGTTCGAATGACCTTCAGGGTCAACCACAGCATTATCTCCGTACGTCGTCCTTTGAAGCATTCTATAATGCCGCACTGACTGCTCCTTAGGGCGTCAGGTATATCCAGATCGTCAAGCGAGCCAACATAAAAGGTAGGCTCATACTTGCGCCGAACAACCCCAGATAATTCAACGCGTGATGATGCAGTGGACAAGCTGGATCAGATGCTCGGCTCGTATGGCGTCCACCCCAAGGGTGAGCCTTACGTCAAGAACTTCGACACCGAGGAGTCTCCTTCGGGCCTTCTTGCACGCTCTGGTTCTTACAGTGTCCGAAGTCGTGTAGTCGACGATGATGGAGAGGTTTTTGCTGGTGCGTGACTCATCGTTCTCGGCCTCGTGTGCTTCACTGATACGCGGTTTCAGATTGGGAATGGTCTTTCAAGCTCGGAAAGGAATGGTGACAGATCCCAGACGTACAGCAGGCTTCTGTTCCGTTCACTCGCATTTTCTACTCGCATCGATGCATTGGTCGTTTATCAAACCACAGCTCTCCTGGTCAGATATATATTTCTCGTTGGGAATATACAATCAAATCTTTGTCTGCGTTGGGATGATCTCCAACCTTGCGTGTTCCAGCATCCTGTTCTCATTCTGCATTGCGAGCACGGCGTTAGGTGGCTCCTGCCTCTCCTCATGCAGACGTCTGTGTTCTCGTCTGAAGAGAACGCGTCAACTGAAAGTGCCCCCGCGCGCAGGCTTGTCGGCACCTATGTCACTCAAGCCGGCATTCTTCCAAGTTACCGATACGATTCTCGCTGTGCCTTCAGGTTTCGCGGACTGTAGCTCTTTTCCAGCCCTCTGAACACCCGACGGCCGTCGCACGCTGTTCAATAGATCCATCGCTAGGTCACATTAACCTTACGGCCTTATTCCGTGTGCTCACTCAGGATCGGGATTGAAAAGCCCGACGCCCTATACCATGGCCGATCACCGTCGTGCTGACGGCGTTGCGGCCATCCTCCCAATGTCCAAGCTCGCTCCAATTCCCGAAAGGTTTGCCTGATTGCTGCGCCTAAACCCACTGTTTCTTGACACTAAAAAAATCGTTGTGGTCTAATATGGGCCAATGCTTCTGTCGATAGAGGCTTCCGCATGACTGTGCGTAGTAGACAGAGTTAGAGCTCTATGTGTATTGCAGGGGTTATTTTTCAGCCTCCTGCTCTGGTATTGTCAAATACCCCTCCATCTCATCTCCCTCAGCATAACTTCGATGACAGGTCCTGTTTGTCCTTGTTATACTGCGGCTCGATTCTATTCGGCCATCCACAAGGCTCTCTGAGCTGGAGAACTTCAAATCGACGGTGAGAGTCTTGGGTGACTTTGAAGTGCTACTGCCGGCCGCGTATAATCAAAACGGTTACACAACAAGGATGGATCGAAGTTGTCGAATCAAATTCCAGCCAGTTGCGAAACGATAGGCCACCCCAGGTTTTTTCCGTTGCAGCAATTGCAGTTCCGCTCGGTGATCTCCTTGCATCACGCAGCAGACGTTTTGCCGTGCACCGTCGTAAGCGTTGAATACTGACTGCGGGTGCGCCTTGTGCTATTTAGGAATGTGTCGCCAAAGGTTGACCAGTGTAAGGAAGCAGAGGCATCGGGGTTGTGAGCTTTGGATGCGACTCGTTCAGCGGTTCACCGTCGTTCACGCTCAGCGCTCACAAGGCCGATGAGCGTCCGATGGTGTCAGGCGTCTCGCTCTGGATCTGGGTCGGAGCATCAGTCACTGTACTAGCTAAGGTTTCAAAGTGGCCTATCGTTTCGCAACTGGCTGGAAACCTTAGCTAGTACAGTGACTGATGCTCCGACTGAGAGATAGTGAGATACAGGGCGGCTACATGGCCGCCTGGCACCATCGGACGCTCATCGGCCTTGTGAGCGCTGAGCGTGAACGACGGTGAACCGCTGAACGAGTCGCATCCAAAGCTCACAACCCGCGAGATCTCCCGCCCCCAGTTTTCAGACATTATTGTCTGAATCCGACCGGGAGGAGGTAGCCCCGGCTCCGTATGCTGCACAAATAGTTGCAGCATGGCCATGCTCACCGTTAGACAGTGAGCAATGAGACGTTTTGGTCTTTGATTTTGTCTACTATTTATTGGAGCCTCGGACTCCTGCGCCACTATGGACACTGATATTCATTGCGCACGGACGCTAGTAGACAGGTGTACATTACCCTCCGTAGGTAGCACTTTAAATTCGGGAGAGGAAAAAAAAAGCTCACAACCCCGATGCCTCTGCTTCCTTACACTGGTCAACCTTTGGCGACACATTCCTAAATAGCACAAGGCGCACCCGCAGTCAGTATTCAACGCTTACGACGGTGCACGGCAAAACGTCTGCTGCGTGATGCAAGGAGATCACCGAGCGGAACTGCAATTGCTGCAACGGAAAAAACCTGGGGTGGCCTATCGTTTCGCAACTGGCTGTCATAGGAAAGGCGAGATCTAGCGTCTAACGGCGCGCTCACGTTGGTGCGCTTGCGCCGTGTCTACCGCGGTCGCAGCGTCGACCGAGACGGACAAGCCGTCTGCCCATGTTGCGCTGGGTAGCTCTATGCTCGCTCAGGATGCAACATCCGGGAGCTCGCAGGCAGGCGCGCCCGGCACGCCCCTCGCAGCCAAGATCTCGCGGGAGGTGCATACTCGCACGAAGTGTGTGCGGCTCATTGAAGGCCGCACGTCAGGCTGGCCTCAATTGTCTATTCGAGCTTCACCTTGCAGCAAGCCCATCGTCGTTGGGCGAGGGCTTCTGCGAACTATTCCGCGAAGAGGAGCAGGCGAAAATACGAGAGTCACATACTGAACACGCTCGTCTACGCGGAGTACGAGCCTCTAGGCGCACTCTTCTCTCACTCGTCGAAGTACCTCGGCAAGATGGTCTACCAAATGCTGGACTGTGAGTCAATATCACTCGTGGCAGTGGCTCAAGTTATGAATTCCGACGTCTCCTTCCTTGTCAGGTCTACATGACCTGCGCTACAATGCGTTTATTTTGCATCATGATGTCAACTACAACAGCATCATGGTCGCCAGGAACGGTGTCGACGGCACGTCCCAGTTCATTCTTACTGACTTCGACCTTGCGACTCGAGTGACGGCAGACGGGCAGCCAGTAGCAAGCCCGGCCCCGTCATTGAAACATCACAGGGGTGCGCTGCCGTTCATGTCACGGAAGCTCCTGTTCGACTCCATTTTTGAAGGTCTGCTGACACGACTCCCACACCCCATCATTTGCGATACGATTACGAATCACCGGTCAACGTGACGCCGTCAAAAAACAGGCAGCGGCATGGGGGTGCGGGACATACTACGAGCTGTTTAGTAGCAAGAGACCGTTTCTCGCAGCTATCGGGGGTCCCAGGTCGCTGCAACTCATGCCGCTTTCTCCTCTTTTCCAACCGTGGCGTCCGTTCTTCCAAGCCTGGCTGAATGTCGTCAGGCTCCCGCGCGGGGGCCGGTGCGGTGATTTTCTGAGCCTTACTGACGACAACAGTGATACTGGAGATGGGTGCGGGAGCCGCCAAAAAATACTCCCGGCGCTGCGTGAAGCAGAGCAGCCCATCGCAAACACGTTTCTGTAGCGTGTGCGATACCTGAACATACAATATTAATCTGAATATATACGTTGCATGCCAAATGCTTCCGAGATGTCACCTAGTCGCAGTCGTTACTGGTAGCACACTTCAGCTCTTCGATAAGCTGTCGAACTTCGGAGTCTATCGCGCTCTGCGTGCCGATCGCGTCCGCAGGGGTCCGTTGACTGGCAGGAAAAGAAGAGGAAAGAGGAAAGATCGTGTCCACAGGCAGACATTCGTGCTTAGTGGACTCCAGCCGAGACACGATATTATTTGCGGCGGGCCTTGCTGTCTTAACAAGCGGTTAGGTAGGCATTCAAATATCCAGCGTTCAGCCGCCGAGATCAGAGCCTGAGATGTTTATGATGCGGCCAAATAACCTCTATCTGCAATTAGCGCCCACGGCTGCATGGAACCATGAACGCACTTCTTCGTGTCCACGCACTGTCATCTCACAACGTGCGATGCCGACCTAACAGTCTCTTACAACGCACCCAGCTCTTTCACCTAGCTCGCAGAGCCTCATGGCTTGCGCCAGGTCTCCGAAAAATTGCCCGACGAGGGGTCGCGACTGAGTCGGCCACTCTGAAGCCTCCTGCGGTGCCCGCGACATGGATTGACCGCGCACCCGCCAAGTTGCGTCCGTACCTCTACTTGACGAGAATAGACAAACCCATTGGGACGCTGCTGCTGTTCTATCCGTGCAGTACGTCACCGCTCGAGGCTGCCTTTTGCTGTGTTCCGCTGACGGCGTAGTTAGCATGGTCGATAACCATGGCGTCGTACGCTGCGCAGGCGCCAGTCACCGCGCCGTTGACGTACATCAGCCTGTTTGGACTCGGGGCCCTCATCATGCGGTCCGCAGGGTGCACGATCAACGACATGGCGGACAAAGACTTTGACAAGGCCGTCGGTGAGTCGGGCGCTCCTGGCTAAATAAAGCGCAAATTCCGCTCACGGCCCGTATTACATGAAGACAGAACGAAGGACAGGCCGATCGCTAGGGGCGACCTCACGCGTCGGCAGGCGTTTGGCTTTTTGGGCCTTCAGCTCACGGGTGGTCTCGCAGTCCTGACGCAGCTGAACTGGTACAGGTGCGTATATATGCATGTTCTACATACATTTCTGTTGAACAATCTGTCGTTTGCAGCATATTACTGGGGGCATCTTCGCTTCCCATCGTTTCTCTATACCCGTTCATGAAACGCTTTACGTACTGGCCGCAAGCCGTGCTAGGTAAGCACGCACCGTGACCGTGACTACTCCGCCCTTCACGTGTTCTAGGACTGGCCTTCAATTGGGGCGCGCTACTCGGGTGGTCCGCTGTGGCAGGCACGCTCGACCTGGGTGTCGCGCTCCCGCTCTATGCGGGCGGCTTCTGCTGGACGATTGTTTACGACACGATCTACGCACACCAAGACAAGGCCGACGACGTCAAGGTCGGCGTGCGCTCGACTGCGCTGCTCTTTGGTGAGCACACGCGGACGGTGCTCTCCGCGTTTTCGGCATCGTCTGTGTCGCTTATCACGCTCGCGGGATATATGAACGCGCAGAGCCTGCCGTTCTATGCCGGCGTCGGCGTGGCAGCCGCGCAGCTGGCAAGGATCGTCTACAAAACCGATTTCAACAGCCGACCGAGCTGCTGGAAGGGCTTTGTTGGCTGCGGTATTGCTGGCGCCTGGATATGGGCTGGCGCATTGGCAGACTACGGATTGATGATCTCGGGTGTTCAGGCTACATTGTGGTAATGTAGTGTCTCTATTCTTTGTTGTCTGCCTTACCTGTCTTATGTGTACGCCTCATTTGTCTGATCACGACGATCACGACGATCACTATACGCGTACTAGCCCACGCTGTTTGAGATCGACACTGTATGTGGCTCAGACAGGTCGAAATATACCAAGCGAGACCTGGACTTACAAGCTCTCACATGGGGATCGCTAAATTAATCTTGGTAAAGCCAGAAGTATTTTTAGGACATGTTGGCACGATGTGCACGGAACCGCCAACCTGCAAAGCTTGGCAAAGTATCTTTGATACCTTGTATTCTATTTGCAGGGGACGCGAACATCGGAAGCCTAAGGCTTCATTTTCATCGACGGATAACTGCGCGCTGCGCGCACAGTCGTGTGGGGTCTGCGGTTCTGGATCAAAAGCGCCAAATGTCTCGTTTCAGCCACATTGAGGCGCACCTTTTTGCGCGACGCGCAGGTGAGTGTGCTAAACTCGCGCTCGCGCCTCCCGGCTGCCCCGGCAGGCAGATTTAGGGACTCGGTCCCGCCGGCCGACAAACGCCGCTAGTAAGCTGCTGTAGTATCCATGAGTCAAGACCCAGGGCGTTACAGACTGATGTCCGCCGATGTCCGTTCAACGAACGCACTTCGGTCGGCTATATTCCAAGCTTTACGTGCTTGCTTGGAATCGAGTACACGCGACTTTGACGCGTCAAACGCGAGGCGCATCGGTCCAAGGGAGTGTGGGGGTAGTGAGCTGGACTGACATGCCAAGTATCCGAAGCAGATCGGCGCGGAAATCACGCGCGCGCGCCGGGAGCGATGGCTAGACAAGCTGAAGTTGCTAATACACTATGACTCAGTGGGAAAGGCGTCCGGTGTAACTTAGAACAGAAAGAACACGGATGTTATCATACTGACCTCAGTATGTCGTTTTCGGGACCACAAAACGGCGAAGAGATGTCATCAGTGAGTCGCGACCCTCGGCATTGTTCTCGGAATTCAGATAGAGGGTGGGTGTGGACTAGGACGAGGATGGATGTATCGAGACTGGTCGAGGTTTCACGCGTCTGCGTCAAGCGGAAAGGAGAGACTAGTCTGTTTGGCTCGGGCGAGAGAGCCCGCGTGCATGCGCAGAAGCCCCTATGCCGTGAGCGGTGTGCATCGAACCGCAGGCAGCAGCAGAGCTGGTCGGTGGCCAAACTGCGCGGAATCGACCGCGGCTATCCCTCTAATATATATGCGCTCGTGAGCCCAGGTGAACGTTAGCGCGCGTCAAATGCGGGCTGCTGTGCCGAGGTGCCGCAAACGCGGAAGAGGACGATCATGTCCGAGACTGAGGATGACGCACGACGGCCGACGCCGGTGAGACAGCGGCGGCGGTTTGTTTGACGTCTTTGGGTCAGGGTCATGTTTCGAAACTGAAACGATACCCGGTAACGGCGGCATGGGGAGAGGAAGGGGGGAAACGCAGGGAGCACGCGGAAATAGCTGAGGAGGTAGGAGGGCAGTACGCTGATGCACAGGAGGTGAGTCATCCACAATTGTGCCGTTTACGAAAATGATCCAGAACTCGTCGGACAGCCTACTAGCAGGGCTGGTCTTAAGCTTCTCGACGATTCCCCTGCCGCGTCCGATCCTAGCCGCACAATACACCCACTTTTATACCCGTGCCCCGCCCGCCCTCTTTCCCCTCCGCCCCGCATTCTCCTCCCTCCGTTTCGTACTCTTCTCCCTTTCCCTCGCCTCCCTTCTCCAACTATCACCATGCGGGCACAGCGGCACGTCCTCCTCTTCCTTGTCCCCGCGTTCGCAGCCGCGCTTGCTTTCGCGGCCCCGTCAACGGACGACTTCGGGAGCGCGATTACCTCATCTCAGGAGCGCGCCCTGGTTCGGAGGCACGGAGACATGCACGAGAATATGCATGCTGCACCGGTCATCGAACTGAACGAGACCAAGCTCCTCATGTACCATCAGCCAACTCCGCCATCCTACTACACCATCGACTTTGAAGATGACTCGGGTGCTCCGAGGTACCCAGGCTTTATGATCCTTCATATCTTGTTCATGTCCCTCGCCTTCTTCGGAGCACTTCCTGTCGGTTAGTGTAGCATCCCGTTTCAATATGGGTGACGCGTACTCAAAATCCTTGTCAGGCATTGCACTCCGCTCCGTCAAGCATGCATGGCACGGACTTACTGTGGTTCTCTTTTGGGCGTTTGTAGTACTTGGACTGGCTTCGAATGGGATCTATCGCAAGTTGACACCCGACATGTGAGTACACCACGATTCCGACTCTCGTGATAGTGTCTGAACGCCGTCCTAGGTATGAAGGGCAGACGCATGGTTCGCAAGGCTATTTCGTCCTCTTTGTGGCGGCAGCGATTTCCGCACTCGATTTGATCGCCCTGGGCGGGCGTCTAGTGTCCTACATCAGGAGCATCAGGTCCGGCGAAGAAAGCTTCACTTTCAAGTCGTGCTGGAACACCGTAGTACTTGACCGCGAAGCGCCTGTGCGTGGCGTTGGTGCCGAGTATACTGGCCTCGCATCAGAGGAGCCAGAGGAGCCAGAGGACTACGAGACTGTCGAGCTCAAAGCGAGGGAGGTTGAAGACGATGGCGCGGCTGAACCCATCCACGTGCGCCGTGCTCAATCCGTGGTCCCGATTGATTCGACGCCCAGCCCCCGATCGTCGACCGAGGACCATGCTCAGTGGGCTAACAATGCGCCACGACACGCCGCATACCCGCAGGACGCATCTTCGGACCACACAATGTTCGAGCGCACGCATTCGCAAAGAGGCTCTGTTCACTCGGATGAGACCCTTCAAGATAACGTCCACAGCAGCTTGAAGTTCAGCAAGATCGCGATTCTGAAGATGATCGGTCGCGGTACTTTTGCTACCGTTGAGCGTACATTGGTCTTCGCTGGTTATTTCCAGCTCATTACCGGCATTGTCATCTACACCGGAGGTTGCCGCCAGAATTACACTAACGGCTGCCTTGCGCACTTAATTAGTGAGAATATCTGTTGGGCTTTCTTTGCGTTTCATTACTAACCGTGTTCGCATCTACGTTTATAGAGGGTGGAATCTTTTGGTGTTACGGCCTTGCCACGTTCGGTCGTTTTCTCGGCTCCTTCTCTGAACTCGGTTGGGCGTGGAACCGCGCCCCCAGCGGCAACTATCCTTCGGCAGAATTTACCGAGTCATTTGTTATCTTCCTTTACGGCATTACCAACACCTGGATGGAGCGCTTCGGCGCACATCCTGGAGACCCATTCACCACCAAGGAAGTACAACACATCTCCATCGCCGTCATGTACTGGTTCGCCGGCCTCATTGGTATGGCTATCGAATCCAAGCGCGTTCGTCGCTGGCTCGCTTCAAGTGCAACGGCTGCTCTTCCAAAAGCTAGTCGTTCACAAGAAGCTGTCGCGGAGCCACCGAGCTACATCGCGAGCTTCAATCCCTTCCCCGCACTTTGCATCGGCATTACCGGCGCTGCCATGGCTGCGCATTTCCAAGAGTACTTGTTCCAAGTACAAATTCACCAGCTTTGGGGCAACCTCCTGACCGCGTTTGCCGTTCTCCGCTGCGTCACCTACTTCTTCCTCTGGCTCGGCCCCCCGCGCAGTATCTTGCCTTCTCGCCCACCCACCGAAGCTCTCGCATCCTTCTTCCTCTCGTGTGGCGGCCTTGTCTTCCAGTTCTCCACGGAAGAAGTTACCATTGCCGCTATGCGCCGTGGCCACGACGATATGATGATGTTCCTCAACGTCGCCGTCGCCGTTACCTGCTTCGCGTTCTGCTGGGCTCTCTGCATTGTCGCCTTCAAGGGCTGGCTGAAAAGTCATTCGCAGAGGACTGTGAAGTTCCACAGCTCAGCGTAACTGGGCGCCACGAAGACTCCGCTAGATTTAACGACTATCCTATCTTCGCATACCACGCCAGATGGCACGATTACTTTACGTTCCTCGCAATTTATTGAACATGCGCGATTTTTGCCCAACGACCTCCTCATGTCCCTCCCGCTATCGCAACATTTCCATTCCGTCCGCAGGGCTTCCTTCGCGCTTGATGTCGTTGTGACTGCACCTTGCATTTAACTTAAGTCTTTTCTCGCCGCACGTCATGTGGATGTCTACCGCATTCTGCTCTCCTCCACGCACATTCCCGTATTGTACAGCTCCCTGTTCCCACTGTAGCGCTCCCCCCCGTCCTGACTTGTTTTTTTTTTTGGCCCTGCTGTATTTGTGAATATTCGTAGAGGATTACTGGCTATTCGATTGAAGATGATTGAGCTATAACTGAGTGACGTCCACGGGTTACAGGCGCTCCGTCCTTAGATCTCCGCTCCGGGACCGGGGCAGGCAGGCTCGATGACGATCATCGGAGGCAGTATGCAAATATTATCACGGCATTCCATAGCACACCGACATTGTCCGACGCGAGCGTGAGTCAGTGTGGAAGCCTAACATCGGCTCGCAAAGCGTTCATCCTAATCGTGCCACTTTGATGCATGTTTTCTCAATGCCATACGAATCCTTTCTCGTGATATCCCCCAGAATTCAGATGCGCTGGATCCACCTGCCTTTATCCACAGCGGCTTATCTTGCGGGCGTGATACCCCGGACGAACGTAGGCCGGCTTGATTCCTGACCACGACCTGCTACGAGACCACTGGCATGACGATGGCTGTGAAAAGTGCCTGGCGGCGCGTCCGCCACTTCGTGTGGGGTGAGGAACCGAAGACCAAGGAGGAGCAGCGGCTCCTGCTCAAAATCGACTGGTTCATCCTGTCGTATTGCTGTCTCATGGTGCGTCCGTTCAAACGCCATCTCGTCTTTGCCTTGTTGAACGCGTTCCTGGCAACAGTATTTCACGAACTGTAGGTGATCTGCGTGCATTCACTCTGCAATGGAGAGTTGACAATGGAGGGCAGACTTGGACCGCTCAAATGTGGCGAACGCATACGTGTCTGGGATGGAGGAAGAGCTGCATATGTATGGAAACGAGTATAATGTCCGCCTCGTCTTCCTCTTCTGCGATCACCACTCTTATGCGTGCATGTACCCATACAGAAAATCAACACGCTCTTTACCTGCGGTTACATCGTAGGCATGATCCCGAGTGAGCACCGCCCCGTTCCTTAAACGAAGGAAGACGTACTGAATATGTCACGCGAGGTCTCAGACAACCTCATGTTGCAGGTTGTCTCTCCTAGGATATGGTTGCCAACGATGCAAATCGTGTGGGGAGTCTTCACATTCTGGTACGCGTTATTTGGACAGCATGCAAGTTCTCCAACTCACTACGGGACAGTTCGAGCTCGGTTTCCAATGTGCAACAGGTACGCCATGTCTGACTCTTACATCATGTCTTTTAACTTCCTGATCGCTAGCTGTACGCTATTCGGTTCCTGCAAGGTCTCTCGGAATCTTCGACCTTCGTTGGAACGCACTACATCCTCGGAGCGTAAGCTCTATTCCTCGCCACCCCGCGTGCTCTCACTCACAAAATGCCGTAGATGGTACAAGTCAGGAGAGCTTGGCAAGCGTTCAGGCATATTCACCTGCTCAGGGCTTATCGGCACGCTGTTAGTAATATTGATATCCTTGCTCCTCGTGTATCAGCCACGCTCACACTACTCTAGCTTCTCTGGTATTCTTCAAGCTGCGGTCTATCAGTGCGTCTGATAGTAGTCTGCTATCCCGAGCGTGTTGTTGACTGTCTGCTGCAATTAGGCATCTGAATGGCATCGCTGGTAGGAGCGGCTGGCGCTGGCTGTGAGCACATGTTTATCTACTGGCCGTTCGGTTGAGGCTCATGGCTTTTCCGTCGTAGCTTTATCATTGACGGGGTTATTACGCTACCAATTGCTCTCTATGGATTCCTTGTCTTCCCAGATGTGCCGACGACCACGCGCGCTTTCTACCTTACTGAAGAGGTGAGTGTATCCGCCTAATCATGAGTGTTCAAGCGGCTAAGATTTGAAATAGGAGCGCCTGCTATCTGCTGACCGACTAGAGAACGACGAAGGAAGAGACGTGTCGCACGCGAAGCCATCGTGGAATCTGGTCCGTCGTGTACTTGGACGGTGGAGGTGGTATGGCTGCAGCCTTCTGGTGCGTCTCGCGTAATGCCCCTGACGGCTGATATCTGCTCACGGTGAGATGCTAGTTCTTGATCTCAGGCGAAACCGAGAGTTTCGGCTCGAACAACCTGATGGGGCAGTGGCTCAAGGCTATTGGAGGGTACACCGTCGAGCAAATCGGTATGAATTTCTCGTCAATTGCGAAGATGCACGTTTTACTGACGTCCTACAGACTACTATCCCTCGGGCATGACCGCCTTCGCGATCGCATCGACGCTATTGTGCGCGACATGGACCGACGCGACGCGCTCGCGCGCCCGATGGCCTGTCCTCGTGTACATGTCCATTTCCGTGGTCATCTCCAGTATCTGCATCCTTGTGTGGAGAAGTCCGATCGGACTAAAGTTTTTCGCGTACTGTGAGTATCACTGCATCTCGTCTAAGACTGCTGGTCTCTCACCACGCCGAGATAGACTTGGCCGGCGCCAGCTACGCGGGGCAGGCGACAACGTTCGCATGGGCGAACCAGATATGCGCCGATGACGACCAGGAGCGGGCGATTGTCCTCGCTTCCATGAAGTGCGTCTCAATTAGAGTCTCTGCATCCGACGATACTCACGCTATAGAGCACAGCATGTGGAACAACGTCATCAATGCATGGTGGCCGCTCGTCTTCTACCCCGCAACGGACGCTCCACGGTTCACCAAGGGAATGTGGGCGATGATCGGCACGGCAATCGCCACGCTTCTAGTGACTGCGATAGTGTACTATCTCGAGCAGCGCGAGAAGAGGGTGAAACATCGAAGAGATGATCGCGAGGAGATCGTGGAGACAGACGAAAAGAAGGAGTACGAAGGGAGCTTTCATCAGTAAGGAGAGGGTCGTCTTGTGAACAGTATTCGTATACAAAGGAGATCTATGCGCATGAGGGTATACCCCTGTTTGATAAAATTCCTGATGTACTGGATCACTATTTGTCGGTCTTAGTATGTACAGCGTAAGATAGTAATACGCTCAGAGCACAGAGCTATCCAGGGCGTTTGTGGTACCTCCTGAAGTGACCAGCATGACAGAAGGCAATCGCATAAAATAGCATATCCAAAAGCAGGTATTGAAGGGGTATCCTTCACGAGAGCGAGAACAGGGAACATGTACTGAATGAAGACGCTCAGACGTTCATAATCTGCTGGTATCGGTTAGCACAACGTCTGAAGCCTGTAATTGACAACAACACACCTTCAACTCGCGTGGCTCGCCATTCAGTTCGGTATTGCCGAACTCATCGGGCAGAGGAGGGGCTACGGGGACGGGCGGGATGGATGGGTCAAGTGCCTTGGAGTGCGACGAAGTCTTTTTCGTTGTGTCCTTAGGCGTCTTCGGCGCGACGGGTGCGACGGGCCCGTTCAGCAGAGACGAACGTCGTGAGATCGAGGTCTGCGGCGACTCGGCGGGGACAGCTGGAGGAGGGTTTGCCGGGTTCACCGCCTCAGCAGGTCGCAGAGGGGCTCCCGTGAATGACAGTGCGGAGCTGGGGCCGAACATGGGTGCCGAAGCCGCGTTCACGTCGATAGTCAAGAACGAAGGTGGGGCAGAGGTCAGTTGCCGGTGTTGCGGGTACTGGTTCATCGGGTCGTAGGCAGGAGAGGGAGAGCGCACAGGAAAGGGCTGCTGGGCGGCGTGATGATCGTAGATTGGAGCAACGTTGCGATAAACGGGCTGGGTGCTCTCTGAGGCGGAACTGGGGTTCCCAGGACGGTACGCGCCGGTGGCCTGACGATGGAGGTCGGCGTAGTCGTGCCCGTCGTAGTGAGGGTGTCCCGGTAACTGCGGTACCGCCATGAGCGCATCCTCGTGCGCCTTGGGGATGTCGTAGCCCTGCGATGTGCCATACCCCGTTTTCTGCAGGTCGAAGTTCGGGTAGTAGGCGTGGTTGATGTAGGTTTCAGTTGTGGTGGTCGCCGTACTACGGTTTGTCGGTACGCGGTGCACCGGCCGTGCGCCAGCTGCCGTCTCGACCTTGTTGACGACGTCGTCGTTGGTGTGGGTGAATATGCCCTGGCTACCCTTCTCGATGTCATCGTGCCCGTGGCCGCCGCCGACGAGATCCTCGGTCCTGAACTCCGCTGCCTCATCGTGAAGCTTGTTATGCTGACGGCGCCGGATGGCCCAGGTCGCAATGATCATGAGAACGACGAGGCCAATGATAGACGCGATCGTGATAACGGAGATGGAGAGCGGCTTGTTCTGCATGAAAGACTTCGGAGGTAGGGGTACGCCACTTGATTGAGCAGCAGCCGACGACTCAACTGTTTGGAAGATGGTGGATGCCTGATCTTCATGGCTCCTCGTAGGGGCGGGTGTGTTTTCGGAAGTGGGAGAAGGTGTGGGAGTAGAGGATGTCAAGCTCGAGCTGAATGAACTCGACGATGAAGCCGTAGCGGATGAGGAAGCAGCGGATAGGGACACAGCGGACGAGGACGTAACGGGCGAGGACGTTGTAGAAGGCGAGCTTTGATAACGTTTACCACCCAAGATTGCGCTTGCTTTCCAAATGACTTACCTTGTTTGGCTCGATGAGGTAGTTGACGCTGTGGTGGCCGAACTGCTTGAGCTCGAGGAACTTGTTGATCCAAATATATCTGGAATACCTGGCAATGATAGAGACAGCGTCGGTAAAGCAGGAATGCTGAGACCGAGGAGGCCGCTGTCGCTGCTAGTCGTGCTGTCTCCTCCGAGACCAAGAGGTCCTCCGCCGTCGCCGCTGCAAGCGATTTAATGAGCAAGATAACTTTACTGTATCAAAGAATTAGAAACTCACAGGAGACCCCTTGCTAACGGATGGGAAACTGACAGATGTCATCAGTTCGGCTTAAGCCTCCACAAGTGAATAAGTTACACTTACCGCCGTTGTGCATCCGAGGCATCATGTCCGGGATGTTACTGCGTCCATGCATGCCAAGCACACGATAAACTTGTAGCTAACTGCTGGGGCGATGCTAGTGGACTGTGAGGGTGAAGGAGCGTGAGTTATGACCGGGATGCGGTCAAAGTTGGCAGTTGGCGGTCAAGACTGGCTTTCCTGAAGGCCAGCAGTCCGTGGTGTGCTGTAGAAAAGAAAAAGAAAAATGGACAATTTGAGTGGTTTGTCGTGAGCTAGTGAGGTGTGCTTGGCTTCGCATCACCGAGGGACAAACAGCTTGAGGGTATACATAGCGGCCAACCCATTGTGTCGTTGGTTGGCGAGTGGAGTCGCGTATTCGTTTCTGCTCCACTCCGTTGCCGAGGACGTGAGCGGCGTACTACCGGGTGAACACGAGTGTTTGTTGGCATCGTAACGTTGCGGCAAAACCACGCTAAAGTGATTCGAGGGTACAGATGATGAGGCAAGATAAAATTCATCCGACGGAAGCGATGTTGCGCGGACTGCAGAAGACGGGTCTCGGAGGATGCATCCTGGTGCGTTAGAGACGATGAAGACAGCAAGGACACAACAAAATGATACAAGACAGTAGAATACAACTACAACAATAATTTGAAAGTGTCCAATCCAAGTAAAACCGGAAAGCAAGAAGAAAACTCAGCGACGGTACCCATACGCTCTGTGCTCCATGAGATCCCTAATCGGACCCAACAACCGAGTGAAGGCGTGCGCGTCGAGGACGGCTACTTTGAGCTTCGGCGACGTCGAGTCTTCCCGAACGATTGCGCTCACTGTCGCCGCACGTGGTTCCAACCGGAGAAGAGCCAGTTCTACGAGAAAAATTAGCGATCGCAAGACATACAGATAAACATATGGTCCGACCTCCGAAGTAGTCTCCCTTTCGCAGGTGTGCCACCCGCACATCCTTCTTCTCCCCGTCCTCCGCCTCTATAGTCTTGGTAACGACGGCTTCACCTTCTTCGACGAAGAAAAACGTATCACCCATGTCGCCCTGCCTCACTACCGCCTCGCCATCCTCGTAAATGCTGCTTCCAAGCGCGTCCGCAATCTTGCTGCGATCCTCCGGGCCCAGAGACTTCAGCAGAGGCACAGACGCCAAGAACTGCTCGTACATCGTGCGCCGGCGGTGAGCGGCCTTGAGAATGATCGTCCGGAAGGTTATACGGTCCAGTGACCACAAGGTAGACGGCTCGATGGCAACAACCGAAGCGGCACGAGGGTGGCCATACATGAGAGCTAGCTCGCCAAATGTAGATCCAACGCCACATTCCGCTACCTTCCTGCCGTACTGCGGGTGGTATCCCGGCTGCACAAAAGTCTTCGCCGTTACGCCAGCGGTCTTCTTCTCGCTGAACCAGTCTGGAGGTAGGGGCTCGTCGCGGATGTAGCAGTGAAGCATACCAGACTCCACAACGTAGAACCACTCTCCCACATCGCCCTGCCTGATAACCACCTCGTCTCGTTCGACTTGCGTCTCCCGCATCGCCAAGAGAACACCAGTCTGCTGCTCCTCGTCGAGCTCGCGGAAGAGAAGACTCTTGCCTACAGAGACAAGAATGCGCTTCAATTGCTCTGGGGACTTTTGAAAGACAGGCAGAGGTTCGTCGTGTTCGCTGTCAACCGCAATAGACTCGGCGCTGACGGACGATCGCCGCGCGAGAATGGTCGACATTCCCGGGTGTAGATAGTCGTTATTATCAGGAGAGATGGTGCCATTCGCGAAGGAAGCAAAGGGATTATGATTGTTGGGAGAAGTAGGTGAGATCTCCTCCCCGTTGTTTACGGTGAAAGTTGGCGGACTGATTACGTTGTGCGCGTTGGAGGAACGATCGGGAAGTAGTGCGTTTCCAGGAACGTTGAGTGTCCCGAAAGGACTAGAGACGGAACCAATGTTGGGTATAGGGGCATGTTCTTGGGAATATGATTGTGAGAAGGGGGAGCCTGCCATAGTAGACGAAGTCGGGCTGAGAGGCGTATCGAAGAAGTGGTCCGCAGGAAGATCGCGCACAGGTGTCAAACGGTTGGCAAGCGCATCGCGAGTCCTGGAGCGCTGCTCTTGTAACCTCCGTTGGAACCAGTCGGCGCAGTATTGCAGAGCATCCTTGGGTTGCACGCGATACGCATCTCGAGTGAGGTCTGCAATGAGAGCGTCAAAAGTAGAAGACATGACGGAGTGTGCTGAGCTGGAGCAGACAGACTCCGGGGTTCGAGAATATATTTACACGTCTAGCAACGAGAGTAGGCCGCCGAATAGCAAAGCGTAGATGATGGGGGAAGACACGCGCAATGTCGCGATTGCTCCCACCTGCGTCGGCGCCTGCTGTCCCACGTGACCCTGAGCGCGTTTCCTAGTGCCTTGTACTTTTCCGAGTATTTTCACCACGCTATGGCACTTCAACTGCTGGATGGGGATGGTTGAAGAGATGCAGAGCAGCTGAGACCGCCTGGATCTGCCGTGCTATCGCCAGGCGGACAAGGCGGAGTCAAACGGCGGTTTAGATATTGACAGCCCAGCGGCCTCACTCGTGTCTCTATTCTACCAAACAGAGTTTGACCTTGAGTTATCTCGGGCTCTGAACAAACACGACCTAAGCAAATGTGCACGCAGACTCCAGAGGTATTCTACGACGCTTTCCGGATTTGGCTCCTGGTTGCGTGATGCGCAGCCCCGGCGATTCCACGTATGTAGGATCTGAGCGCCGGCAACTTGGCTATACCGTTTCACGCTCGGGCTTCCACTCACTCACTCTCACTCACTAACTTATCTTTTACTCCTCACCGTCCATCGGCATACACATTCGACACTGCACGATGTCGCTCATGGACCTTCGTGTTGAGTTGCCTGCTCACTCCCAGTCATTCCAAGTTCAGGTCCAGGGTCACTGGACCGTCCGGGAGATCAAGGCAGAAATACAAAGAGCATGTCCCGGCGCGCCGCATGTGGATGGCCAACGAGTCATTTGGAGAGGCCGGATTCTCACAGACGAGGAGAGGGTGGGAGATATATGGAAAGTACGCCCTTTCTTGTGTCTGCCAGCATAACACGAGGCCTAACCTGGTCCCTACGCAGTCTCCGAGCGACGCGAGGGTAGTCCATCTCGCCGTTCGCCCTTCGGCTTGGGCAACCCCTCCAACGGCTTATGTTCCACCCCTTCCTACTACCAACGAAGCCACAGCCCAGTCAACACCTCAGACAGCTGCTCAACGCTTACAAGCCACCCCATCTCCTGTTATCCCGCTTTCCTTCATTGTCGATAAACACGAAACCGCTATTCGCGTTTTGACACACGGTCGCTTGCCGCTCCTTTCTGAGACAATACTCGACAACCGGCAAGCTCGGTCATTTGCGGTCAGTGCTTTGTACGCCCATGGCTGGGCATGGCCCGCTATCTTAGATGAAGGATATCCAGCCCAGTCGGATCCCAATGACGGCGTCAAATACGAGCAGGTAGTTATTGAGTGAGTATACTGCTTGTGTTGTTATTGAAGCTCAGCATGACCTGACATCGTTCTACACTCACTTATCAGCAATCAGCTCTACCTCCGTTTGGCAACGCCCAATGTCACACCAACTCCAATTCAGCAGCACGCTCTGAAGATTCTGTCCCACACATTTCCCTTACTTTCCATCACTACTCCCGACCCCTCCGCCTACCAAGCTCTACCCCACGCCATGTCTTATGGAACCACCCCGACGACCAATCTCAATCAGTATCTCCAACAGGTCGGCATTCCCCCCTTGCGCCTTGCTCCCAACCAGCCGAATAATCCCAACGATCCTAATAACCCTGTCGTTGCCGAGATACGCGCCATTCCGCTACGTGCCCTCCTCATGCCCCTTGTGATGCTCAGCTTCCGCACGTTCCTCCTTATGTACTTCTTCTCACCCTCAAAGCGACCATTTTTTGGTGTTCTTCTTTCGCTCTGGATTCTCTACGAAACCTGGGGCGCTCTCCGGGTGGTGCTGGGGGATCGGCCAGCGGGTCAGGGTGCAGCACAGGCTCGTGGCGACCCGGCCGCCGCCGACCAGGGTGCCAATGCCCAGCGTGGTCAGGCGGCGGCAGCCCCTGCGGGTTCAGCACAAAGTGACAGGCGCGGACACTTCGACTTTCTCCTGAACCACATGGCAAACTCGGGCTTATCCTCGGAGGACGCGACTCTCGATGCCGCTACCCCCGCGCCGGAGCCTACAGTCGCCCGCAGAGTCAAGTCTTTCGTTTCGTTGATGCTCATGACGCTGCACCCCGCCGTCTGGGATCGCCGCCGTACCGCGCTCCGCAGGAGAGAAGGCCGGCTGAGGACCGAGGCGAACGTGCGCGAGAGCACTCCCGCCGAAGGATCTGGTGAGGAAGATGCGAACCGCGTGCAGGCACGAGCTCAAGTCACGGCGAGGCACGAACGCAGGCCGCAGTGGGTCCAGCGATACGTGGAGCGGGTGCAGGTGACGGAGTGGGCCGATGATTCATAAGATTACTCTTCGCAGAGGTGGACTCTAGCTAAGTATCAGGACTGTACGATACATGATGGACTCAGTTGGATTTCTTGCCGCAAGAGATATGGCATTCATACTATTTGTCTTGGAGTATAGATATAAATATATATTGTGCACACGGTTTACATAAATAAATAGTAGATTGGGCTGAGCGCCACAATGGCAGCGTGTTCCTTGTCAGCATCATTGCAATGATTCAATTTATAGATAGCCTTCCATCTATACAGGATAAGCGGGTGAAAGATGCTCGACCGCGATAGCAGAATCGCGAACGCGTGCATGAACGACGTCGGACCGGTTTGTCTCGATTAGAACTCATGGCGAGGGCGCGATAACTGCGAGCTTTCGCGCTTATAAACCAACGACTAGCTCGTCACCCCCTCCACTGCCACGGTTAACGAATCGGAGACGATACGATGTCTAACAACGCACATATTCTTGCGCACCCCGTCGTCAACGCTCGCCTGTCGAAACTGCGCGAGTTAAGCACTTCATCCAAAGAGTTCCGCGAGGTACACGTCCTAGTAGGGGTTGTGAAGCCTTCAGAGCTGACCGACACGCCAGGGCATCCATGATATCAGCTTGCTGTTAGGATTTGAAGCCAGCAGAGACCTCGAGGAGGAGACATACAAAGGGGTAGGTTATTCGCGCTGCTGTGTATGTGCCGCTAGCTGAATTGTCTTGCAGCACACTCCAGTCGGTCCTTTTACGGGTTCGGTTATCAAGCCCAGAATAGCCCTCACGCCCGTATTGCGTGCTGGTCTGGGGATGACAGATGCGTTGCTAACGTTGTTCCCGTGAGTGCTTCTACATTGTGAACAAGCTGCCATCTTAACACTTCACAGTGCTGCATCTGTCTACCACCTGGGTATCTTCCGCGAGAAAGTATCGTTGCAACCGGTCGAGTGTACGTCTCACTGCCACGCGCGGAGAAACCATGCGCTGATTTCGTTTAGACTACTCTAAACTTCCACCTAATCCCGAGGTTGACCAGGTCTTCCTCCTGGACCCTCTGATTGCGACCGGAGGCACAGCTATCGCTGCGCTTAACATGATCTTGGACTGGGGTGTTCCGGGTGCGTGCCACACTGCATGGACGAAGGACGGTGCTTGATGTTCCTCCAGTGACCAAGATCAAATTGCTCTGCGTGCTTGCATCACAAGACGGACTTGCAAACGTGCAGAAGGATTTCCCTGGCCTGGAGGTGCGAGCTGAATTGCGAACAAATGGATGCACCTCTGACTAAAACTATGCTTATAGATCTGGGCAGCGGCAGTCGATCCGCTACTGACTACAGATGGTCTTATTGCGCCTGGATTGGGCGACACTGTAAGTCCGTCAACCATCTCCTTAACTCCAGATTTTAAACCGAGTTTCTCGTACAAAGGGCGACCGCCTCTACAGTACGTTGAAGCCTTGAGGTTTTGTAGCATTATACCCTCTTGCTTCGCCATACAATTGTACAGTAATGGCCATGGGAATTAGAACTTCGTATGGTGCAATCTCTCTTGGACAGAGTGAGCTTGAGAACATGACCTCGGGTCAATACCGGTCAGTACTCTCGGACCGCTCCCATGCCGGGCATGTGGTGGCTAAAAAAGGCAGTTGCTGACGCACCTCCTGTGTGTAAAACTTCCTCCGCCCGCGTTAGGTGCAGCCATAACGCCATCGTTAGTGCGAAATTGCACAATCGTCGAGGGTTTCCCGCTCGCAAATTTTGCTCTCATAAAATGCCAAGCCATCCTGACGGCCCAGCTTCTTTTCTTCCCCCGCTGTCCAAGACACGATGGCCATAGAAATTCCACTAGATGCTTCGACACCATCGACGGTCTCCGCCACCCTCTCTGTACCGCCATCTCCTGGGCTAAACAGCATTTCCTTCGATGGAATCAAAAACATCTCGAATAGCCCTCTTATTTCTGCTTCTACCACGATAGAGCTGATCGCATCTAGGTCAAGTTCGAGCGTGTTCGTTTACGACCTCGCGGAGCAGGCAGGCTTCGGAACGTACACCAAGGGCTGGACTGGCGGTGACAGCGGTGCGGCCTCTGTCGTCAGCTTGCAGACCCGTGCTGGTGCCGGTTTGAGCTTGGTCGGCAGGCTCTCCCAGGGGTCTAGCAAGGATGCGTCCAAGCCCGCCGTCCTCACGGCCTATACCACTCCGACGGGTTTGGCCGCCATGACACAGTCATTGGCCCACCTTCCCGCACCGACCGCAAACAGCAAGCTCGTCGTCCAGGTCCCAAACGTCACGCCGGTCGGGGAGAGCTTCGCGCTTTCTCCCACCCTCGCACCCTTCATGCCCGCTCTTGCCGTCTTCCCCGAGCAGTTTACGATTCTGCTGTCCTCTACTCCGCAAGAGGCTGTCGATCTCGCGACTCTTGCTTACGAGCTCGCCGATACTCATGTGGTCCACATTTTTGACCATCACAGCTCAACTCGCGAAATTGGACACGCTCTCAATACTGTGGTTCCCTCACAGGCTCGCAAGTCGTCCTTGAAGGGTGGCCTTTCACTCGCGGGATACAACTTTTTCGACTACGCGGGCGACGAAGACGCTGAGGTGGTGATCGTCCTCCTGAATGGTCCTTTGGCTAACGCCGCGAAAGCAATTGCGTCGCGGGTCAGCGGTTTCGGAGTCGTCATCGTACGCGTCCTCCGTCCGTGGGACGAAGAGGGGCTCCGCGGGGTTATCCCTGCATCCGCCAAGCGTATTCACGTCCTCGACGACGTCCCGACGGATCTCACCCAAGGCACCCTATACAGCGACGTCTTCTCCGCGCTCTTCGATCCTGTTAACCGTGGTCCAAGAATCAAGTCGCACCGCTTCACGCCTACCCTCGCGCAGTCCTACGTGGCGATTCCAGCGACGTTCGTTGCGTTCCTTCGTTCCCTCGCGCCTTCCGTGCCGTTGGTCTCCCTGGCCTCTGCCGGGCAAAAGAAGCTGTTGTTCTTCACCAGTCCCGGCTCGACTCTTGCTAGTCTTCCCTTCACCGTCGAACAGACCTTTTTGGCCCTCCCGTCTGTATCGGCCTGCCAGAGTACAGATCACGATGCATTCTCAAAGCCTGGCGGTGTAACCGCAGACAGGATCGTTCTCGGCCAGAAGAAGCCCGAGCAATTCGTTCCAGTGTCCCTACTTCTACCTGTCTCTCCCCAGAGCCAGGGCGAAGCGGACTTCCTGGCAGTCACGGACCACGCTCTGCTCAAGTCGCACCACATCGCCGCGCATGCCAAGCCTGGCGCGCCCCTCCTCATCACCACTTCGTGGACGCCGGCCGAGCTTGGGGCAAACCTGCCGGCGGATGTCGCCTCACTCATCCATGAACGCGGCCTCCGGGTCTACGCCATCGACGCTCAGCAGCTGGCCGAACGGCTCATCGGTGCGGCTGGCCCCGAACGCAACGCCATCGAGAATGTCATTGCCCTCCTTGCATTCTTGAGACTATACCTGGGTAAGGCTGCGACGGAGGAGATTGTCGTGAAGCTTGCTCGTCATTTCATTGGCGAGAGCATATACGGATTTGACCTCTTGAAGGTCAATGCTCATGCGTGGGCCGGTTTGATTGAAATCGAGTTGCCTGGCGCCGTTGAGCCTGCGCAAGCCTCACCGCTCAAGACCTTCGAGTTCAATGCGATTTCGGTCGAAACAGATGACGGCGAGACGGTGGTGAACGGCGCTCGACTCGGCTCCTGGCACGATGCCGCAAAGCACTTACTCTTCCGCTCGGCATTCAAGGCGGTCGACGGTACATTTTCCGACTTCGAGCAGAATCCCGAGCTTCGTCCCGAGATTCCTGAGCGGACTTTCCTCATCACATGCACGGTTAATAGACGGCTCACACCTCCCGATTACGACCGCAACGTCTTCCACCTCGAGTTCGATACGCGTGGCACGGGTCTCAAGTATGCCATTGGCGAAGCTCTTGGAGTCCACGGCTGGAACGACGAGCAGGAGGTCTTGGACTTCTGCAGGTGGTATGACGTTGACCCCAACCGTCTCATCACAATCCCTGTGCCTGGCGCTGACGGCTCGCGCATGCACACGCGTACGGTTTTCCAAGCACTTCAGCAGCAGGTCGACCTGTTTGGCAAGCCGGGCAAGACGTTCTACTCGGACCTAGCTGAGCACGCGACTAGTCAGGCAGACAAGTACGCCTTGCAGTTCATTGGCTCTCCAGAGGGCTCGGCGACGTTCAAGAAGCTGTCGGAGAAAGACACAGTGTCATTCGCGGACATCCTCCGCAGATTTGAGACGGCGCGTCCCGGGATCGAGACTCTTTGCGAGTTCGTCGGTGATATCAAGCCTCGCCACTATAGTATTGCGAGCGCGCAGGCTGTAGTTGGTGACCGTGTTGATCTCCTAGTTGTCGCCGTTGACTGGGTAACTCCAAGTGGTACGTACAATCTACAAGTAAGTCCAGTGATCGTCTATTCACTCCCACTTCTCCTGCTAAAGGTTCACCACGCTACGGCCAATGCACGCGCTATCTCGCGGGTCTCAAGGTCGGCCAGAAGGTCACCGTTTCCATAAAACCTAGTGTCATGAAGGTGAGTTCGATATAATTATAAACTACAGAAATACTTTTGCTCACATCTTTGCTAGCTGCCACCCGACAACATGCAGCCCATCATCATGGCTGGTCTTGGTACCGGTGCTGCACCTTTCCGCGCCTTCCTTCAGTACCGCGCCCTGCTCCAGTCGCAGAACATCCCCGTTGGCCCCACTTACTACTACTTCGGCTCTCGCCATCGCTCGGAGGAGTATCTATACGGCGAGGAGATCGAGGCTTTCATCCTTGGCGGCACGATTACCAAGGCCGGACTCGCATTCTCGCGTGACGGTCGCAAGAAGGTGTACATCCAGCACAAGATGAGGAAAGACTCGACGGTGCTCGCGGAGATGCTTTACAATAAGGAAGGCGTCTTCTATCTCTGTGGACCAACATGGCCGGTTCCGGATGTATACGAGGCGTTGGTCGAGGCCCTCGTCGAGAATGAGGGGATGGCTACCGAGTCAGCGGGTGCGTACCTGGAGGGATTGAAAGAGGAGGAGCGCTATGTCCTTGAGGTTTATTAGATCACTGGTCGGGTCTGTATACATTGCATATCCACGCGCGTTCGCTCCTAATGGCACTTCGTGCGATTCTCGACTCGGCTCTTGCGAACCTTCCGTTCGTTTGTAGATTGCGGAGCCAGATCTATGACATATGCGAGGTATCTGCCATCAAAATGAAAGAACGCGCTCCAAACGACCTTTAAAGTGCTCGTGCACACCTGCAGGCATGCTGAATTCGTACGAGCCCGTACTCTCCTCTACGACCTCTAATACTCGTCTGTCCTTCACCGTACACCCTAGCTATAATTGATGAGGTTGTGTTCCTCTATAAGCGCAATTCTGCTCTTGGCTAGCCTCAGTACTGCCCAACTTTCTCTACCAAACCCTCCATGGCTTCCCCCCAACGCAACATTCGGAGCAAAACCAGGAAACATTTCGGACGATTCTGTTAACCCTCACTGGACGAATATTCTTGGGAGCACGCTCTACTTCTACGAGGAACAACGAAGCGGAAAGCTGCCAGGTACAAACCGCGTCCCGTGGAGGAACGATAGCGCGATAGACGACGGAAGTGATGTGGGACTGGACTTGAGCGGAGGGTACTATGATGCAGGAGGTATGTTTTGGTCTGCATTCGCTGGAAGACGGCTTGATCATCCGACGTAGACTACATCAAGTACACCTTCCCTATGGTACGCAACCACAGGGGACCGTAATGCATACAGTCCACTGAAACTGCCCCCGCTTAGTCCTTCTCTGTGATGTCTATCTGTTGGGGAGCACTAGACTTTGGCAGGGGTAAATGTAGCAAGATTTTTGCGTCTTCTGCCGCCTGTTGAACCCAACTCGCAGGTTATGACCTTGCGAACCAAACCGCGTATCTCGATGATATGCTTAGGTGGAGTCTCGACTGGCTCATGAAGGTATACTTCATCTCATTTTTCCGACACATGCTCTGCTTATTATATATATCGCAGGCTCATCCAACACCCAATACTCTCTACGTGCAGATCGGAGACGCAGACTTGGATAACGCGTATTGGGGTGGCGACCGCGGCATTCCCACACCGAGACCTTCATACGCTATTAACAGCACTAGGTACACGGGCCATTCTCTCTTATAACACGTTTGCTAAGACTCCGCGCAGTCCTGGTACAGACGCAGCAGCGCAAGCCGCAGCAGCCTTCGCTGCATGCTCTGCATTGTATAACAATCAGACACTCTCACAGTCTGCGCCTGCCAGCATAGTGAACACATCCTACGCATTAACACTCCTTCAGCACGCTCAACAGCTCTATGATTTTGCCACGAACTCCTCGATATCACAGGTTACCTACCAGACCTCGGTGCCCTCTGTTGCGGACGCGTACCCATCCTCTGGGTTTTCGGACGAGCTCGCTATTGCTGCTCTTTTCCTCTCACTCGCCAGCAACTCCAGTGACGCTTACTCGCAAGCATGCCAAATCTACGAGAAGCAAGATCTTGCCGGTCATTTGCAGGGCGATGCGGTATTCAACTGGGACGAGAAGTCTCCCGGAGTCGCTGTTCTTGGGGTTCAGATAGCGCGAACATATCCTTTGATTGCGAACGGATCCGATGTTGATTGGACCAGTGATGTGGAGAGCTACTTCGACCGCATTGTGAACGGCACCGGCAGAGCGTTCCTCACGCCAGGTATGATAAACCGCTTCTCTCATTGTCTAATCAATACTTTAATGTACGCAAGGTGGTCTTCTGTATTATCCGGGAGATTCGGACGATGCGACACTCAACCCCGCACTGAACGCTGCCATGCTCCTCATGCGATACGCGGATTCGGGGCTCGCGTCTGACAGCGAAAAGCAGTCCTCTTACCGTCATTTCACCCAGTCGCAAATCGATTATTTTCTGGGCAATAATCCTATGACCAGTAAGTCACATGCGACTTGCTTCCTCAAGTTTCTATTTGCTCACGCGTTGCAGTGCCGTACATAGTCGGTGTTCATCCGAATGCGCCATCAAACCCACATTCTGCGTTGGCCACTGGGGCTTCACCTCAGGACATCGCGAATATTGATACCGTTCCTGAGCACGAAGCTTATGTCCTCTATGGCGGCGCAGTAGGAGGCCCCAATGGTGAAGATCAATTCTGGGATCTACGAGGTGACTGGGTTGAAAGCGAAGTGGGGCTAGACTATGTCGCCCCGGTTGTGACCATTGCTGCGCGTGCTTTGGTCAATGGGACCGGTGACCCTTGGTACACGCAGTTGCAGATCGGATCTTACAACGGGAGACGACCGAAGGGAGAGCCATGCGATGCGGCAGTCACTACAGGCTGTCCCAGCCATAGCTGGAGAGTGGGTAAGATTGTTATGGGCGTGTTGGTTGGAGTGACTGGTCTTGTGATAATGTCTCTGGGTACTGTGTGGATATTACTGGTCTGTAGAAATTGCAACCGCAAGGTATAACGTTGTAATGAATATTTTACTCGTATATTTTGGGTATTACCGCAAACAATACCCGCAAGCTGATAGGATAAAACGAGTGGCGGCTTCGATAATTGATCTTGGATGCTTTCCCAATTTGGCCAAAAGGCGCCGGAGGTGCCCAACTCGTTTCCTCGCTGCCTGTAAGGCAACGTTTTCCGCGTCGCTCGCCGCTTCAGCTTGCACAGATGTCTGACCCACGATTCGCCCTTGATGATCGTTTTCCAGGAGAGTCTGAGGCGGAGTCGTCAAAGTCTCAGGTTTCCCGTCAATGCAGCGACGATGAGGATGAGTACCACTCCGGAGGCAAAGAAGACCACGATGAGAGGGAGCACGAGGAAGAGCGTAGCGAAGAACTCGGCGAGGGGATGTACACGGAAGGCTTCGCAGGTCCATCAGAGAAGGTCGTTAAGCCTTTGACTCCGGAGGACCTCGCCAGATTCAAAGCAGCGCAAGAACGAACTGGTGTCGTCTATATTTCACGGATTCCTCCTGGTATGCGTCCTACGAAGGTTAGGCACCTCATGAGCGCATATGGAGAAGTCGGCAGAGTGTATCTCCAGCCAGAAGGTACGCCACCGCGTTGCTCATATGTGTTCATACGCGGAGCTAACGTAAGATGAATAGATCCCAAGCGGACGTATCTTCGTCGAAAGTTCACTAGCACGAAGAAGGTGCACTTCACAGAAGGCTGGGTAGAGTTCAAAGACAAAAAAGTTGCGCGGTCGGTAGCGGAGATGTTAAATGCCCAATCCATTGGTGGGAAGAAGGGTTCCCGTTGGAGGGACGATGTGTGGACCATGAAGTACTTGCCGAAGTTCAAATGGAGCATGCTCACAGAGCAGATAGGTGAGATCGCTCGTTATGGTATCTTGCCCTCCGAATGCTTCGTTGCTGATGCATTGTGTGCTGTAGCCCATGAAGCTGCCGTACATGCCGCACGGCTCCGCATGGAATTGTCGCAATCCAAGCGCGAGCAGCAGGAATACCTCAGGAACGTCGAGCTTGCTCGTGTTCTTGACAAGCGGGCGGAAAGGAAGAAGAGCAAGGCTGCAGACGGCCCAGTTGAGCGTATGGATGGGGTCGAGAAACCCGCCAAACGAGAGAGAGCAGATGGTGAACGGCCGTTGAAGAAGAGGCGAAAAGAGAAACAGGAAGAAGCTATAGACGAATCAACACAAAAACAGCTTAATAGCGTGCTAGGCAATATCTTCTAGGTCGTGTTTATTTTATTACACTACGATGTATGAAATGTATGTGTATCACTCGTCCGAGGACAAAGGTGCGCGACTAGCGCCTCTCGAAGGGGAAGCGGAGTTTGAAACCGGAATGTAAGCGTCGTGGACCGAAATTGTTGTTCCTCATCGCGAACACCGTTGAGCACAGTCTCGGCGAGAGTGAGAACATCGTTCTCGTCGTTGTGTCGCGATACTAAGAGGTCTGTGCTTCATCATGCTCGCCTTCCATCTCTCGCAGACTCTGATCTGTCCTCCTGCATTCGCTTCATTCTCTTTCCCTCTCAGTTTCGTTCTCTGAACATGTCGTCTTGGTCTGGCTCTGGGTACCCTCCTCCTCGCGGCCGCTCGCGGTCTCGCTCTCCTTACCGCTCAGCATATCCTCCCCCAAGGCCTGAGCCTGGATATCCCCCGCCGGAGTCGTATCGAAGCGAGTGGGAAGCTTACGAGAGGGAGAGGGTTTGGGCGCAGTATGACAGGGAGCGTCCCGGCTATGACTACGGGAGACGTGGGAGGAGTCGTAGCCCGCCGCCACCGGAAGATGGTGCGTATCGTGCTTCTATACACGTAACGTTGTCTGACCATAAATTTGCTGGCGTTGTAGGCCGTAAGCGTCGTCGGTCAGTCTCGCCGTGGGAGCGCGACCGCTATGACCCACGTCCGCGTTATGGCGACGATTACGGTGCGCTTATTGACTTTTTTTCGTACTCTGCGTAACTTAACAGTAGTCTACAGATGCGCATTCAAGGGGATATGGTCATACGTCACCTCATCGAGGGCCGTACCCGCCGCCTCCACCACCGTACAGCTCCTCCCGACGTGCTCCTCCAGATCCTCATACCTTCGATTACCCCGCGACCTTGAAACAGTATGCCGAGTGGTTCCGTTACTACTACCCGCAACAAGCAAGCGAGGAAGATAATGCGGACAAGGCCGCTGAACAGGAGGCGGGTGACGGTTCGAAGCCTCGCAATGGTATTCGCACACGCTGGGAGAAGTACAAGAAGGATTTCGCCGCCCAGCAGGTAAGCCTCGCTCTCATTTGTTCATACTTTCCGCGCACCCATCATGTCACGTATCGCACTTTCTATCGGTTCCACTCGTGCTGCATGTCTCTGTTCGGATAACATATAACTGAAACACTGTTATCATGTAGTTGCAACGGATGTTCGACCATCACCGGAAGTCGCCATGGTTCGCAGAAAAGTATGATCCTTCTCCTGAGTGTCAACAGATGCGCTCGCGGGTACGCAAGAATGGCTGGAAGGGCCGCATGGACGCTTTCCTACTCGAACTTGAGTCCGGGAAGTTCGATCCCGACCTTCAAGAAGCGGAGCAAGAGGCCGAGTCCTCAGCGTCCGCGACGAAGGAGTCTGCTCTTAATGGTGAAGCAGCGCATTCCACTAGTGGCGATGCCCCTGAGGGCTCCGCCGTCCCGGCGTCGATGGAAGAGCAGAAGCCGAATCTTAGTAATGACGACGAGATGCAATTCAACGTTGAGGCGGAAGATCAGGGCGATGACCACGATCCGAGTCGTGCGGATGCCAACGGCAAGCAGCTCGGGGACCCGAAGCGTCAGCTCAATCGGGGAGAAGAAGTATCTATTCCTCCTGAGGGCAACCAAATCATGATTCGAACCATCCCGCCAGATATTGGACGCATGAAACTGGAGGAGGCCAGTCTTTTCACATGTTTCCAACGGACTTAACTGAAAATATGTAACACGTAGTCCATCAGCAATATCTCTGGTTACGTCTATCTGGCTTTGGGTGACCCTATGCAGAAGCGTAACTACTACCGTGCTGGTTGGATCAAGTTCACCGACGATGCGGATATGCCCTCCGTTCTCGCTGAGCTGTCCGAGAAGAAGGTATGTGAATACAAATAGTCTGCATTTATGGATGATGAAATCTCATGTGGCATAGATCGAGGGTTTCAAGCTTCATGTAGCACACATCACTAAACCGTTCACAAGCAGGATTCGTTACGTGCCAGAGGTTGCAAGCAAGCCCGATAGGTTAGCCAAGGATCTCGAAAATGCCAAGGCCCTCGCTGCAACCTTGGAAGCGGAATATGAGACGCTGAGGAAGATGAAGATTGAGAACAAGCTGGAAACCAATGGTGAAGCCACCGACGCGAATGGCACATCGCAGCCGGCAGACGTCTCAATGAATAACGCTGACGGCGAGAGCCAGGATGATGCTGAATCGCAGGAACGGGGTAGCGATGCTGTGGAACGGAGAATTCAGAAACTCATGACAGACATGCGCGAGCAAAATGCGCTTGATTTCGGTGACGAGAAAGCTGTGGAGGCTCGTAGGGTATGTAACTGTTCACTGCAGGGTAAAAGTGGGCTGCTAACGCTCCTCCAGACGGTGATTGCTCTGGACCTGTATCTTGCCTATCTCCGCACAGCGTTCAACGCATGCTACTACTGCGCCGTCGTCACTGATCATGTAGAGGAATTGCAGCGCAAGTGTGTGAAGCATGTGAGGAAGCCGTTGTCCAAGTCTTTGCTTCAGGAGATCAAAGCCGCAGAGGCGCAAAGGGCTGAAAAAGAGCCTAAAGCAGAGGAAGAGTGTATGGATGAGAGAGACAAAGAGAAAGAGAAAGAGAAGGAGTCGGCTGCAAAGGACAAGCCAGAGAGCCGGGACTGGAAACGGAATGGTACGTCTTGTGTGGGTTTTGCTGGAGGTGCCGATGGTTGACTCCGGATGCAGATGAGCGATGGCTTGAATGGCTGGATTCTAAGCTTGCGCTTCTGATTACCCGCAATGGGGTTGATCCGCGAGATTATCTTGGCAAGAGCTACGAAGAGTATGTTCTATTCCTATGAGTCCGCTTGATCACTCATGTCTTGGCTGGCAGAGAGCTCAGCAAGGCTTGCGAGCAACACATCAAGCAAGAAGACGAGGGGAAGTTTAGATGCAAGACTTGTCAGAAGCTGTTCAAAGCTACTTCATTCGTGGAGAAGCATATCGCGAACAAGCATCCAGACCTCGTCAAGCATCTGGAGGACGTGCGTACTACGTTATATTACCCTCTAACTCTGCTCACTCTGCTCATCTCCGTCAACAATAATACAGATACCTTACTATAATAACTTTGCGCTCGATCCGCATCACATTCAGCCGTTCACTCACCCTCCTCAGCCGGTCGGCAATGCCGCTCAAGCACCTCCCCCGCAGGCATTCGGCCTTCAGGGCCCTGCGTTTCCTATGGGCGAGTTTCCAAGACCTGCGCCCTATCACCCTCCCTATCCGGGATACCCGCCTCCTTATCCACCCAACGGCGGATATTGGGATCCCTATGCATATCCGTACATGCCGGCGCCGTATCCACTTCCACGACGCGAAGAGGCGGTCACCGCGAGGCGACTCAGCGACCGACTTGGCGGTTTCGCACCTGGATATGAACAGCCGTCGGAGATACCATCGATTCCCGCGTCCGCTGGCCTTCCTGCCAAGCCGATGGCAGCCGCAGAAGCTGCGACGACGGGTGGAAGGAGGAGCGGTCGCTCTAACAGTATGAACGGCCCTCCGCCTCCGCCGCCGCCAGACGCGAAGGAGGACCCTCGGGCAGCAGCGGGAAAGAAGGTCAGCTATCACGACATGGATCTGGTCGCAGAAGGCGATGTGGAGCTCACGTACTGAGTGAGCTGTGTTGTACTATATCATTATGTTGTTTGGACTGGACTGTCGCGGCTGTGTTCCTAATTTTGTCGCTTTCCCTGGACCGAGACATGAACAGGGCGTGGCTGCTTCGTGACGCATGTCTAGACTGCGTCTGCCTCGTTTACTGATGTGTTCTCCACTCGAGAGTGCTCTATGCTGCGACCGTGTCTGGAGCGGGCTGCGGGGGCCTGATGAATCTTTTGATCACATTGCACAGCGTGAGGCCTGTGTGCTTTCGCCAAAACTAGCGTATGGGGCGCCGGCGTCTGATGGTGCTGGCTTTCCGCTGAGCCGGAACTTTCGCGCACCGTACCGTACGACCTCGAAGGCGGCACATCCGTCAGCCCCCCGCAGCGGCCCCAGAAAACCTGTTGCTTGTCTTCTGCCGTCGCTGAGGCGCGTGTCTTCTTCGCTGGACGACAAAGGCCCCCCTGCCCCGTCCGCTAGTCGTCGCGCTCTCCTATTTCTCCTGCTGGCACAATGACGGGGGCACGACTGCCAGTGGTCAGGATTCCGCCCGTCGCCCCAGGACAGGGAGGGGGAGAAGAGATGCTCGAACAGGATCATGTCCTGGTCGAGCTTCCCTCGTCAAGCAAATTTGGTATTGCATGGCCCGCAGAGCAACGTCCTCAAGTACCCCTTCCTCTGGGAGCTGAACGGCCCGTCGCCCTCAGCTCGTCAGATGGCGAAACTGACGTCTCAGAGGAGGAGACCAGTCCCCTTCCAAAGAGGAACCCTAGACCAGAGGACTTTGGTGGGGACTTCGACTTCGTTACGCCTACCAACCATCTCGAATCAGAGCAAAATCCTATGGATCAGGCAGGTCGCCTTACCGTACCTCGTCGTCTCTCGCGAGCCTTCTCGATGCCCTTGCCTTCTCAGCTCAGCTCATTACGGAATCCCAAACGAACCCCCAGCTCTAATGGCAGTCCATCCCCAGTCGCCAACGACCAAGCGCCAGAACTAGATCACTTTCGTGAGCTCTCGCTTGAGCTCGCAGATTCCGTCCAGATGGTCATACAGACCTTGCTGCAGCTATCTCCGCCTCAGGTCCTCGACCCCGTGAAGGAGCAGTTCTCGGCATGCTCGCTTTCCATTCCCACTCCATCCATATCCGCAATGTTCACGACTATGAAGAATCTCAACTATATGTCTGCGAATATGGCACAGCTTGGTTCCGACCCTCAGCCGAACGAGGTTCCTCCCTCGAAGACTTCTGCCTTATCAATGGTACAGGATGATTTCGACGTGGGCGAGCTGCTCCAAAGCGTCGGGGATGCGCTGAGCGGAGTCGGGGCTCAAGCGGGTGTCGACCTCGTGTTATTTCATAGCGACGTCGCAATGAAGCATGTTGCGGTCAAAGGCGACGAGAACGGTATCTCATACACGTTGGCACATGTACGCTTCATCAGCCTCTGTCATGTGCTATTCTGATCAAGGCGTCGTAGGTCATTCGACAGGTGATAGATACTGCGCAGAAGGGCGACACCATCGAGGTTGGACTACATATTGACTATGTGGATACAGCCGTTGCGCAATCTAATGCAGAGGGTTCGCCAATATCACGCGTCGCGTCTCCCACTGCAGACTTCGATGGTCTCCTCCGCTGCAACTTCCGAATCGCGCATCGACTATCGACGTCCGACATCCTAAAATCGTCAGAAGCCGAATCTCAAGAGTTACAATCATCACATTCCTCTAGGCCCTCTCCCCTCCTCAACACGCTCTTCCTCCGACGCCTTCTCAGACATGTTGGCGCGACGTTGACTGTCGATTCTCAGCCGGTGGCGCCCTCCGCCAATCGGATGTGCGAGGTCACGGTCCATCTCGAACCTGGTGAGCCCACGGCAGTAAACCCCTCAGTGACTGTCACTCTCGAGGACGCCGCAGTCTTGGGGTACCCAGACATGCATATAGCCAACGAGCCAACATTGGAGCAACTCACGAGCTTTGCGGAGACTCTGCGAGGCAAAAGCGTCACACTGTACGCGAGTTCGAGCGGCTCATTTGCCCACCACCTGTCTAGCTATCTCACAGCTTGGGGTATGGACGTCAGTCACATGTCAACTGAACGTGGTGTAGATGGCGAGTACGAGATCGTCGCTGACGTCGCTGATACCGCCGCCCCTGCCGTCTCGGTCATCGACCTTCCCCCTTCAGCTGACACACCGACTGGTGCGCCTTCTGGAACTGGACGCAAGTCTGGTTCCGATTCCGTCTTCGTGCTGATTGACGATGATGTCGCGGTGCTGCGTAATCGTTTGCAGAAGATCAAGGTCGAGCAGGCATACCCCCTGAGCATGAACAGCCGTAGCAAGCGTCCGTCGTTGGCGACTAATCATCGTCCAAGGTCCTCACCGCAGGTCGCCCGTGTCATGGGCATGCTCGGCAACTCTCCGCCACAGCCTCAGGTCGTTATTGTGCACTTCACGAGCTTGGCGAATTTCAAGCTCGTAAAAGATGTGATCCAGACAACTCTCATGCCGACGAAGGAGTCTGGCGCTTCCCGCATCCCAGAAGTTATCGTCATTCCTAAACCCGCTGGACCCCGACGCTTTTTAACCGCATTGCACACTGCGGTAACACGTCCAGTTGTCGATCCCTATTTCGTCCCCACCGCTACTTCTCCTATGAGCCCAGGTCTTCACTCCATCTCCCCGTTTTTTTTCTCTAGTGCTCCGAAGTCACCCAGTGGACGATCCACGGCGAGTGCACGTACGACCTCTGATAGGTCGAACAGGTCACCGAAGGAGTTGGGCGGAGAGTGGACTTTAGGACACGCACCACCGTCCCCCTTGAGTCAGCCGGATAACGTCGAGTACTTCTCGGACGCCGTTGTGAAGCTTGGTCATTCCTCAGCAAGTGGCTTGCTCATCCAGAGCCCCGATGGACAGCCGACAGGTATTTTTTTCCAACCCAAGTCCAGGAACACGGCCTCGCCGCCAAGTCCCACCATGGAACGCGAGAAGGAACAGCAAGGTCGACAGATCCACCCTCCCACGCGGCATCGTGCTTACAGCCGGGTACCTTCAGGAGGCAACAAAACCGATGGAGGGGGTGAGGGCTTGCCGAGCGGTTCAGATCCTACGGTACGACCGAGTTCGCGTCCTCCGCCTGCCTCGTTGGAGATTCCAGATACGTATACGACGACAACGGGGAAGGGTAAGGTTAGACAAGCGTCAGAGACCGTCAGCGAGGATAGCGCTGCCTCTAGTGGGGACCAAGCAGCTGTACCCCCAGCACCAGAGACCTCTACGCCGCAGGGCAGCCGGCAATACCTGACGCGACGACAGAGTCACCAGCTGACCAGTCCCCCGACTTCGCCTCAGACGCGAGCTGCTCCAGGGCCCTCGTCTCGACGGTTGACGCGACGGCCTACCCCTGATTCACACGTGTCGTCACCGACGGGTGCGGCGAAGAAGGCTGTGAAGGGGCCTGCGGACGGTAACATTGTTCCACCTATCAGTGTACTCATTGTCGACGGTGTGTGCAGCTTTTCAATCAACTAAAGTAAATCGAGCTGAACACCCTGCTAGATAACCCCATCAATCAAACCATCTTGACAACGTTCATGAAGAAGAAGAAAATTAAGCACGACGTCGCGAAGAATGGAGAGGAAGCCGTTCAGAAGTGGCGATCCGGTATATTCCACTTGATCTTGGTATGTGCTACTCCCGCGAAGCTCGTGGCTCAGTAATTCACTCACAAGGGCCTGGACTTTCTAGATGGACATCCAGATGCCCGTGATGGACGGAATCCAAGCCACGAAGGAGATCAGGCGTTTGGAAAAGCAAAATGGACAGCCGTTTCCCTCAACACCTCAGTCTGAAGGCCAGCAGACACCCTCGGAGACCTCCACGACGGATTCACGGAACATGTCGACGCCTCCGTACCGGTCTTCTGTGATCATCGTCGCGCTTACGGCATCTTCCCTGCAAGCTGACCGAGTTGCCGCGCTGGCGGCTGGCTGCAACGACTTCCTGACGAAGCCTGTGTCGCTCCAATGGCTCAATAGTAAGATCATTGAATGGGGTTCGATCAAGGCGCTGCAAATGTGGGCGGACATCCGGCCGGAGGTGGTGCGGAGTCTCACGACAGGTCAGACAGCACAGGCGGCGCAGGTCGCACGTCGACTGCATGTTCCGGAAGGCAGATCGTCGACTCCTTCTACAGGAGAGCGGTCACGCGGAACTTCGATGGCTGCTCGGCGAGCTCACGCGGAGAACCTGCAGGCAGCAGGTGCTGAGAAAGCCGCTACCCCGAATACACCGTTGTCAGATGACTCGCCGGGCCTGTCTTCGTTCGACGCGAACAGATCCTCGACTGCAGCCAATCCGATGATGCCACCCATTCCCAGTAAGCATCCTTATCTATTTCTGTCGCTGACATCACTCAATTTTCATCGGCAGGCATGACTGCCAGTGAAGCAGCACTCTCGCTGGCATCCGCGTATCGTCCGCAAGCGTCTGGTGAGTTCAATTGTGATAGGTATCTCAGGGGCCTCCATTGAATCGCTTGTGCTGTAGTTGATGCTGCGCGATCTGCGTCAGACGGCAAGGTATCCAGCAACCTTCCCGCCCCTTCCTCTGAAGCCGCAGGCGCTTCAGAACCGCCATCTGCTAAAGCAGAAGCGCCCCTTTTAGTTGATCCCTCTACTATTCCAGAACCACAGACGGAACCTTCGCCACAGCCAGAAGCTGATGTCGAGGACGACACAGCTGTGCCCGAGGAGTCAGCAGCGCCTCCTCCACAGCCCGAAGCCGAACCCCAATGACGGTACGGGGCGACCTTTGGGATGTTGGCTTGGTTTGCCCTCCCACTCCTCTTTCCCTTGGTCCCAAGGGTCGCCGGGTACTTGCGCAGACTTTTCTAAATGCTCCCTAGGGTTTTATGGGCGGTTGGTAATGATATTATCTGCTACTGTCGCTCTATGCTGCCTCAGTAAGCTCGCGATTGTCTTTTTCTCTTGGGTTTTTTCATCCTTGGTTTTCACGTTGGGTCTGAGTGATGATGTGCGTTATACCCTGATGATTTTACGACTTCTGTATCCATCCCCCATTCACGGTTTCACCTGCGCCTCTCATTGCAATATTGTCCTTCCACCTCTCAATAGCACCCCTCAATAGCATGTTTCTTGCCACCATCTACGCTTTACCATATTATCCTACGCACTAACATAGCGACAGTTGTAGTCATACAGGATGCGGACTTTACTAGCACTCTTCCTAGACACGTATCACATACACGAATGATATAGCCCTACTTGGCGAAATTCGCGACGTCCCACGGTCTGCTAGCGCCGCTCTCGTTCTCGGATGCTTCGCGGGCGACCAGGAGCGAGGTTTGCAGGCGCGTGTCCTGAGATTTTCGGATGGTGCAGGGCCGCACGCCCGCGGTGTGCTCGCGCGGCAGGGATAGCCCCATCAGGAGCGAATCATGGGAGAGGGTGAGACACCATCGCGGAAGCTTTAGGCGTATCGCGGGAATCACTTGGGGCGTGCAGAGGGTGGCGGGGTCTGAGTTGGAACTTTGGAGGGCGCTGCTTGGGAACGAGGGGCTCGAAGAGGCATAGGAGCGGACGTCGGCGACAGAGATGGCCTCAGCAGGGCCTCCCCGAGCGCACATCGCCCTTCGATGCTGAGGATATTAGACAGCAGCCACCGCCGCGCGTGGTACCCAGGGTCCTCCTGACCGGAGTTTGAATGCCGGGGCGCAAGTGCAGGGCAGGCGCTTCCAGCTCAAGCGCGTCTGGGGCCGTCGTCGGGACACGACTTCCGCCTTTGGACAATCAGATGAGCATGCCGGAAAAAGACGCCCAGAGCGGCACTGGGAGGACGTTGCGTCTAGCGCCCGTGTTCGCGAGCGGACTTTCAGGTCGGACTAGAAGAAAGAAAGACGCAGAGCGGTGGAGGCCTTGCTCCCTTCGTCCCTCTCGTTCGTGTCCACGTTTGACCGCCGTCTGTGTGCGCCCGTCGTCCTTCCAACCGACCCGCTTCTCCCAATTCTCGAGGTCATTGGCAGGATGAACGGCCTCCACGAGCAGAACCACAAGCGCACATCTATCAACGAGCTCCTCAACCCCGTCGCGAACGTCCCCGCTTCAGGATCGCTCGATTCATCGTACAGCCCGCCGCAGCTGGGTGTCATGCCGAACCCCTCCTACGTCCATGCGCCACGCGCGCCGACCGCGTCGAGCTACCACTCGGGCATGTCGAGCGCCCCAGGGTCGTCTTTCAGTCTAAGGGCCGCGAGCTGGGACCATGCAAGCACGAACGAAGGCGAGGTCGGCCGTGGCCAGGCAGCCGAGTCGCCCAGCGACTGTCGATACGCCGCTGGCAACTCACACCCTCAGAGTCACCAGGCCCACCCTCATCAGTCCCAGTCCCAGCCACACGCGCCATATCCAGAGCAGTATCAGAGATCCAGGCCCGTGGGCGAACCTGCTAATTACGGCATCGACGTTGCCCACTGGGCGCCCAGCCATCTGCACTACGGCGCTCAGATGCTCACTCCCTTGTACCAAGACGACCGCGCTGGTCAGTGAACCCCCCCGTCCGCTGTCCTCCATGTCTTCCTCGCTGACCCTCCAGGGCCCAGCAGCCGCCAACGGCGAGTCTGGCCCAAAGAGTCCGTCTCCCACACATCCACGTGTCTCCCCTTCACTTCCTCATTCTCACCCCGTCCCAGGTTACCCCCACCCGCAGGGTTTTGATCAGCAGGAAATGCACCAACAAGTTTACAATGGTTATCTTCCCATTCTATTTGGACAACCGACAAGTGTGGTTCTAACTTGTTTCTTCAGCATATCAGAAAACTGAAAGGGCTTCCATTCGGCTTGCAGCACGATCCATGCAGCCTCCCCAGCTGGCTCAGCAACACACCGCCAACTCGAGGATGCCTCCCGTCTATATCCCGCAGCACATGAATTCGCACGCAGTCGCCTTTGCTGCTTTTCCGATCATGATGCCCGCCCATCCGCCACCTGCTAAGCGTTCTCTGGAACCGGAGGATGCAGAGGCACCTGCCAAGGCCAAAAAGTCGAGAGGTAAAGGCAAGGCACCCGAGAGTAACGGTAATGGTAGGTAATCGGACGCATATACGCCACTGTCACACTAACTTCTCCTCAGGCATAGCGCGCAGAAACTATCCTAAGAAGCGCAGCGAATCGACACCGCAAAGTAAGGGTTTCCATGATTCACATTCCCGCAAAGTGTAACTGAGTGTGTTGTAGTGGACCTCAAGGAGAAGGAAGCAAATGCCAACTCTGGTCAGTGGCCAACAGGAGCGGACAAGCATGATACTGACTATCTGCAGCCATTCAAGCATCAAACCTCGTCGACGAAAATGGCAACCCTGTAGACCCGGGACACTCACTGCACCCAGAGCTTCAGTTCGCCCGATGCATGTCCAACAGATATCGGTCAGAGGAGTTCCCTCGATGTGTGTCATGCACGCGCCGCTGGGCAGGCGACACCTGTCGTTTCCAGGGCATCCGATTCTTCCTCAAAGATGAGAACCGTAACATTATCGGTATAAGCTTTATCGAAAACCAGAAAGCCGACGGGCCGTCCATGAACTTTCCTGTTAAGTGGAATGCAAAGCTCGACATGTCACATATAACGCGTATCAAAGTACGTCTCTTCGCTTCCAGTCCACGCTACAGTCCTCATCGGCAGCACAGCGAACTGTGGCGCGGGCATTGCTACCTGTTCTCAAGCAAGAGCAAGAACACATCCAGCGACGCGATGTCATAAGGAGAAATAGGGAGAGCGAAGTTCGCGCTACTTGCGGTTCGTGATGTCCGATCCACAGCTTAGACACGTTTGACTGATTGCGTTCGTGTTTGCCATTATCAGACACCTGTATGACGTCGATATTTTCAACCAGCTGGATGTGTCGTCTTTGCGGTCGCGAGGCTTGCGCAGAGTGCTTCCAGCAAGTCAGCGAGCTTACGACGGAGCCCCCAGGTGCTGCTGAAGCGGAGATTGTCGCTTTACAAGCGAAACGAGAGAAGCACGCCCACGTCAACCCATTCTTCCTTTCGTGCACACGGAGGAACGAGCATAGGGCTAGCGACTTTTCACCTATGTCGCGTTTCAGCAAAGAGGAACTCACAGAAGCCATCGCCGAGATGGAAGCCCTCCTGGGCCAAGCTCCCGATGGCGAAATCGTCGCGAAGAGCTCACCTGAAGCATCGAACGGTTCTGCAGGGTCAACAGAGCAGACGGGCGAATCCTCCGCATCGGGCCAAATTTCGAACAGTACATTGTCGTCTTTGAATACGCCTTCGCTTTCACCTGACGCCGATACTGACAAAAAGCCTATCGCTGAGCTTGCATCCGACTCCGCGAAGCCTGCGGAACCGTCTTCCTCTACCAGCGCACCACCACCGCCCGAGGAGGCAGTTTCGCCTCCGTCGATCCCATTCTACGAACCCCGGGTTTTCAGTGATGCTGAGCTTACAGATGAGGTCTTTTCGGAGATGTGGGCGAAGGGCGAGCCGCTGGTGGTCACCGGCCTCCTCCCCAAATTCCGCATATCATGGACGCCCGAGTATTTCACACAGAAGTATGGCACGCAGACTTGCCTCATTCTCGAGTGCCAAACCGACCTAAACAAGCGCGTCTCGGTCGGCGAGTTCTTCTCGTGGTTTGGCAAGTACGAGGGACGGAGAGACTGCTGGAAGCTCAAGGTGCGCTCATATACTTGTTGGGCCTTTGGCATCATCTCTGATGACGTCTAAAACAGGACTGGCCTCCATCTACTGACTTCAAGACGGCATTCCCGGTTCTACACAGCTTCCGTACAAGTGCCCTGTTTCCGTACCTTTGGGTGTTCCCTGATGTTTGATCCTGCTGCCAGGCTTGGCTCTGGTCAGGCTTTTTGGACCGGGCTTGGCGGGCTCGTGGGCTTTGAGGCCCGGCCCGCACATCACTAAGCGTGATATTGGCGGAGATGGGAGATGTCGAGCCTTGTGAAGAGCTGGTTCTATTCGAGAGCTTCCCCAGGG